AATACTCCACGCGGACTCAATCGCATAGCCAATAAGTATAGTTCCTCGATCCTTAAATCCAATAGAAAAGCCGGATTTTGTCACTCGCGTCGTATCTCACGTCTTATTCGCGTTTCTTCTCGCATCCTTGTCGCACCCTCGTTGCATCCTTTTCTCTAATTGCTTTTAAAGGGCAAGCTCGAGCGAGCCTCGACTCGGCCTTATCTATTGTAACTCGATATGAACATAAAAACTCGATATGGAGATAAAAACTAAGCCAAAATAATACCGATTTTCATGTCCGCCTGTCATCACTTTTTTATCGCGTACAAGATTTATGTCTCAATTTAGCTACACACAAATATACTCGACAAATGTATTTCATATATTTCAGTTACTTACACACTCGTTTGTATGGTGTAGTTTTGAGCATTTTCTTTTTAAATTCGATTTATTAAAGGTGTACTTTATATATTATTCATATATTACAATTAAAGCAATCAATGTCATCTGTATAAATGTTTAGATATACATATATTCTTTTGTTTTTCAGCTATAAAATATTGTTGTAATTAACGTACGTTAATTCATTGATAATTTCGATTTGCATTTAGAAAAAAATATATTTAAAACATTTTAACTATATCTTCTAAAAAATTATTTGCAGATTTTAAAAACACATTTATTGTTCTATATAAATAATTCGCAACAAATGTTATAAAAAGACAATGCTTATTTAAATGAGAAATACGCTGTATTATATTTTAATCAATAAAAATTTTCATTGATTCAGTTTAAGATAGTATGTTTTATATATACAATTAGACAGCTATCCAGATTGCTTTTATCTTTTGGTCGACATTTCGCATATACCTAATCTTTTATTGAATAATATTCATATAAGTAAACATTACAATGAGAAAAAAAATTTTTATTTTAACTAAATGCTTACATACTTATTTCGTATATGACGTAAAAATCAGAAGCGCTATAATGAGTCAGATTACAGATTATTGAATGATATAATCAATCCCACACACAAATTATATAAAATTATATATAATATAATTTTCTCTCTCTCTTTCACAAATTGTATTATATCATAAATTTATATAATACAACCCCCCACGGGTACACCTTGACGTGGTGGGGTGGCTCAGTACTTGGATGGTTCCTTGAGGTTTATTTTAAATTTGTTTATTTGAGATAAATCTCAAGGTGCCTGAATGGGAAGCTAAGTACCCTTTCGCGTCGTCGGTGCCGTCAACGTGCCGCGGACGGCAAGCGCTTCGTTATCGCGTTTTCGCGTTTAGCTTTTTCGCGTCATCGCGTCATCGCGTTTTCGCGTTGGACTTTCTCGCAATTCCAATTTCATTTATTTGTCATCGAGTTGTCATCTTCCGACGTCAATTAACTGGGATGTCTCATTGAGTCGTTGCTGCAACGATCTTTTTCACGCCTGGTGCAACGCGGCACTTAGGTGATGCCGGCCGCGCACGGATGCCAGTACTGTGTATGTGGGCGCGCGGTTTTGAGCTTTTGCTTAATTTCGGCTGATTGAGGTCACGCTCTGCTTCGGGCTCCAGTTCGGTACGGATCAGTTAGGATTCGATCGATTGCTTGGAATCGTCGTTAATGGATCCCTTCTCTTGTTCCGTCTGAGATAGGATATTATGCGCGGACAAGAATCGAGTGAACTTCATTCGCGTTGATTCCATCAATCGATAGTTTTCTTCTGTTTCGGACTTAACTCTTGTTCGAAGGTAAGATGTCGTTGAATTCCCGACCTGTTGACTCGAAGATGACTCTTGTAAGTGAAACAGGATTTTCGCTCGTACCGAAACCGGGAGTGCCGTTTAAAGTATATATATATATATTAAATATATACATCGCGCGACAAAACAGAAAATTTTTAATCGTATCGAATAGTGCGGGAGTGCCGTTCAGTATCGCGCGTAAAAGTGCGGAAGTAGCGATATAAAAATATCGCACGTGAGTGCGGGAGTGCCGCTAAAAGTATCGCGCGTTTAAGACTGAGAGGAGGAGGAGGCCTAGGAGAGGCATCGGGCTCCGGCAGAGCAACTTCTGGTAAATTATTTATTTATTTGTAATTGAATTTTATATTCCATGCGTACAATAATAATTTTTTGAAATATTAATTATTATAAACGCTTTATAATTTAGATTTTCTTTTATTCGTATGTTATAGATCGACGCAACAACTCCGATGATCTGAGAGGAGGAGCAGGCCTAGGAAAGGCATCCTGCACCGGCGGAACAACCTGATGGTGAGTATCATTATTTATATTAATTATTATATCACATATATGTGTGTATTAATTTGATTCATTTATTTGAATAATTTAAACAAGAAAGATTCAAAGAAAAAAAGATTTATGTAAATCTTATAAAATTCTATTTAAAAAATAATTTTTTCAAAATTTACAAAGTTATTGCATCTTTATATATTTGTTTATTTTTTTATTTATATATTTGTTTATTATTGCACACATCGGATGTATTATAAAATTTGGTGCGTACAAAAATAATTGAATCCGAAATATATAATTGAATAATGAAATATAATGAAATATTAATTATTTTATGAGTTGCTATAATTTAAATTTTATATTTGTATGTTATAGACAACGTAGCTTCAGTATTAACAACTCCGCTGTTGCGCATCAGTGTCGGTGAGTAAAAAACTTTCATTTAATTTTAAGGTAATGGATTTGTAGAGCTTGTAGATGTAGATTATAGATTGTAGATAGATCCGTTGCCTTATAAAATGGATGAGCTAGAATACATTAAGTTAAATAACATTCAATAAGTTCTTTCAATACACATTGCATCTATTATAAAAGTAAATTAAAGTGTTAATTAAAGAAGGAAGATCATAGAAAAGATTTTTTAAAATTTGTATCAATTTTATCTAATTTGTCGAATATATAAAATATTAATAATTTTATCAATTATATATTTGTGACACTAATTTATTCTTGTAACGCAAATGGATTTTATTCTAATTTCTTATAGCTCATCCATATTGTAGAATTTGTTTATAGACAGTTTTTGAACTTTGTTTTAATTGATGTAAAGCCAAATATCTTATAATAATAAATGAAATAAATGTATTATAAATTATAAATATTATTATTTATTGTATTATAAATTATATATTACTATAAAAAGATTTATGTTATTAAAATATATATTACTATAAAATTGAATGAATTTTGGTTGATAATTTGGTTTTATCACAATTAAAGTAAAGTTATATAAATGTCTAATGAACGAGCGTAAAGTTGCACGATCATCAACGAACATAAAATGTTTACGCTCGTTTGCCAGCAATTAGCTTGCAAAAGAAGGAGTTTCTCTCCTTCCCCAATTTAAGCGCATCTAACAAATCATTAATAATAGTGCAAATTAGCACAAGTAAAATCTTGGCGTTTATTCGCTGTAATATAAAGTAATATTAAGATAAGCCAGCAATAAAAAGGAATTTACTTCCTTTTTTATCTCTAATTAGAGATTAAGTAAGAAAGTGGTCAGAAACAACGAAAGATAAGTCCAACTGGCTCGAAAAAAGAATGTCGCAAAATAGACGGCTAATATTAGCCAAAATGCGTAGAAATACCTAAAGTATCTTTATAAATATAAACACGCAAAAATACATTTCAGGTATTTTATATTTTCTTTACACGCAACATAGCAGCAATAATTAAGAATATTACTGATAAGAATATTACTAATTTAATTAGTAGCACATGATTAGGGCATGTGATTAAGGCGTGAAATTAGTTAAATTATGGTCATCTGATTGATATATCATCGCGTTTTCAACATATAATTAATGAATAATTAATGAATTAATTAACAAATAATTAATGAATTAATTTTTATAAATAATACTTAACTACATATAATGTGATAGATTTCGTAGTGCATATTTCGCGTAATTTATCTATTTAATCTCCCTCTCTTTCTCTCTTTTTTTCTCATCATCCACTACCATCATCTCCATCACAACTGCAAATACCAAGTGGCTATAGTCACTTATTACAACATGACAAACATTCTTTAAGTATTAAATTTGTCAAATATCTGATCGTCACCGACGCCATCGCCACCGTCGTTTTATAATATTATACTTTATATAAAATAATATTTATACTTTTTATATTTTAGAAATTTTTGAAAAAAATATCAATGAAATTAATCGAAAGTTTGGGGAAGAAAGGCAGAGGAGAGAATATGCATATAAAATATGCATATAAAATATTATAAAAAATTGCAATAAATCATTGAAATATTCTCTTAATTTATCATAATTTTATTCTCCTAATTTATTATCGTAATAATTATGTACAAAAGTTACGGTAAATATGTTCGTATATTAAAATATATATAATATATACACATATATAGTCAACATACAGTTGATTTACAATAGAGCGCCATTTGCTCATTTCTTCGAAAGTTTCGCACAAAATTTGAATGATACAGGAAGGCAGAAGAAATTACTTACAGGCGCTGTCATATATATTTTACAAAATATTATTTTAACGCTTCTAATCATTGTACTTGCATATGGACGTGGCAAGTCTAATGTAAAATGTTTATAAAAATCTTACTTGAGTACGTATGTGTGTGTTAATCGACATGTGCTTATTTATATATCGAATAGATTCACTTTTAATTTTTATCGGATTTTATGCATTTTAATTTATCAAATTATATTTTTAAAATAATGCCAGATAAAAAGAATTAAAAAATAAAATGTAATTGTCCAAAATTTCAAGGTATTTATATCTTTCCTAATATTTTTTATAATATTAAGATAGATTTAAATTAAAAATTCATCTCACTTCTTTGAGCTGAGAAGAAATGCATATTATGTAGTTGAATATAATATTACTATGTTAGTTATATATAAATAAGAAAATATATTAAATATAATATTAGAATATTACTTATTTAAAAACAGAATTTAAAACTAACTTAAAAATCAACTAATAATACGGCATTTTTAAATATTATTTTTCGTTACCTACACTCTTTATAATGATTTATAGTGTATGCACAAAATGGAAGAGTTATGTTTTGTTGTAATTAAATATATCGATAACAACTTTGTTGTTGTCAACATTTATTAATAACAACAAAGTTGCTTTATATATTTTTATCTTTTTTAATCGCTACATAATTCATCAGTTTATTAGACAGTTCTAGTCTTTATCTTTAGTCTCAACGATATAATAATAATTCGATCAATTTCCGATGTTATTGAACAATTATATTTTTTCTATATAGATATGTTACGAAATGACTAGTCTTTCACTTGTGAACGAGAAATACGTCGTAAGAGTAATCCTTTTATTTTTTATCTTGCTTTACATCTACAGTCAAAATGTAATACTATGAAAATTCAATAAAAAATAAGAAAGTTGGATAATTATTACTTTATTACGACGTTTTCTAATCACGGGCTAGACAGGAACTTGCTGAAAAATGTTTACAGGAGCGATTACTAACATATCACATAATTTTTTTCTATACTTGGTAAACAATCTAATATTTAAATGTATCCAAGTATCAATGCGAAAATATTTATAAATCTGTTACAATATAACTTCTATTATATATGTTTAATTCTAAAATTACGTAACATTTTCCGAAGATGAAGTTTTTTCAGGCTCATGTATTAAAGGCAATAATTATCTATACATATACGAAAAGAAATGGAATCTATCAATCTTTGTTTAATGAATTTTTTAAATGTGTTGAACATTTTAAATCTTTCATAATTTATTTGGTCATTGAATCATCCGGTTATACTTTATTTATTAATCACGTTTCTCTATAATCCAGCATTAATAACAGGCTGAATAAGACTTAAAAATATGCATTTATATTTTTATAAGTCTGGCAGTAGAATAGTAGGCACACATGTTAATCCGACCTATTGTGACATTATTGAGCTCTTCTTAATTTCTCTTTATCTTAAAGAATATGAAATCCCTTTTACGCGTCATAAAAATATAAAAATTTATCATGTATTTTAACGAGAAAATAATTTCTAATGTATAAATAACAGAGTATCTAATCTCTTTAAGGTATCGCTCACCAGGTGTCATTCATTAGAATGATAGATAGTGTTTTTTCTTCATTTTTTCAAGCCGTTCTCCATATCTAGGCTGGCCGAAGTCTCTCCGTTGAGTTCGTTCTGGATTTGTTTCAAGCTTTTGCCTTTCGTTTCTGGCAATAGGAATACTGTGAAAAGAATGCTGAGGATACAGAATGCGCCGAACATCCAGAAAAGCACGTAATTGCCGAACGCAGTCTCCAAATTTTTGGAGAACTTGGTGGCCAAGAAGGCCAGGAACCAGCAGACAGAAACCGTTATGCCGGAGGCCTTGGCCTTGACATTTGAGGCGAACATTTCGCCCATCACAGCCCAGGGAAGCGGGCCCCAACCTACACTATAAGTGGAGATGTAAATGATGAGCGCGACTATCGGCAGCCAGGATATTTGCGCCACCACGTCATCCGCGTGTTGCACTTCTTTTAGGTAAAAATACAAGCCCAGAGCAATCTGCAATACAAATACACGATTACGTGTGATAAAATGGAAAATCTATCAAAATTTGTGTGATAATAAATTCGATGCTAAAAAACATAATTGATATTATAGAAAAATTTAATTAAATCTGTGATGATTTTTTATCAGAAAATTTTTAAAATCTTTTATGACAATTTTTATACCATTACAATTTTTCTAAAATCTTTTTTTAGTAATAATAAGAACATATCTAATAAATTTTTTAAATGTAAAAATTATTTTCTGTATGATAAAATTTATTTTCAAAGAACCAGAGCTTGAAACGAATTAAACCTCTATTATTTTATCGTGAATGCATCTGCTTTTTGTCACAAATTCACATCGTTTTATGTAATCGTGATTATGCGATTGTACATGGAAGTCTCTGCACTGCGTGTGTGCTAAATTGCACTCAATGTAATAATGATCGACTCATTCCAATGGTATGTATATCGACATGTATAATAGTACTCGACCTTCCTCACGTCTCGCGGGCATTGTGCGTTCTGCGATGCACTTGTTGCATATTCTACATCGGACATTTCCGAGTGTGCCAGACCTTGCGTCGCGTTTATTTTTATTCAATTTGCATAAGAAGATCGCATACAAATGATAAGATTACGATTCGATCTCTTATATATATAGATAATTAAATCATTCGCCTCATTCTTGAAGGCAAGACAAATGATGAAAGCAAGAATTATTAAATCGCTAACTTTTGTAACACAATTATAGCAATGAGTACAATTATGAATGCCGACCATGAACATATTACTGTGGAATGTACTTAATGATCTAATGCATAATCTATTAATGTGATATGAAAATGAATCGATGCGGTTTCTACACGCATCTTTAAAATTTTCGCCAATAATCTTTAGAATTATTCATGGAAAATATAACTCTTTTAGTATAAAATTTCAATTTAAAAGCAAATTTTAATAATTTTAAAAATTAGTCAGTAATTCAATTCATTTAACTAAAAAAAAAATCACAATATATATAGGCTACTGCTAACAAATATATATAGGCTAATGTTTAATAAAATTAAAATGCTCATGGAAAAAATTGATAAATAATGATAATCTTAGTAATTGACTTAAATTTTAATCTTAAATTTTAATCGTATTTCATATACTTCTTGTTGATTAAATTAATAATTAAAAAAAATAATTGTGTACTTTTTGAAAAAAAGATTAAATTTTATGCATTTTTACATTTTAAGTTTCTTAACACTCTTTTAATTTTAATGAGCAATAATATAAGTCTATTCTAACGAATTGTTTTCATCATTTTGTCGTAAGATGATAGATTTTTAGATCGTTGCATAAAACAATAAACAAACTTTACGGAAACAATGTTGCATCTATCCCTTAACGAACACACTAACTTTAAACATAATTTTCAATGCAAATTTTTGAAAACAGATTTGTTATAAAGAAAAAGAGTGGCATGAAAACGTCAAAGTTTCACGCAACGGCAAGATTTTATAACTTAAAAGTGTGTCTTTGAATTCGTGGAAAAAAGAAGAGATAAATATGCAGCTTAGGATCAAACTTAATTTAAAAGTAGAAAAAAGAAAATAAAATAGAAAATAAAAGATAGAAAAAATTACTTACCAAACTGATTGTTTCTCCAATGCCAGAGAAAACGAGAAGCATTCTTCTACCCGCCTTGTCCACGACAAAGGGTGTTATTGCAGATGCTATTACTTGCACGACACCAATAATAATTGGTGCTTGTTCCGTTGGGATGGAGGTTCCAGCAGCAATGAAGATACTTTGCATATAAAATAGCACGACATTGATACCAGTAAGCTGTTGGAAGGAAGCCAAGGCACAGGTATAGATAAGGGCCTTTAAATTAGCTTTCACCTTAAATAGGTCTGAAATGCTAACTTGATCTCTAAAAGCCTCATCAATTATTGCCTGAAAGATTTGAAACAAAATCAAATGTGTTTATTAGACAGTGAAAATTAGAATGAAAAAATTAAAGTGTAATAATCTACATAAAATTATATTCTATAATTAATGTTTAAAAACTAAAATTGCCAATAACATTTAATTGATATTAAAGCAAAAGCAAAGTTCTATTATCTATTTTAATTCTTCAAAATTTTCCACTCAGTAATGCTAATTAATTTTGTAATTACAATTGTTTCAACATCTGCTATTTTTTTCATTTACATAACGTCTAGCATGTGCTATTGAAAGAATAATCCAGTAATTCCGGGAGACACTGCATTGTGTAGGAAAAAAATGTCAATTGCAAAAAGCTAATTACAATTATTTCTCAGCTATACGATTATCATTTAGGATCAAGGAACGGCCTTAGCCGCGGCCTCATTTACTTAACGTGATCTGACAAGCAATTCAGATATGCGTCTAATACTCGAGCTACGTGCTTATAAAGTGTAAATAGCGGTTACCTTGTCATTTAGATAGAGAAATCTACTTAGCAAAATTATAAAACAATCTTTATAGTAAAGGAATTAAAACTAAATAAAATTGTACAGCACACAAGCTTCTAAAAATTATAGATTTTATATATATAATAAATTTAATTTCAATTTTTTTAATCGCGAAAAACAGTTAATAAAAATCTGCTGAAATTAATAAACTGAAATTAATTCTTGATTCTTGAAAGATAGAATTTGTGATTTTTTAAAAGCGAATAAAAATTGCTACGATTTACCTGCATTTCGTCGGCTTCTTTCTGGACAGCTCCTTCAGATTTACTTCGGAGCTTTGCTAAAGTTGCGATCGCTTCTTCTCTGCGGCCTTTGCTGAGAAGAAAATACGGAGACTCTGGCATCATTACAAAGCAGACAAAGAAGAGTACTGGCAGAATAGCACAGAGGATCCAAAAGACTGTGTAACTGACGAAGGGCCCGATAGCGTAAGAATACAACAATCCAATTGTTATAAAGAGCTGAAGAAAAGAGCCCAACGCTCCTCTAATGGAAGTCTAAAAAGATAATATACTTGTTACTAATCAATAGCAGAAATATTTATACAATAGTAATGTTATTTTACTCACATTTTTTATTTTAATTTAATAAATTAGATATTGCGAGTAAAATTATTTAAAAAATTTATACAAGTTTACTAAGAATTCTATTAATCATAACTTTTTAAAGATAAATTAAGAAAATTAAATAAAAGAATTTTTTTATGATAATTTCAAAGAATCCTGCATATAAATCAAAATTATTGATTATACAAATATTATGTAAAATAAATTTACCTCAGCGATTTCACCACAATACATAGGTAGAATCGTGAATGGAATACCCAGAGCAAATCCAAATATTAGTCGCGCGACATAAAGCTGAGCAACGTGACTTGCCGTAGCAACTAACGCCCATCCAATTGAAAATGGTACGACGGCAAATAATGCTGTTCGTTTGCGACCCCATCTGTGAAGAGATCAATAGAATAGATTCTTCTTCATCAAATATTTAAATTTAACATTTCATATTTTCGTGAAGAAATGGAAATATCTTTATTTTTGACTTGTTGCTTTGAAAAAGGGAGCACGCAATTATATCATAAAACTCATGCATGTTTGAATTTATTAATACCTTTCTCCGAGATATCCTGCTATGAAACTACCGGGGATTGTACCGAGAGCCATTAGAGATGCTATCCACGAACTTTGTTCACTAGTGATTTTCGACCCCAGAGGTCCACCATCTTGCTCCAAGTTGGGAAGGACCGGACTCGTCCATGCCAACATCGCACCAGTCGCCACGATACATATATTGCCTGCAATCGTATTAAATTTCAAGATATATTTTTATGCGCAAAAATATACCGTTGATAAAATAATTTTAAATATTTAATTGGTGTTTTTTGATATATTATATCATTAATATCTTGAACATTTAACGATTCATTATAATCAAACACGTTATTAATTCGTAGCTTTCATATCTAAAGCCCTTATATATATTGATTTATCATTATTAACGTTATTTTATCGCTCCGATAGGATTTGATAAAATATCCATAAGCGTATTCTTAAATTTAAATTTAGATATAAACCGTATTATAAATCGTAGAGAGGGATAAACATGCCAAAAATGATTTATATGTGCTTACGTATATCAGTCTCTAACATGTTGCTGTATATTTAACATATTTATACATATTTAATACACATTTTTAACAAAGAAACAACTTAGGATTTTTTGCTGTTCTTTTTTTTATAGTATATATTTATTACTAAAATACTTATCCTTTTTTTATTTAAACAATTTATTTTATTTTAGCAATAAATTTTGATGTCTTTTTATTGTAACACAGCTTTCGTAAAAGTTTGTATTTCTTTTTAATCACAAATAAAATTTTATATAATTTTATATTATAAATGTTACGCATTGAAATTTTAATTTGTTAATAAAAATGCTTTTATTTAAAAAAATATTTATCTTTCAAAAATTTCAAATGCATTTCTTATCACTCTCGAGAAATTGACTTTTCGAAGGTATTTCTGCGCGAGTCTCGCGATTAGCAATTCAATTATATCAGCGGTCGGGATATGCTTGCCGGTAATGCTTTGCCAACGAAATGCGAATCAAAGCGCGCTTTGAAGGCTTTTCCGGCGATAGAGCGGTTTTACATAATTGTATTTCAGGCAATACGGTGAAATTCAAGGCTTACCACGCTTCCGGTTTTACAGAGCAGTGCACGTACATGCAAACCTTACAAAATAGAAATTTAAATCATAGCGCAGTAGAAGATACCCGACGACAAACTGTCACGTGTAAACTAGATTTCAGTCTCGAAAAATTTACATAAAATAATTTCTATGAATTTTTTATGTTGCATATTTTTAAATTTTTTAGTATAAATAATGCAATAAGAAATATTTTTGAATATAATGTTTTAAACTACAAGAGAGAACTTAATTAGCTAATATTATTATTAGTTAAATAATATTTCAATTAATATTCTATGTTGCTAAACAGAATATTTTTATATTTTATTTCGCAAATTATAAGAGGATAATAGCTTTTACATACAAACGCATAGAATGAAATATGCATTTATGTGTCAGCTTTATACAAATAACGCATATGATAATGCGAGAAAAACCAGCAATGTGGTTATTTTAACGCGATAATATCGCTCCTCAGAATTATCGCATTTATGTAATCCACGATTCACTGTCGTGCCATTATACTGTCGACATTGCATTGCATTATTAAATAAACGAGATGGTAACGTGTCATAAGAGTCATATGATATCGAAGAGATATAATCTCGATATTGTCAAAATATTGAAGTTGCTATTGATGGCGCGAATGTAGAATTGCATCTCGCAATTCTGAGGAAAATAATGTCCGATCTTTGCCAACCTTGTTCAACAACCTTAAGAATCAGATATGCAGAAAATAACTCTGTGTTTATCGAATTGCATTAATATCATTTTTAGTTTACCTGTTTTTAGTTTATAATTAGAGATTGTGTTCCAGATTTTCATAAATTATATATGTAGTATTTAATGGACATGCTATTATTTAAACAATTCTGAAAAATACTGCGGCATACCGCAGACAAACAGAAGAGTATGAATGGGAAAAAGAGATGTCATTGTGAGCAAAATGTATGTTAATGATATAATATGATTAACTGTTTCATATATAATCGTACGCCAAATTATTAATTATCAAGATATTTGCTGCATTAATTGCAAATAAAAATATTATTGTACATAGACACTGGAAAGATAGAGAAATGATTAGATTTTAAATGATTATTAAGTTGATAATAAGTTTCTCTTAAATAATTTTTAATAACCACATTATATCATATAAAACAAGTGCACTGATTAATCACTTACGCGTTAGATAAACAGTCTTTGGAGCAAACAAAATATTTGTTTGTGAAGCCTAATCAGCATTACTGTGTGGGCTTATCTTTACGTTTCCTTTCAGTTGTACAACCTGGCATATTGTCGCATTAATTTCGTTTACCATTAGTAAATTATTTTCTGATTAACCCCGAGTGTGTGTGTGTGTGCAATATGATAGCGATTATCTGTCACATTTATTGCAACGCAATAAATCCGTGTCAAGTATCATCACGAATACAAAAATCCAGATATGCATTCAGATTCAGCACTTTGCAATATAAACGAATATATGACGAGGTAAAATAAAAAAGTAAAAGAGAAAAAAAGAAAAAGAAAGAAAAAGAGAATCACATTTGATATGATCGGTCATATTAGTAATATCTCACTTTTGATTCTGGAAAACTTTTATATTTGATAAGTATTTTTCCAGACTTCTTATATCATTCATCATACCATGTATCTCCGATAACGATTAAGAATTTTTCTTTTAATCTCTTAATTCTTCTTTTTTTCTAATTAATTACGATTAATTAAGTAATTATTGCATAATTATTCACGATTTATCTTTCCCGTATTTTTATTCTAATTATAGGTTTAATTGTACTAAGAATATATATATATATATATAATTTAAATTTTGATAATTTAATCTTACAATTAGAAAAGTGGACAACAAAAATTCAATTAAATATTAAATAATTTAAATTATGTTTTTAAAACTTGCAGTATAAGTAATTTACTATATAAAATATTTGCTATATTTAACAAGTTATAAAAAATTTTATTTTTCTCTCTTTTTCTCTCTATACATATATATTAATTTTGTGCAGTGAATATCCGATCATCAGTATGTGCTATTTCATAAATTTATAATATTACCATCGATTTATTAAATGACATTCTAATATCGATATATTTTTTGTCAAGATATTAAGCAATCTTTATGCAAATTTTTATCTTGGTCTCAAGCAAAGATTCCTGACCTTTATTACACAATTAAGGAAAATGTTGACTATCTTTAAACAAGTCAACATAATCATGCGAGACTTCTAAAATAAAAAATATTTATATCAAAAGAGGCGCGTCGCGAAAATGCTACGAGCGATTCTACGAGGGCCTTTAACCCTGAAGATAGTATAACTGATGCTGCATTAAATGCCAAAGTCAGAAAGTGACAATGACCTGTTATTGGATTAAATATTCGTTCGTTGATATTAATTCATCTTAATCCGTTATTTTTGTCGGCTTATTGAAGTTCAATCATGATCGCGTACTATGCTCTTTTGTTGCAAATTACACCTGACAATCCCTTCTTTGTTAACACGTTGGCCATACATGATTACGTAACAAAAATATATAAAATGAACGATAAAATAGTCCATACTAATGATAAAGAATAGATAAGAAGCAAAGCGCGATGAAATCTTCCTATGAGATATTGTATCGTTTGACGAGAATTTAAAAATGGAAGTCAAAAACCGATTAATTGTAAATGTTAAAAATGATGTCTTAAAAATGACGTCTTACAGAAAAATCCATATACAAAATTTCACAATACAAAATACAAAATTTCTGTATATATATATACAGAAATTTTGTATTTTGTATTGTTAAATTTTGTATTGTGAAAAAATTTATCTGAATTTAAGAGATATTTAATTTATATTATTTAAATTTAACTTAAATTTACTTTTTCACATTTTCTTTTAATTTCCATTATTTAAAACTTATAAAACTTATTAATAATTTTGCGCAATTTTTCCTGCATATTCTTTTTTAATAAATTATTATATATATATATATATATATATATATATATATATATGTTAGAGGCGTGCAAATCTGCTCTCACTCCCGCTCGTTCCTGACAGCAAGACTGGATTCTCGAGAGTGAGGGTAGATTTCGACCCCCACTCCATCTAATAGAACATCGGGACTCGGGACTCGCTCGTTCCTGAGCCTGGATTCTCGATAACAGCGCTCCCGATAATCTGACTCTCGAGAATCCAGTCTCGCTGTCGGGAACGAGCGGGAATGAGAGTAGATTTGCACGCCTCTAATATATGTGCATGTGTGTGTGAGTGTGTGTATGTGTATATATAATGTTAAAAGTTTAAAATCTAATTAAAATATGATACGTTATATTATAATAATTCTTCATCTACATTTTTTAATATATAAGATATCTATATAGAAAAATTAATGTATATAAAATATGTTATATAATCTTAGCAGTGATATAGAGATATATCAATAATATCGGAAATTCATCAATCACGCCGGCAAGAAAAGTAGGCATTATTCCTATCAGTGCGATAAAGATAATCTAGCTTATACCCGGTACAGCTACTTCCATTTTTCAAAAAGAGCAATTTTTTATTTTTTAAATAATATCGCGATAACAAATCATGTAATGGATGACAATAATGCGATGACGAAATGTGATTATATTCCACAAATTTGCGTACGATTAAATGCTCGATAGTAACAGAAGAGAGCATTATCTTTCATATTTTCATATATGATTGCAAATATTGTTATCGTCATTTTATATTACGCAAAATCGTTCGCATTGACGTTGTGCCAAACTGTTAATTGACAAACACATTGACGTCCATGCAACGAAATTGCATCTGACAGCAGTCGGAACGTGCGTAAAATCGACAGATTAAAAATGATAAATAACAAACAATCGATAGCACTAATCACAAATGCGCGGGAGGCGTTACCGGCGATAACGATACTCAAAGAAATATTCTAGTACTGTAAATAAAACTATTATACATTATCAACAATACAATGTAACTGTGATAACAGTATTAGCTTTTATAAAGCTGTAGATATTATATTATTACATATAACATCTTGTCATTAAAGATTGATGAAGATATACAGTTAAATAAATATTTTGCTGCAAAAGCTAAAATCAAAATAAAACGTGATAAAAAATTATATATATTTTACAGATATATAGAAATATAAAATATCGATTTTAATAATATTCCTGTAAATATAAAATTACTTTCATAAATAAAGGTCGTTTTACGAATATCTTAGCTTACTGTTCCTCAGTCATTCCTTATCAATATTGAAATTTTATCCAATTTATTTATCAATATGGATTAAAATATTTTAACAAATTACTGAAATTATCTATAGATTGATTATATGGAAATCAGATAAAATTTTTCAATTACTTTTTAACTTTAATTTTTAAGATAGTGCTTTATCAAAAAAATGTTATTTTGCTTAAATTAGATTTATTTGATAAATAAAATTAAAATATTCGATTTTTAAAAATAATGGAAAAGAATTAAAATTTAATATTTTATATCTCATTACAAGGTGGTATTTTATACTTTACATAGCTTATTTACTTTGTGGTGAATTTTTTCTAGTACTAGATAAACATAAATTTCTGTATATTTAATAAAACTTTTAATGAATATTTAATGAAAATTTTTGCTTGGAATCAATTAATTTACATAAAAGCTGACGAACTAACTATCAATGTAAAAATTTCTCTACGATGTAAAGTTGTGTAGAAAAATGAATATATGAACAAATCAGCATATTGATAAATTATAAAAAATAGAATATCACGATATGCAATATATACATATTCTAATAAATGTATTAAAGCACGAAGTGACCGTAAAATATTCGAATTTTCGTTACGGAAACTTAGATTTCGCGAGGACAAACTGATTTTATAAATATTGGCTGTTCTCTCTTTCTGTGGTTTGACGTCTCAATTCATATTTATAACAGAGAAATCTCATCTATTTTATTTCTTATACAAATAAATAATTTTAGAATAAGAAACGTTCATTCTCTGCAAGGATCTTTGCTCTTGTGTATTTTGAACTCTCGTGCAAGTTGCCGTCTGCAGAACCTAATCAGAGCTAATCTGAATTTTTATTTTTAAGAATGTCGCCGATATATGCAAAAATTTTAATAAATTCCAAGTTTTGAGTTTTATTGAACTTTTGTTTGCAGTCTCCGATTTTGATGAAAAACAACATCGTTAAGGAATCGAATATTAATCTTTGTCGAAAATTAGATTTTTTAAACATACACAAAACTGTGACATCATACTCGTATAATCAAAGGACTCACTATTTTTTTAGAATATATGAAGTAAATTGTTTTATTCCCCGAGGAAACAGCACTTCTAATTCAAATTCTCACTTCGGAGTGTCGTACACTTGGCTAGTTGTACCAGTAATGAGGAAGTAATTTAAACCGATGGCAATCTTTGTCGGTTAAGATTGAATTCGGTCGAGCACCGGATGCGAATCGTTTAATATTCCCGTCATCCGAATACGCGAAGGACTCTACGATGGACATAAATCATGGCACGTAGCTTATCATTGTCCTCCGCTCTCTTCTCGGTGCGATGTTCTCAAGTGCATTTTCTATGCTACTTGAAGTTCTCACTAATCTTGACTTGATCAACCGGGAATCACCGGGCCGAATAATCACCTGGGTTTTTCTTCTCTCTTTGTATGACGTGAATTCAATAGCGAATTCCACAGAGAGTTTTTTCTTGCTAAATTCGATCTTTAATTCTATTCGTCATTTCAAATATTGTAAGAAGAGTATATTTTTAAGAGATGTCGTAATTGAGAAAAACTATCTTCAATAAAATATAAAATGTTTGCATAATGAGTGTATTAATATAATGTGAATAATGAACTTGTATTTCCTGAAAAAAATATATTTTAAACAAAAAAGTGACAAAAGATTTATAAATAACTTTTGTCAGACAAGAAGGATTGTCATTTAAACAAATTCTTATATTTTTTCCACGTATTTAACACAAAACGTATATAACTCTATATGACTCTATCTCGTTGAATATTGTACTTACTATAAATTACTTACTATAAATGTACTTACTATAAAATGTACTTACTATAAATTTGAAATGAGAAATAAATAAGTAATGAAGAAGAATACAAAATATCAGAGGCTAAAAATATCAGAGGTTTTTGTTTTATTATGATAATATTTGCATTTGAAATGCATCACTGAATTCACCTGGGTCAATATTTTCATTATTATTGTTTTGACATTGTATTGTTTACTAAAGTTTTATAAAGACTGTGTAATTAAATTTTAATATGTCGTATGAATTATGTTTAATGTATATATACAAAAAATATAATTAATTAAACATCTTGTTACGTTGTCGAACGTTATTATTATTATTAAGTTAATAATTTATTTAGGACTTTTTAAGTTCGTAATAGGAAAATGTTAAAAATTCTAAATTTTATACAGCATACTACATAAACACACATTGACAAATTAATAATTTCGATTCTCTTACGAATTTTAATAATGGCGGTCGGAAAAATCACTTTGCATGATGTGCGAAATGCAGCCGTATCATACATGTGGTGAGAGCTGGTAAATACATATTATACCCCTTTATCTTCTTCAATTAATATCATTTAGGGGAATCAAACGAATAAGTGTACTGTTAAAAAGCAAATCATGCGATCTATTTTCCCATTATCCAATCTGTAATTATTATCTAATCTATTCGTTATCCACGCTATACTATGTTGAAAACTATTTAATTCTTCAAGAACAAATTTGAAATCTTGTGTAAGAAGACTATAAACCAAATTTGATATTCTCTTTATACTGTATAAATATATAATATTTCAATAATTTTTAATCAATTTTTTACAAGGTTTCTTCTCGATGTATGAAAATGTAGAATGATCAGACAGATCACGATTAAGAAGCCCGTGTAAAGAACACTCCCCAAAGTGTCATACCAATCGATTGCGTATAACGGAAGAATGATTATCTGTTTTAATCATTGCATAATAATATCCCAGGTAGTACATATTCATTTCAAAAAATATTTCAAATATTTCTTCGAAACGTTTCATAACCGACTTGAAAACATTTCTTTGGTTAAAATTGGTTAAAATATCCACTTAAAAAACGTTAAGAAATACGTTTCCTTTCTGATAAAAAAAAACGTTTAAAATACGTTTAAAACGCTTTTTTTCCTTTTATTCGTTCATTTTTTCATGGAATTAATAAAAAATAATGCATTCATACACACTCTCTAAAAATGAAACAGTATATTATCATTGAAAACAGTAAATAAAGTCACTGATATAGCAGTTATAAGTTATTATAGCACTGTAAAGAATTAGTAATATTGACTGTTTTAATCAGTAATATTAGATTATAATTTATCTACTTCGTATAAACTTAAAAATTTTATTTATATTTACATGCATATTAAATGTGATTTATTTTACATCTTAAATAAATAATGAACAGATCATATTCGCCGGACATTCACTTGTCCACTTAAATCGATTTAATATCTGAAGTTTCTCTATATTAAGATTATATCAGAAATTAAATCAAAGTAATAATTTTAATTTCATCCATCGTCTTTTGCAAATTTTATATAATTCTCATGACTAAAACCTCAGTACGAGAAAAATAGGGCACCTTTGCGATAAACGAATGAACTAGCATGATTACTGATTTTACTTCCACTGACTATAATTAGTAAAATTTTACTTTCACTGACTATAATTAATAAGATATAAGATAAAGTAACAAAAAAATATAAGATAAAGACAAATAAACGTCTATTGAAGATCAATAAAATATTGATTCTTACTGATTTTTAATGATCTTATTCATATATTTGTAAATAGAAATTAATATAGTTTTCGTAATAATTATATATATATATATATATATATATATATATATATATATATATTGTTATGTCCCTGAATTGCGCATATTTAAGATATTTTGGAAAACCTTGAAATTTTCATCATTTCCGGTATGTGTTGTCAAGAGGTTGTAAAAAACAATGGAGTGGAGAGTTTGACTCGGATTGACATTTTTGGCGGACGTGTCTTGGACGGCTCCTATCAATTTTGTGTTGAAACATTGATTGTGTTGTGTTATACTGTTCGTGTTATTGTGTGATTAAAGTTCTTCTTATTTATAAGTAAGTATCTTTATTCCGCGAGCCGGGAAATTACATCGTGCGCTTCGAAATCTCGATCGAGTCCGCGGGCATAACAATATATATATATATAATATTTATTTATTTATGTATATGTATATGTATGTATATATCATTTGAAATTAATTAAAAATTAGTCTATTTTGTCTATAGAAACGTGAAAAATACGTTTCTTTAACTATGGTTTTAAAAACCTTTCTATAGAAACGTTTCTTATTAATGCTATGCAATTAAAAAACATTGGATATGTTTAAGAGATATATATAAAATGAACGTGTGCTATATGGGATGTGTTACACAATATATATATATATTAATGAAAAGCAGAAGTTGCTCTATATTTTTAATTTAAAGAACAATACATACCTAAAAAATTCGAAAATATACGAACAAAGTATGTCTATCTGAAATCTAATTTTATCTTATAAAGTGAACTTAACTCACACATATCAATCGGATGAAGCGTTGCATAATTGTAACTTTCATTATAGTGAAAGATACATGATTCTTTCACATGAGGAGCATAAAATAAATACACGTTTCAGTAAATTAATTCATTAAATCTCATGCATAGAAGAATTAAGAATATTTTTTTTAACTATTATAAAATATATTTTGAGGAGAAAAGACCACGATTGGCGGGAAAACGATATTATTTTGGTCAGTCAACTAATTAATTTGATTTTAGTTTCAAAATTTTTTAACTCTGAAAGTCGAACTTACCTGCCGCCGCGGCCAGGAACTGGACGAACTTGGAACCTTTTTCCGCCATATTTTCGGGATGATGATTGTCAACAATGCGGAATGATGTTCTATACGATTCTTCGCCACGCTCTGTACTCAGCTCCACAGATTCTTTGCCAGGGGTGGCAGTATCAAACACCGCCAAAGAGGAACTCACTGGTACAGGGCTGTAAGCATAGTCTTTATACGAGCGCCCCTCTATTTCTTCATTGTCACGAGTGGGAGTCATTTTCTCGATTTCTCTCTCTCTCTTTTTCTCTCTCTTTCTTTCTCGCTCTTTATTTCGCTCGCTCGCTCGCTCGCTCGGTTTCCTCTAATCGTTTCCACGTTTCTCTCCCACTCTCTTCTTTTATCGTTCTTCGTCAGACACGAAGATCTCGATCGCGGCGCGTTGTGACAGTATGCAATGATCGACGTGACGGTCTCGAGTCCTAGACCCTGAAACGATGCGATGTCAAGGTCGCGTGGCTACAAAACAATCCCACAATTTTCTTATTCAATATTCAAAAATATTCAAAAGGGATATTTTTCGGTTGATGGAAATTTCCAAGTTACAAAAGAATCAGGAAGAAAAGGGTACAGAGACTTTTAGGATTTTATTTTAGGTTGTATTAATGTTAAATTAAATTTAAGTAAAAATTTAGTAATGTTTACGAGACAAAAGTACATTTTATTTTAGAGAAGCAGAAATAGCTTAAATGTCTTAACTAGAACACATTTATTTATTTTTGATTTTTTGTTTTTTGGGAAAAGAAATTAGACTTTATCAAAAGATTTGTATATAATAATACATTTACACGAAGAAAAGGTAAAATTAAATCAATAGTTGTGTTTACATATTTTCTGATTGCGAAGAAAAAAAATAACGTAATTCTACGATAAAAACAAATTAAATTGTAATTAAGTGTAATTAAGTTTTATTTGAATCCACGTTCCGTAAAACTTTTATAAAAGAACAAGTATTCATGATAACCGCAAGTATTCTTGATAAATGTGTATATTCATGCATCTTTTAACTTGTATTGATCAATATTTTCCAAGAATAAATATGTGTAGAATTACAACATTATTTAGAGAAATAATTTTTCTTGCAGGATTTTTATTTAAAAAATTTTTTACATCAAATCTATAAATTATAAGATGTGATTATAAGTATTTTATAAGTATTTTATAAAATTCAACGTCTGTTTTGGCGCGAATAATACGCGTTGGCACAAATCTGTACTATAGAGTATCACTCCAATCGAGAATGATTCCTTTCTTTCGCCGATGCTCTCTCTAATACAAACTGAAAGAAAATCGATAACGCGCTGTACCAAATTCGTCGTAATAACGCTAATGCAAGCGAGCGAGCGATCGATTAAATCGCGAAAGCACGAGAAGCGAAATCAATCGCGAATGGAATATTTTGCGTTTCGTATCGTTTCATTTTGATTAACTTATCCGAATGTAGATGTTAATTTCGTAATGCGCGTATTTGTTTATCGTTTCGTTTTATGTCGTTTTATTTTGATTAATGTATCCGAATGTAGATATTAATTTTATAATGTAAATATTATTTGTCTCTTATTATATTTCATTAAGGGCACTTTCCTTTCTCTTATCTCGCGAGACGGAACGTTGTAAAATTTCTATTTGACTGATTGAAATAAGTAATGTGGAATAATTCGAAGAAATTTCCTGCCCTGACTCCACCTATTTACGCGTCAGGAGAAAAATCAATAAAATCCAGGATGAGATTTACTCGTGTCCTGCGATGTCGACCCGCAACCGATACTGCGTTACGCACATGCGTATCGCCACTAACTCTCGATTTCGAATCAACAGCAGCTTTAATATTGTATAGATATAAACGAAGTTCTCAAACAGAAAAATACGAAAACAATTTTTATAAAATATTTTTCTAATTCGTAAATAATATATAAATGCCGAATTATATTGCCGAATTCGTAAATAATATATAAATGCCGAATTATATTGAAGATGACGGTAACAGATGTTATTTCGTTGGAAATTCTAAACAAAGCTAAATAAAGTTCGCAAAATAAATAACGATATAGATGTTTTTTTTGATCAAATAAAATAAATACAATCCTACTGCAAAATACAAATGAAATATCTTTTACATCAACTAAATAAAAAATATTTAAAAGCAAGAATTTTGTATATTGCTATGCAAAAATATGACATAGAATCCAAAATTTTCTCTTTTATTAATATTGTCTTTATTAACTTTATTAGATTCATCTTTATTCCAGATTAAAAAATGTATTGAAAAACAATTTTACGTGTTTTGAATTGACTGTAATTAAGAAATATATTTGGGTTTTGTTAGGACAAGTGTAATTTTTACACACTGGCGATACAAAATGATTTTATTAATTATGATTAAGCAAAGTCATATTTAGATTGATCGATTAAATTGCAATGTATTAACATGCACACTTGTTCTAACAAACAAATTTTCGAAAGAAATTCACTAGTTCGATTAATTTGATATTCAACATAACTTATATTGTCATATATCACTTTTACGACTGAAATGCATTGGAACATTTTTACAACAAAAAATGAAATAAATTGTTTAGGCGCATGGAATGTTTATTATCGCTTCGAAAAAAAATTCCTTTTTTTCACATTCTTAGCTTGTCTCCGACGTAAAATCTTCTTGATAATCGCTCTATCCGTCACACATTTTTGTAAACGAGAAAGAAAAGAAATCGCGTATCGCTCGCATCGATGATCTAATTACAATTTATTGTTATCGATAGCAAGCTCGATAATTTCGTCCAGTTGGAAAGATCGCAAAAAATTCACAATGAATAATTCAGAAAGAGAAAGGAAAAATAAATCACTTACCGCTGTCGCACAAGCACCTGATTAAAATGATCTTTTCGACAAGTAAGAGCTGCATTATAAGCTTTCGATTAATATCTTATGTAATAAATGATGTGCGATAGATTATCGGAATGAATCGTGTGTATCACCGTTATGTCAATCATTCATATCTTTGTCACAGTAGTCCTTGATAACGATAAACAAAGTAATCTCTATAGCATCGCTTCAACGTCGATTACACGTAAATTGCTCATAAAATATTGATCCACTGACGATCATGCGGATTCTACTAAACGCCAATCATTATAAATCAAACATATATCTTATTGCTTCAGTGTTTATTCAATCAATTAAATGTCTCTCTTTCACGTAAAATGCTTTAATTAAAATTTTCTCCCGTTCTTTTACTCTTCATCTTTTATAATTAACACTTAATTTATTTTTCATTGTTTTTTTAGTTTTAATATGCTTTTGAAATCTTTTTCATTCAGAAGAAATATTTAATTTCTTTGTGGCGCAAATATTAATTGAAAATATAATTAATTTGAAAGTATAATTAAAATTGAAAATTATAAAAAGGTGCATATATTTTTTTATAAACTTTTATGAATAAAATAAAAAAATTATCTATGTATCCAATGTTTAATATAAAGATATGATATACAAATTAGACGTAGAATATCACATGCACAATAATTTTTTATCAGTTTTATCATTCGATCGATTTTAACACTTACCTGTGTCGATTTAGGCAACGGTTAAAATACAATAATTATCGTGCACTATTACTGGAAGGTAAAACAAGAAAGATTTATTGTCTCTCACATTTATAAAAAAATTATTCTCAATATTTTAACAAGCGCGCGCGTTTAATTACTTTAAATATGATTCGTCGTGATTAATCTCTCATCGTACTGCAAGCTTTTATAGAGTCTGACTCTTAATTAATCATCACACGCGAGAAAGAAGCGAATTAATTGGAATAAATGAATTAATCAACTCAACGGGATATCGATTATTTTAGCAAGAATTATGTACAAGCTGATTATAGTTAATATTAATCGAGATTAGTGAAAAATAAATTCTTATTCATCGTTTATATTGCAAGCTGATTATAGTTAATATTATTCGAGATTAGTGAAAAAGAAATTCTTATTCATCGTTTATATTGCAACTAGGACTAAGAAGAAAGATAAGACGTTCAGAAAGAACTTCTGAAGAAAGACAAAATATCTACAAATTAATATGTTGTAAATTAAAAAGAATCACAATATATAAGTTATACGTGCAAATAAATCGAATTAAGAGCTCGTTTGAATAATTCCTCACGATTAGAAGCGTAAATTTCGCAATTCTATTAATACTATTGGTAACTTAAACACAAGAAATAATATGGGATGATTATAGAACGATTTTCTAAAAATAAAAAGAATTATGATGTAAATTGACCTTATACATCAATAATACCTACGTGATTATGTTTGTTTATATACCACTAGTATCATCATCAGAAACTCGGTGTTTCCAATAGTTTCTAAAACCGAATTGTTCGAGCGAATTTCTAATTTATTTGCAAATCATTATATAATTTATACTTCGTAATTCTCTTTAATTTGTGGTACAGCAATTTCTCTCTATTATAATTGTGATAATTTATAGTTTACAGCATATATTATAAATATATATTAAATATATATATTATAAATATTTTAAAAGTATATTTCTTTCTATTGAGTTTTAGAATGTTAAAAAGATTCTTATAAAATAATTGATTTTATACCCGGAATTCAAATATTGTCGGTTTTATCAAAAGTATGTCGCATTAATATTGCATTCTATAAACAAGTATTAAATTTTGATAATAAAAAATGGAAAAAATATGAGCTCGTTATTATTATCAATTATTCGCAATGCTAATTCGTAAATTTATAATGTGCTGTTTAAGATTAAAGACATATTTCTGGTTACATCAGTTATGCGAATCACGTTTCATCATCGATGTTTCAGAATATCTTTTACTAAGTGAACATATTGATCGAAAAACACCGCTTTGCCGATCAAGATTGTTCATCTCAGAGGGATTCACTTAATTAACGGGATCATCCTTGAGCTTCGGGCTATCCTCGAGGATTTACCAAAAAAAATCGCTCTCTAAGGATTGCGAAATGTCCTCCTAATGACAAGTTCATTGAACAAAAAACTAACGTGACAGTTCGGTGATTAAAGCTTCTGCTGTCTCTTGATTTTGCAAATAATCGCTGTAATACATAACCACTTAGCCTGATTACGAACACAAAAAAGTTATTATCTTTTAGCAGTTTTTGCTGGCACGTACGCAAGAATTCTTGCCATGGCGATTTCTGACGCGTGCCTCCAGCTGGAAATATATTTTAGAACGATTATTCACTGTATTAATTTAAAACTATTATCAAAAAAATCAATAATATTTTTTCCTGGCAATTGAAAATCTTTCTTACGAAATAATTGTCTTATAAAGATAGCGACTTTATAAATTAATTAATTTTTAAATTAATATCAATTAATTAAATTTTTAATTTATTTTATTTGAGAATAATAGTAAAAAGTATTTATTCTAAAAATATATTAAATGTATAAATAATTTTGCAGTTATTTAAATTATAAATTCAGAATTTAATTCAAATTTTAAATGTTTTAACATTTAAAAAGCATGCAAAAAATAGAACGTTTAAATAATACGCTAACAAAGAATTGTATTGAATTAATTAAAGAGTGTATAACAAAATATATATATTATCTCAAATATAATGTGCAAAATTGAAAATAAAACTCGATATTTACTGAGAGGTGCTGAAATTTATAAAGGAAAAATTAACAAGAATATATTATTTTTATTACTAATTTAATAAAAGTTAGTTTTTAATAATTTTGTTTTAATAAAAGAGACTTTGGAATTTTTTTCAAAAGGAATCTAATTTTGTTCGGAGAACCAAAAATTGATAATAAAGTATGCTACCATTATATGAATTTATGTTGCATTATGTAAGGAGAGGTTTACAAAATCCCGTTGTAAAAAACAATTAGTAAATCAGTTTTATCACAATATTATTTCAAGACTCGAACGATTATGAAATTTGTCGTTCGTATAAGTGCGCACAAACATAATGAATAATGCGACAAGAAGTTAATACAAGACAATCTTTAAACGATGTATGTATCTCTCCACACGCAGTCTTCATGGAATAATGAATGATCTAATACGTAAAAAAATGTGTGACGTATGTTAAAAAAAAAAGATTAAGCGCCGTTGGGGGATTAATAGGAAACGTGAATAAAATGTGATATGGTTCAGATAGTGCTATGTGTGCACAAAACGTGATTAAATTCATTTATCTCAAGTGCACTTACGTTCGATGCAACTATAGTGTACAAAAATGCACATTACGTCATTGAAGATCCCATTAAAATCTTCAAGTGATAAGTCACGCGGCAAATTATTCGTAGAAATTATTCGTAGAAATTCGTAGACATTTTTTACAATTAAGGAATATAATTAATATTTTTGTGTTATTTTATGTATAAGGATAAATTAAATAAGAACTAATTCACATAATAATTTCATAGTATACATTAGATAAAAAAACATATTTTCCTTATCTCTAATTTTTTTAAAGCAAGAATTTATATAAGTTTAATATAATTTCAAAAACTTGATAAAATATTTAATTAAATAATATTTACTACATACTAATTATAGACTTACTATATACTTTATATTACGCAATGTACTTGATTATGTGTGCGGTATTCTCTAGTGTTATAAATAATCAAACAAATAGGTAAAGACAATATTTCAGTTATTCATAACTGTGAATAATGGTTGTCCATTGACTTTAGAGGTCTCCAGATAGCTATAAACTTAAAATACAGTTTAAATTTACAGTTATCTAATTTTAAAGCCCATAAACACTGTTGACAATTATGAATAACTGGAATATAAAAAATGATAGCTGACAGAAACATTTATCAAAAATTATTTTAATAATAAAGAGTATATATTTTTATATCAACATTAAAAATAGCAACATTTAAAACGCGTTATTTTGTATGGAAAAATTTAAGTTTCGAATATTAATCTTCTCGTATAATTTTTACGATACTTGTTTAATACAATACTAATTAATGCATGATAACACACTAATTAACACTCAATATCTTTGTTTATTCATTATGCAGTGACAAATTACATTTGCCAGATATACACATACACGTGCGCGCACATACGCACATAAAAACTTGAAATAAACGCTTCAAGTTATAACTTGCATATTAATAGATAGATGAATGTAATTTGAAAGTGAATTTAAAATTTTCCTCTTTACAATTTATTTCTAGTAGAAAATTTTCCTTCGGGTTTTCCTACAGAGAAGTCAATAAAATTCCATTGATAATTCCTGTGAAAAATGTCTTTATCATTAGATGAAGAAGTTATAATTTTTTTACAGCTATATTTCATAGTTTCTTAAGTGCTTTGATAATTTTCCAGGTTTAAGAAAAATAAAATCTTGATATATATCTATAGAGAAAGTGTTTTGTTGTGGCTACTCTTTTTATTTTCAATGAATAAAAAATACTAATTTATATTTCTTAATTTATATTTCTTATATTTATATTTTTAAGTATTTGTTTTAAATGAATCATTTTAATTAAATTCAAAAATCTAATAAAAAATGTTCATTCAAATTTTTATAAATATTACTAAATTCTATTTTATATTTTAATTCTATTTTAATATACATAATATTTTTTTATCAAACTTTTGAGTTCTGAAAGAAAAGATTTATTTTCATTGTTTCTATTAACATCAATTTTATAATATATACTATATTTCTTTTCACGAGAATAATGTTTAAATATAATTTTATAAACACAAAAGTGCTGGAATACTGTATCATTTATTAGTAATAACAGAAGTATTTTTAACTCACTTGTATAAATAATTTTAAAAGATATGTGCGTATTCTATATTATAAAGATATCATCGTTTTCTGTTAATTATTCCTCGAAATTTTATAAATAATCTTTTACCTTAATAAAAAAATTTTATAAGAAAGAATTATATCCGTCCAATCTTTTAATACTAAGTACTTAAGAATTAAGCTGGTCGTTAAAAAGTGGAGCTTGCTTTGAAATTATTTGAAAAATGAGAGAATCCGTTATTTACATTGTAGAAACTTAATTCACACTTATCTATATTTTCAACTATAAACAACTCTATAAGTATGATGTGATTTTTTAATTAAATATTTCTATGTAAAATATCTTTCAAATTAAAATTGCATTGCAAATTAATATTTATAAAAAATTGAAATACATCTTTTGACAAATCTCTTTCAAAATTAATTCAGCAAAAAATTATGAATAATTAACAAATATTAAAAAGTTTAGAATTTTTCCATCGTACAAAAATTAATGACAGTAGCATTCTAATCTCATTCGTTAGATTCTTTCTATGATAACTTTGATAATCTTAGCGAAATGAACAATTAACAACCAATTCAACAATTATTGTTTTATCAATGCGCTTTATTCAAGAAGCTACAAAATAAGTGCACGTAATACCACAAGTTTATGATTAGAATCAATTTCCTCTTTGCATAAAGTGTATGCTATATAAAGTATATGAGAAGTAATATAATAATTTTCCATTTAAATCTCAAGCAATTAGCGACTAGATGAAGTTCGTTTAAATATTCGTTTCAAACAAACGAATGAATTCTAATTGCATATTTTGCAAATTATCAAACGTGGACAATAAAATAAACGTCAAAGCCATTATTAAAGCAAAATTGTCAAAGCCATTTCCATGATTACAAATGTTGTCTATCCGCAATAAAAAATTTAGTTTAACAAATAATTTAAAACGTAACATAAAGAAAATAAACTATAAAAATAAAAATCTTGTCAAAAAGATTGTTGCTTTAAATAATTTTAATTGGAAAGAATAGAAAATATATTTATTGCATTTGTCTTTTATATCACATGTATATTTTTTGCAAATACATAAAATAAGGGCCTATAGTTTATCTGTAATCGAAATAGAAATTTTAATGACAAATTAATTGATTAAGGTTACGTTATTTGCAGTTGTTTTATATCAACTCTACTATTACGTTGCTCTGCAATTCGAACAAAAAGATACGAGTTATAAAAATAAATTTAAATTTCCATTAAATTGTTTGGTACTTTAATCTTAAGAGTTGTAAACGGATAACTTCAATCGCAATTTTCATTATTACCGTAAGATACACTCGTCTTAAAGACGATCTTCAATGAGAAGAAAAATAACGAAAGTAAAACATACTTAATAGTTAGCAGCATTAAAAAATTTTTGCATTCTAGAAAGCAGAATAACATTTTAGAAATATTTATCATATCTTGGAATAAACAGTTAATAGTATTATCATGCATGATTTTCAGAAAGAATGCGGTTAATGAGAATTGCTAATCGCTTTAAGAAATATTTATTCTCGGCTACTTTTATGGTTACAAAAAGAATAAATTTAAACAATGGAAAAAGAAAAAAGCAAGAATTAATATTGGATAAAACCTTATTTATTATTTAAATAATATATTATAATAAATATATAAAATGGTATTTATATTATCTTGTATATATTTCTGAATTATTTAACTTATTATAACGAATTATTTTTATTATAACAAATTTATTTATTATATAATATTTTTTTATTATTATATAATTAATTTGATTTATAGTTAGAGTATTAAAGATCATTGAAAGAAGTGCAAGTGTGTCTCAGCTAAGTAAAATAAAAACTTAAAGTGATATTTTGCTTTTCTTACACAATAATTGCTATATTTAAATACTATACAGATATCATAATTTATGATCATTGGAAAAAGATTTTATTTTAATGATTGATGATCACAAATGTAAACGAAAAATCATTCTATGAGATATATACATACATTACTTTTCGTATAATATACATTTAAATAACAAGAAGAAAATATATATATATATATATATATATATATATATATATATATTTGTAAATGCATGATATGTGAAGAAATTTTACGCACGTTGTATGTCAATGAAGCCGCGTGAGCAAGAATTATATCAAATATTTATGACGACAATATGTTCGAACATAAATGAGAAATTTATGAACTTGAAATTTATATAATTTATGAACGAAGTAGCAAAACGATGATAAATTATTCGTGAAGTTAGCATTTTCTTATCACCAACACTTTGATATTTATTTTTAAATTTATGTTTCTGCTCTTTGTTCATTTATGAATGTTTCCTCATACTTTGTTGCGTCAAAATCTTCTTATATATACATATATTTTTCTACAGTTTAAATAAACAACGTCTCTTAAATTATCTACGTTACGTCTTAAATTATCTACGCTTGATGAATACTATCATTAAATCAGCAGTCGTAACATATGTCAGTGTGAGAATTTTCGCGTTCGTTAATGCTATTCAAGTATTTGTCGTTTTGAATCATGCATTGCCCTGTAAATGTTCCTGAATTTCTTGGGAGGATTTTCCCTTAGTTTCCGGTATAACGAAATATGTGAACGCAGTGGCCACTATCATAATTCCGGCGAAGATCCAAAAAGTCGCGTCTGCGCCTAATTCATCGTTCATCATCGGAAAAGTTTTCGTCACTAGAAACACGAGGAACCAATTTAACATCACGGCGATACCGGAAGCGACCGCTTTGGTCTCTGCAGGAAATAGTTCACCCATCAGCATCCACGGTATCGGACCAAATCTGCGCATAAAACATAATGTTGTAATTTATTTTTACTTTTTATATTTATTGTAATGTAAACACTTCACTTTCTTTTATAATTTTTACAATTTCGAAAAGATCTAAGTAATCAGTTTACATAATTGTTAATTTTAAAGAACTTTTAACATCAATTCAAATATTTATAGCCAATGAATCTTATAACTAGATCATTTAAAAAATGCAAATACAATTTTTATTGTAACATTTACCCGATAGAGAAGGAGATCATAAATAATGTCAGAGATGTGAGCGGCAGCCAGCCTAGATCACTGACGTCATTCCCGTTTGCCTTAATATTGAAATACAGACCAAGAGCTACAAGACTGACTGTCATAACACTTGAAGAAAATATAAGCAATGGCTTCCTTCCGGCACGATCCACAATTATAGCGGCTACACCTGACATCACCATCTACCAGAAACGACATTTTAGGGAAATAAATATCGTCATCACGATAATTAAGTAATTGACAATAATTACAGAAGATGGATGTAAATATACATCATAGATATCATGCTAATTACGATGTATGATGTATAATTAAATCGCAAAAAAACAAATTTGGAGGTCACAATGGTTCAAGAGATTATATATACAATTCATATAAATTTATATTCAACAAATTAACTGAGAAAGAATAAAAGCTAAAATAATCTTCTAAAATAATAATTTTAGTTAAATTTTAAAGTTTAATCAAAATATTATTTGAGAGAAAAGTTTTCTGATATATTCTCTGTTTTAAATAAGATGCTTTAAAGACATTTTTAAACATTTTTAAAGTTTATAAAAGTTTATATTTTTATATAAGCTAAATATCGATAAGCATACCTGAACTATTGCTACGACAATAGAAGCAAGTTCCGGCGACATCGAACTTCCGGAAGCTTGAAAAATAGTAACCGTATAAAAGATTACTGCATTTATACCAGACAATTGCTGAAAGAACATAGCACCCAACGAAGCGAGCAAAGCTTTTTTGGCCGCTCGAGTGCGTATAAGATCGAATATGCTCGATTTTTTCGATGCTGTCTGCTCAGCCTGTCGTTGTATCTCTGCGAGTTCCTCCGATGGATCATAAGAATCTCCCCGAAGGATTGTCATCGCCATTGTGGCTTCCGGTTTTTGTTTTTTGTTCTACAAAGATTCGAGATCATTCAAATTTTCATCCAACAAGAAATTTTATGATTTTATTCCAATCGTATTATATATAATTATTTTCTTAAATATCAAATAATTGTTGTTTAATATATAAAACGCGATAAATATATAAAAAATAACAACAAAACATAAAAATCGGAAAATCGATCTACCATTAGCCAAACGGGTGATTCCGGCATCCACACGAAGGAAGCAAAGAAGCCGATCTCTATGAGAGCGCAAATTACAGCAAACGCCGTGTAACTCAAGATAGCTCCAAGTACGAAAGCCACCAAAATTCCAATCGTGAGAAACAGCTGAAACATGGCACCAAGAGTACCTCGGGTGGAAGTCTCCGCAATTTCGGAAATATAAGTCGGTACAAGGACGCAAGCCGCGCCGACGCCGACGCCTACTATAAATCTGGCTACATTGATCAGCCACAGCTCGAAGGCAAATATAATGATCGCCCAGGATAGAAGAAACGGAACCGTCAGCAAAAGAAGCGATTTTTTTCGACCAAATTTATCGGCCATCGGTCCAGATGGAACGGCGCCTACCATCGCACCTAGAGCCAGCAATGAGCTCACCCAGGATCCTTGTTCCGAGGTAATGACCAGCCATGAATTCGGTTCGTATAGCTGAGGCAAGACAGGAGACGTCCAGGCCAGAGCGGTGCCGACGCCGACAGCCATTATGGAAGCTTAAGAGATTTAAACAAAGTTAATATCAAGAAGAAAAGATTGTATTAAAAAGCTGTATTACGATTACTTAATATTTAAATTTAATACTCAACATTGATTTAATACTCGAGATTTTTAGATTAATAACATTTGAAAGGATAAGTAGATAGTGCGAATAATGATCTTTTATTTACTTTTTTCATGAATTTAGCGAAATTACGCAATTTATAAATTGTTTATAAAATATTTTTTGAATGAAGACATTTAATGTTTTTAATATTAGAAATTTAAGTTTTAATATGTACATATGATATATTTATCTCATCTTTTAGTAGAGAATCCTCGTGTTTTGCGGCATCTACATTTAGGTCAATCTTATCTATTCATTCAAGCCGTTGCACTCATTTGATGAAACATACGAATTATCATCTATCTCAGGAACAGTATATCTTTTTCGATAAGATATGTGAACAGAATTTCGTAAACTCTTCAATTATTTTTCTATATAATTTTCCATATAATTTCCTTTTTCATATAATAAGAAATTTTTTAGAAACAGATTTTTTTTAAAACAGATTATACTCTATTAAATCAATACCGATGATATCCGCACGAATTATTAATGAATTATTGATAATTCAAATAGTTATATTCTAATTTTTTTATGTGATAGATACTAATCGTGAAATATTTAGAAACGTTTATCTGACATGCACAATAAGACGGGCAACCAGGACAAATTATTTTATAGCGCTTAATAGCGAATTTCAATTTAACTTAAAAGCCACTGTGACGAAAAGACAGTGATGCATTATGATCTATCAGGAATGAAATGGATCGATTCGTGGAATATAGTCGTATGAGACAGCAGATCCATTATTCTTTAAAATTTTAAGTCTATGTATCCTATATCAGAAATGTACGAATGTAAATTACATTGCATTGAATTCGGATGGCTTTAGGACGGACATCTACATCTTTCATCTCGAAGCAAAAAATGAGACACTCATTTCAATAAAATATTACGACCGTCGCCGGGTTTCAGTAAGCGAAATATGAGCTTATTCGGCGCGCGGAATTTTATATTAACGGAGGGTCCCTGACAAAACCGAGGCTTCATGGTGCGTAATTTTGCAGGAAAGTCATAAAACTTTAGAGGATAGTCTACCAACCCGCATATGCGTAATATTCATTTTTACATGAATTTATCATTTATTATACTTGCGGATGGAATTTAATTAATGTAACAAGGCATAACCAGACAAGGCATAAACAGACATCCGAAATGTGAATATTATAAAGTTAAACAGCAAAATTTAAATTTATTATAATATAAAATTACCAAACATTAAATTGTAGTGATTATGCTATGTATGTCTTCATTATTAACATTTTGTTTATAAAACTTTTTGTGAAAATATGTTAGTAATAATAAATAATTTCTTAATAATATTATAATATGTTTTCATGTAAAATTTTAATTGCTTATAAAATGAAAATTTAATTATTTGTATCAAATACAAAATATATATAAATAAAATAAATTGCGTACAAATTAAAACAACAAGTGTCAAAAGGCATACTTTTTAAATAATCAAAAATATACAAGATTTTACCTCATTAATAAAGTTATTATCATTTTTCGCAGTTTAAGAGATTCGATCGCTTTTATAAGAGGACCAAATTTCTTAACAAGTAAATTTTGAGGATTAAAGAAATTTTAAGAAAATGATATCAAGATATATAGTGAATTTACATTTATTACTTAATTATTCGCTTATCTTTATATATTTTTATAATCTAATAATTTATTAAACAATAAAGAAATATAATATCAGGACTCTTTTCCGCAATTTTATTTTCAAAAAGATCTAAAGCTTATAAAACATAATAATTTTCATGTAACAGTAATTATTAAAGTTTGAAATGCGTATATTTCCTGCAGTTAAATCAATTGATTACGCACATGATAGCACATCGTTAATCATGATAATAGCATAACGATTATCACGATTAACGATTATTGGCTGGACACGAGTATTGCAGTAAACTGATACTATCTAAATAAGCAATTATATTGCGAAGTAATAACTTAATCATCTTTAATCTAATTTTTATTATTTATAAGAACGTATTAAAATGTTTGAAGTAAAGAGAAAATAATTTTGAAAAAAAGATGCATTTAAAAAAGTTATGAGAATCTATAAAGTCTGATTTGTATTAATATAGTTTTTAATTTTATTTTTCGAAAAGAAGGAAAGAGAATACATTTTTAATAAAGTTGGACATAATATTTATTTATTTTTAAACCTTAAATTCTTGATTTTTAAAAAAGATATGTGATATATATATATATATATATATATACATATATATATATATATATATATATATATATATATTGTCTAATCTATGTTAAGATAATTTCTATTCATTTTTTTATAAGAATAAAACTTTTTTCTCACACATAAAAACATATTAAGATAAAATTTTAAGAATATGCAACAAATAAAATAACATTATAAAAATAATATGATTAATATCAAATATTTTAGTGTTGAATGCCGCGCATATAAATTAAAAAATGGATTGCGCAATTACAGAGAGGAAATATTAAATATTATTGATTTATAATCTGGTTCACAGTTTGGTGCACATTTATATGTGCTGTTATAACGCAATTTGATATTAATATAGTCCATATTCTCTTCGAGCATATTAGTTTATAAATAAACAATGAAAATAGTTTAATATATTTACCACACGTTCGATAGATTGTTTATTAAATATATGATATGTGTATTTGCGATCAATTTTAATATGTATACATATAATTTCAAACATAAGGATACGATTACATAGTATATTAATTATTAACATTTGAATCACTAAAATGATGTATAAATTTTGGACAATTTCCATTTAATCTCTCGAAATTGATATCATATTTCCTCCGATCGATCATCTCTCTTATATAATACTTCAAAAAAAGTATGACGACGAATATTAATATACATATAGAGTCGCATAAATACCAGAAATTGATGCGAAGTACTGCCATAACTTTTTGCCTTCTTGATGCACAGGAGTACCGCTAATTATCCCGGTGCTTTCCATCTTCTAAAGGACTTTGAAACACAAAAATCAACGTTCGCGATACTCAAAAATTTCGTTTCGAAAGCTTTTAATCTTTTTTTTCTTTTTTCCTCAATTTTTCGAGTAACACGAAATACATTAACGAATAAAGTCGTAAACTACATTTCGGACAACGGCCGCTCGACGCGAAATGAACGATTTGTTACCGGGGCCATTGTATATTATAACTGTCACTATCTAGTCACCGATTATCACTAATCTTTATCGCTTATCTGGCATGATCGAAACGAGAAAAATTTAGAAATCATGATAAATACATAGAGATCGAAATGAATGATAGAGTCGAAAATCTGAACGTATATATTGTACATATATGCGCGGTTCTGATATGGAATGAAAGAAATATGCATCCATAAAATATCTTCTTGAAATCGACGTGTTATATTGGTTTCTTGCCTTTGGTATATTTTTCGATTTGATTTTTCAATGTCGAAAAATTAGAAATTTTTTTTTAGAATATTTTATTCTTAAATTTTTCGATCTTTGAGACTTTCGTTATACTTTGATTAAATTAAAAGAAAAGAAAAGGAACACTCAATTCAATATTAATAAAACATCCTATATCGAGCTTTTGATAAGTAATATAACTATAGATATAATTATATAATACAATATATTTTTTCAGAATATTTTTTCTCTCCAAGCAATTTTTGTTGTTTAACTTTCGTTAATCTTCGAAAAAAATAAAATTATGTCAGAGATATTAACTAGTTTTTCTAAGAAATTTATAATTTGTTACTTTCGTAACAGATTCTTTTGCTGTACAAGATATGTGTAAGAAAAAAAGAAATAACTTTTGCTTTCGATTGTACTTTGATATTTGCATATTTCAAAAACGTTGTGTGTTATTATGATTTTCCACATGTTCTGCGTAAAATGACATTCGTTAACATTGTAATTATAAAAAATGGAAATATATAATCAAAAATTTATAGAGCGCGAATCAGTGAAATTAAAAAATTATGCAACAAAAGCATATATGTTGCATGTCTTTGATTCGTTAAAAATGGAATAATATATATATATATATATATATATATATATATATATATAAACACTATGCAATAATTATCATATACATTATGAAATTTGTCGCATAAATATATATGGAATGTTTGAATTTATGTAATGTCTATCGAATATTTTAGTCAGATAAATCTAGCATAATTACATAAAACTATGTACATATAACGAGAGCGTTTATCGTCTAAAATGAAAAATATTTTGATAGAAAGATATTCAATTTTACAAAGAAAATAAAAGTTCTGACAAATATGGCCGCTTACCTTTGGCGAGACGCTCTCTTTGCCGCTAGAATCTCATGTGAAAGACACTTTAATTTCAATCGTTGACAGAATACAATTCTCGATTCTCTCCATTGTCACGTCAAATTTCACGCTTATTGATCGCGCAAACTTGGAGGATTTTAAATTTAATGAATAAATCTTTTATGTAGAAATTTAAAAACTTACAATTTTTTATAAAATAAATATTTGTTTTATAAAAAAATAATTTATTACTAAAGATTTCTTTATAAAGTAAATGAAAAAATCGATAAGAAATTCTTTAACATAAGACACATGTTCGATAGGAATTGCAATAGAATCACGCCGACAAATCACTTCTATTTGATCATGGATCGATATCCGGAATGCGTATCTTATCTACTGTTTTCGCAAAAAATCGATGATGCCGTGCGTTACAATATAACTAAGAATCGCAATTTTCTAAGTGAATGGTAAGTATCGAGATTACTTTAAGATTTGTTTAGCGATTAGGTCTTTTTCGATGCCACCTAATCTAAAGTTAATATATCATTTCTTCATTATTATTATTTATCATTATTGCTGCTTCAAACATCTAAAGAAGTTAAGAAAACACGACTTTACAAATCAAAAGAGTAAAAATTAAGCTGATTTGTCTAATCAATATATTATCGTTAAAAATTATTGTCAAATGATTGAAGTTAATATTAGTTGAGCACTAAAACGTACGTAATATATTTGCATTATATAAGATCAAAATTATTCTTTTCGGAAACTGAAAATTTTGAACTAAATTTTTTAAAGTTAATAAAAGAGGAGATAATAATAAATTCATTTATATAAATAATTTCTTAAAATAAAATAAATTTTGTTATTTCGATAAACATTACATTTTATTTGCAATAATAGTTTATCATTATTAAATCAATATTATCAATATTATCAGTATTAATATAAAATGTAAGAATCAGCGTTAATTTATACAATAAAATAATATACAATAAAATACAAATAATATCCAATAAAATATTAAATATTTCTTTTTTTCGGCACAGAGCTAACAAAACTGTAACACATGATATTTAGCTTCTACGATATAAATATATAGTACATCATTGTTATCACAGCCATTTATTGTGTTGTCATTCACGCGGCGATACTCGGGCAAAGTGATGTGAATTCGCTCCATCGAATTCTTTTCTAAAACGATCGCGACAAGTATTAGGAAATAATTTGTTGTAATTAATATAGTTAACATTTTATATATATACGTTAAATAATACGTAATATATCGCAACAATAGATCTCGAAACTATTTTGTGATGTGTTCATTTAATCAAGTGTGTGACAGAAATCAAAATTATAAATTATTGTTTTATTGCGATTTTATGGGTAATAATTATTTCCTTAATGATATTTAAAATTAAATATATTTCCGATGCTTTATCATTTTATTTTGCAAGGATTTCAGTATAGAATATAATTCAGGTCAAGAACACGTAGTAAAACAATTCAATCGTAAAATCGAGTAATTGTCATAACGAAAAGCGTCGTCATACATCGTATAATAAATAATTATATATATATATATATATATATATATATATATATATATATATACATTGTATTGTATTGTATTGTATGAGTTTATTGTCTTCCCTCAGGATTACAAAGCGCTTTTAAGGAGTGTACCCGAACCTTTATAATTCCTTTATAATTCCAACCTTTATCTCGCCCCGGCCTGGCCATTATGCGACCGTAACATTCTTGTACCCTTACCCTCCCTGCGGCCCTTCTCCTCTCCCTCCTGTCTGTCCTCCCCCCTTTTCCGTTCATCTATCCCCCCCCTCTCTATCCAACATTTTTTTTCCTTTTTCCATCCTTTCCTTGTCTCTTCCATGTCTTGTCTTTTCTCTCACTTCTTCCTTCCTGTCACTTTGCCTTGTCCTCTGCTCTCGCCCTTTAACTTTCCGCGCCTTCTCTTGTCCACCAGCTCACCATAAAACAAACAAAGTAGACCTCCGCGCTATCATCAAATCCTCCCCCCACTCCCTTCTACTTCTCCACTGCTCCTACTCACTCCCCTCTCATCTCTATCCTTCTCTCTCCTACCCCCTATTTCTTACCCTCTATTCCGCCTCTCCCCTTTCCCCCTTTCTTTAATCGTCACTTTCCTCCTTTATCTTCTTTGCATCCTCCTGCATCCTCCGTTCCTTTCCTTATCCCATCCTCACGCATTTGCGTTTATCCAAACCCTTCTATTCGTAGTAACTATCACATTTCCCTTTGCCCTCTCCATATATATATATATATATATATATATATATATATATATATATATAGAATATTAAATTATATAAATATTTTAACGTACAAATTAATTATTTATTATACGATGTATAACTTGGCTTTTCGTTATGATAATTATTCGATTCTACGATTGAATTGTTTTATTACGTGTTCTTGACCTGAATTATATTCTATACTGAAATTCTCGCAAAATCAAATGATAAAACATTGGAAATATATTTAATTTTAAATATCATTAAAGAAATAGTTATTATAAGGATATTATAAAGATCACAATGAAACAATAATTTATATTGTATGTATGAAATATTAAATTATATAAACATCTATGACGTGTTTCTGGGTCCGTCACAATATGTATGTATGTGTGTGTGTGTGTGTGTGTGTTCTGTGTGTGTAGATAGTATAGTATAATATACGCATATAATATGAATTGTAAAATCAAAAGATTAAAGTAATGAAAAAAATCGCAATATAATTTAATCGTCATATTGTTTAATTAATAATTAAGGAAAATTTAAAACATGCAATGTAAAATATATTTGACTCTAACAAGCATTGTTTAAGAAATAATTATTAACTATTAGGATCAAAAGATCGTAATAAAATTTATATTTTTATCATTTTTACTTGTAATGATGAATGGTCCTTCAATTAAAATTTATGGAATTGGAATACAATTGGAATAACATCGGAACAATTTCATATCATTTATCAAGAGTTTAATATCGTTAATTGCACAATAATAGTTAATAATTATAACGAATTTAATTATTACGAATTGCAGTAATTATAACAAATTATGCTGTGATACTAATCATGATGGCATTTAGAAAAATAATTTAATAATAATATACAAAGCGTTTCGCGCTACTATTGTACTGTTTAAGTGTTGTTTTGTGATAACAAGACTGTGTCATTGTAAACATTGTAAACAATAGCGCGTTACTATTTATGCCATCAGAACTGCACACCATATTATTGATAATTCGTTACCAAAATATTTTACGTACTGCAATATATATATATATATATATGCAGATTTATGTAGAAAATTATTTATTAAACAATAAGAGATTAAAGGATAAAGATTAATAAATAACTTCTGTGATTACAAAATATTCAAGTTTATTTTCGAAAAAAAATTGCTATTTTCCGTAGGACAGAAATGCAAGAAGCCTTATTCAACATGTCGAAATACAATATGATGTAAAAAAAAAGAGCAAACAAAAATTGAAAATCTCTAGAAAACACATAGATACTATAACTAAAACGTATAAATATTGATGAGAAAAAAAAATGCGAATTAGTAGTAATCAAGATTAATTTTAAAAATAAAATAGCAAAAAAATGAATTATTTTTTCAAGGAATATAAGGATTTATAGTGAAATCGCGTAATTGCGCATAATGGAATTTATATAAGTGCATATTCTTGCGATTGAGAAATAATTTATATAATTTATTTATCCAGTGTGAAATGAAAATGAGATTGCATTTATCTATGTTCAGATTGTAAATGATTAGATTGCGATTCCAATGAAATACTCTCGTACTTGCTTGAGAATAGTGAAATTCTTAGCTCTAGAATCATATTGTATTTTGAAATATCGAATTTTTGTTTTTTTTTATCTATATAGTATAAAAATAAAGTATTTTTATTATTTCAATACTTTATTTTATTAGTCTTTAAATTATATTAGTCTTAATTAAAATTACATGAAATCTATCAAAATAATATATGTTACGCTATATTATTTTTAAAAAATAAAATTTTATTTATTGTATAAATATTGTATATATATATATACACACGATGTAGAGACAAAGAGAACGATAGAGGAAAAGAAAAAAAGAAATTCTATATTTTCAAAAGTGAAAAATTTTATATTTAGAATTACAATTTTGATCCTAGGTATGTGAAGTTTCACTATTTCTCTTAACAAAATTTACGAGTTCTAATTCTTAGTTGAAATTTTCGAGCTCTTTCAACACGTAGATCTGCAAATCCGTGAATTTCAAACTTTCTAGGTTCGCAATCAAGAAACTTTGAAATCCAATTTTTTCAACGTCCGGAATAAAACTTTTATTTTATGAATAATGCTCTTCGCAATAATTTAAATGTTACAAACACGCTTTACGCGATTAATAATGGAAATAATACAATAATCGTCGCAATGAATTGATCGATTCGCAAAGAAAATAGCATTATCGTTAAGTATCTGTTGTAATGAACTTTAGTGGACTCTAATGAATCATACAATCGCAATAATACATCAGTAGATTTTTGAGTCAGAAAATCTGCTTTCGTAATATACATTTACGCTAACTCCTGAGTCTCATTCTTGATACAATTGTGATTTAAATTACAATACAAATGAAGAATTATGTGCATGATATCACGCTTAGCGTTAAATATGCATTACGAATATAAGTAGTTTTCGCATTATCCAAAATTAACACATAATTGAAATTCATATACTTTAAGTTATTATACCTTTTTCGCATGCCAACACTTCATGATAAATCTGTACTTGCATCAAATTCTTTAGAATTAAGTAAGATTTCGTAGATTGGCTTTTGAACAATAATTTTTTGCGAGGTCAAAAAAATTTTAGAGATTGAAATATAATACTCAAATAGCAAACATTATTTCCTTTTCGAAAAAATGCTTCCTAACCGAGAAATATATATATTTACACATATAAATAAACAGATTGATATAAAATAAACATAATCTAATTTATTTCCCTAAAATTTTTTACTGACAAATCGCGCGAAAGTTTATAATTTACAAAATTAATATCGCTCGAAAAAATAATATCTAGAAATATATATCTTTAATTAATGCGTAGGTTTCTTGCGGAGAATTTAAGAAATGTGAAAACTACTTGCACGGATTAATGTTACTTATTACAACGCTATTGTACATAGAATTTTAAGAAAATATCCTCTCTTATGCACTAATAAGGCCTGTATTTTAGATCTTTATGTCTCCATTATATTTATCGCACATATATAGAACTGACAATGAATGTAAATGTTTAAAGTTTTAACTTTAAATAACGAGTGGATCAAATTGAGCATAAATCTTAATCACCCATTATCATTTGATCCATGATCAATGTAACATGATGTGTGACATGAAGAACGTGCTCGATATAAATATAGAGGTGAGATTCGGACGGTCGCTTTTAATTCTTAACGCGCGGCGCGATATATGCGGGAGCTTAAAAAAATACCTTAGATTAACTCACTTGCTTATCACTGTAATAACACATTGGCGCGTGCGCCGCATCGACGATTCCTGCACACGTGTAATGTTACTTAAAAAATAAAAAATTGACGCGTAAAATGCATTACTGTCGACTACTATCCCTAACTTACCTTAGGTTAAAACGTGCTATCGTAAAATCGTACGAAAAGTGGAGTATAAGTAAGATTTCTTCTCTTTTTGGTGTGGAAGATATTGGATGTGGACAGTTGAACTACTCTACAAGTAGGATTTATCAGGATTGGATTTTTGAGTAGATTTTCTCGAACCATTAAGCTGCATCTCTTAAATATTTGAATTTATCAGATTTACATGTCATGTCAACTTGAGAATCCGGAAAATCCGTACTTTGAAGACATTTTAATTTCTAGACCTATGAAATTTAAAAGCTTTGAATATCCGATTCTTATCCCGTAAAAATTGAATTTTTACGAGAATAATTCATATATTTCTTTTTTTTCGGGAAAAATTATTGTGGAAATAAGGTTGAATAGACTATTATTTAACTCAACCGCGAAAGAATTAATTTCTTGTCTTCTTTTGCGCGGTTTCAGTATTTTGTTCTACATAAAACTAAAATCTAATATTACATTCCACAAGAATATGAAAATTTCACAATCTCTCTTTCACTTTCTTGAGATCAAATTAATTTTTTGTTATTTTTCATTGAAAATAGAAGATCGCATAGTAAAGAACGAGAATTAGGCAATTTATGCACAAGACTAATAATTTTTGTCATACCTATTTTACGTGAATTATAATGAAATCAATTTGCAGATAATACGAATTTTTAACACAAATTGTTACATATTTAATCTATGGAAAAATTATTATTTATAATATATACATTCTTTTATGTTCATGTAAATATCCAGACACATATTTGAATTAATATCTATTGACGATATCTATTGATGAATCATGTAATAATTATTCACTGTAAGATATATAAATGAAATGAACATTATACATGTAATAGTGCTATAAGATTTTGAAGTATTCTATCGCGAAAGAAATGAAATGTCACAAGAGGATTGGAAAATAGTTCCGCGTTTTCACGTGGAATCTCAGTCTTTATCGTACGCGTCATTTGCACACATAAATATAAAAAGTAAAAAAAGCTCTCTCTTATCAGACTCGTTGGTAGTTATCGATACATGTAAACTACAATTGAAGAAAAGAAAACGAGAAAAATCGTAGCTCGTGATAAGACATAGAAGCCCAGAAAGTCATGTATCTATGATACAGATTTAAGGATTCGTATGTTTCCATCATAGCAACTGCAAAATATACACGCGTTTAGAATATGATATCACTATGCTTTGTCCGCGTCGATGGGAAAAACCTTTGAATCCCTTATTGACTGTTCGATAAGCGTATATCAAGAACACCGGAGAGTAATCTAAAAAAATTCTACAAAGTTAAATTTTCATATCTAGAATCATAATTTATCTCCTGGATAAGGGCAATTTATAAGATCACACATGTAAGGAGAATGAAGGGACTCGAGAGAATTCTTACATTTTTTATGATTTATAATTGAGGTGACACACGATGTAGAACACACGAAGACTAAGGTATCTTTGAAACTTAAACTACAATTTGAAATTTCAGAGTCTTGAAGATTTTTTATTTTCAAGATTTAAACGTGTTTCGAAATTTGATTCCCAAATTTTTTAAATTTAATTCGGAGAATTTTGTATTTCTTTGAACTTTCGAAAAATCAAAATTTTAATTTCTCGGCTACAATTTTGATTCTCAACTCTTTAAATTGTTAAATTGTAGAAAATAAAATCATTATATCTTTCATAAATTTAATCAAAATTTTTGAATTCATGAGTCTTTGGAAATTTAATTGATAATTGTTATCAGCATATATGCGTTTTAAATTACGGATTATCCTTATAAATTGCAAGAAAGACAAACTTACCTTTTGGTGAGTGCCGAAAATATCTCGCATAGCACGAGACAACAAATTCGAAAATTCAACAAAAAACTAATTCTGCGATTAATTACTTCCGGTATCCTTAATATTGACGATAAATTAAATTGTCCTGTGAGATCGAACGGGAGATCGTACTTTTGATCGAAAGAAATATTTCTAAGCAGCGATTAAAATATTAAATACGAATCAAAAGCACAGCAAGAAGGGTTAATGGCGTTTCGAGTCGCTCATATTGTATATTTAATCTTGCGACGACATATTCCCTCCTTCCTCAGTCTACCGCATTAACCTGAGTCAAGAATTAAATCTTAAGCAGAGTATTGTACAAAAAGATCCACTTTCCGGTGTCTGTCGTATGTACGAGCTTGTATCTTCGGCTGGTCATTTTATCGATGAAGTTCTTTATCTCTGTCTCGCTATGATGGGGATTCCAGCGTACAGACACTATTGATATTTTTATAATGTCCCAAGGGATGGTGTCGAGTACCTATAGTAATTTTTAATCACTTTTACAAGCTCCGCGATCGGTTATTTTTATAATTTCTTGAGCAATTACATTTTAAAGACATGTTCCTTGAGCAAAATTATCAATCGAAATATATAGCATATGTTATATGCTAAATTTTAAAAGTAAAATATTATTTCCCTCTTTTTGAATAGAAAATGAAAAACTTGTTAAAATGCGAAGAATAAAATATATATTTATACACATATATTATTTCTATGTACAAAAATATAAATACCTATAACAAATGTATTTTTTATAAAACTTTTAATTAGAAGAAAAATTATTTACCTGGCCATCGGGAGCGTCGGGACTGTCCAAACTTAAATAATCCAAAGTTGTAGTGTTATATGCCAACAGTACGCTATAGAGAGGAAAGCACTTTAGTCTAGTGGTAGGAAAACCATCGTCCGACGATACGAGGCTGTTAGGACCGTCGCCCAATTTGGTGACTTGGACCTCCGACTCCTGATGGTACTTTATCTGTAATATCGTTGGCGCGCGTGAAACGCATGCATTTAACTTGTCATCGTGCTTCTATACTGAAAGAAATGCGACCTATTTCTCACCTCTTTGGTATCTGTGTCTGTACTGAGACAGGCGTGGAGAACTTTCGATCGCGGATTTCTGGTGCTCCTCTGCGCCTCGAAGAAGTTTTTGGGCTCGGTTAATATCAGAATGCCATGCCAACTCAGATTGGACTCTAGCCAAGCGGTGCTAGAAATCACGCCTATCTGAAAAAAAAAAAACAATGACGCTTCATGGTCATGAATTTATGGTTCCCGAAAATTGCGATAGGAATCTAGAGATAAACCAAATTCACCACCGGCCTAATTTTCATCCTTTGTATCTAATAAGATAAGAGGAAGATAGACAGCAGAGAGATACCGAAACTCATATATTTAGTCGTTCACCTATTTTTAACGGATTGCATGCCGATGATAATTTGCGTGTTTCGCTAATATTGCACTATCATGGATGATAAAAAACTGTTAGTGCAGGTATCTAATATAGGTATCTAATATATATTACAGTATCTAATATATTGCGATATCTAATATAGATATCTAAGAATATTAAAGCATCGACATATCTAATTTTAAGACTGAAATTTAACAAATTGCGAAATAAAATGTATAATATAATTTATTGGGATAAAACACACTCAGCTTCAAATTCTTGGAGAAATATATTCATAAACTTTCATATATATTTTACAATGTACATAAGAAGAATATTTTTCAAAAAATGTCCCTTCAAAAATTTAAAAAAGCTTAACAAATTTCACATAAAGCGGTATCATCTAGAGAATTTTAAATTTCTACGATGTGTATATGATAAAAAATGGAAATTCAGTTTTAATTTCAATTTTCATACTTTCTTAGAAAAAATTTCTTTATTGTAATTTTTTAATATTTAATTTTAAATAGTTAAAATATATTGTTTATATGTATATATGTAATAAAAATTTTAATAAGATAAAAAATTACTCAAATTTTTTCAACAAATAAATAAAATTTAAATATTTAATTATAACTCCCTAAATTCTTAGAGAAGTCTAATTCAAACTACCTTTCATTTTCAATTATTTATAATTTGAAAATTATTAATCACATCGTAACTTCTCAATCGATAAAATGTTTTCTGTGATTATCTTTGAATTGATTAAGCATTCTGTCAATAATCCAGAATTTTAACAAAGACCGTACAATACACAATTTTTCATCGTCCATGAACTACGAGTTTAGCAAACAAAGAGAGATTACGATGTCACATTGAAAAGATGAGGGGCTTATGCGCATAGCGATGACACGTAAAACATTAATCATCCTCGGGATTAAAATGGGAAATTTCTCACCCTGCTGATGTATTCTGCGTAGATTCCCTCGCGTTTGCCTTGCGATAAACTGACCACGTACTTTTCTTCCGATGTCTGGTTGGCGTTCAACGGATCTTGATGGGTCGTGGGTTTCAGATGCACCTGTCGTATATATGCGACCAATTGCGGATTGTCCATCGAAACGCTATCGAGCACGTAGTCCCTGGTCATATTCGCATCGAACGCCTGTCTCCTGTAACGGAACATCCGCTTTAAGCTAAACCAGTGGTATTCAACCTTGTTTTAATCTGGAATTCAATCATTTAATCCTCTTGTAGGAATAAAATAGCAAAGATTAATAATTTCAATATTGAATTTACACTCCAGTCCAATCGTCTCTCTACAGTAAACTGTATATCACGCATACACTTTCTTCAACATAAAATGACGCAATTTTATTGTACGAAATATATGCAAGTTTTGAGATCATTCACAGCGACAGAGAGATTTTAATAACTTTGAGGAAAAGAAGAGAGCGATTAATGTCGACATTTTTATAAAATATAAAATGAAATTTTATATTTTTATGTATTTTTTTCTCTTATCATACGTAATTTTTTTCTAACTCTATGCGAAGTGAAAATAAATTTTGTCAAAAATTAAAAATAAGATTTCGAATATTCTATTATCACATGAAATAACAGAAAAAAAATTCTAAAGTTTTATTAAAGAGATGCCTCTAAAATATGGTGTGACTTACCTCAAAGCTGCCGCTTCGCTCCAGACTAGAAGCACAGCCATAGCGGTGCAAAAGGCGGCGAGGAAGGCCAAGCAGGGGGCCACTCTTCTCCACCAGGCCCTTTTATAACTGGCAAACGATGTGCCGACCAGGGTAGACCCTGTAAATGGTGGTAGAGCTCCGTTTGACGAAGGTAACCCTGCGGGAGCCATTCTGCAGGAATAGAACCAACATGTAAACACGCGTTGCACGCAAATCATGGAAGTAAGACACCCGGCGAGTTGCAATCTGACAACTTTATGATATGTATTCTATTCCATTCTTAAAACTGCTTTTAACCCCAAGATCCTTGCAACAGCAAGTAAATGTAAGAATTTTATGATTGTTCAGTGGTATTATATAGACTTTAAATAAATAATCAAAATTCTTTTTCAATTAAGCTAAATCTATTTACAGAAATAAAGAATAATTGAAAATTGAGAGAATTGTAGTGAAGAAGAAACTCAGCGAGAATTAAGAGATATTACTGAAATAGGATATTACTCTTAATCTAAGTAATTTAATTAGTAGCTAATAAATCTTGCTTCGCAATTTAATTAACTTACAATAAGTATTATAAAAAAAGATTCACAATTCAAAATAAATTTAATCTGAAGTTTAATTAAGTAAACTATTTTAAAGTTGGGGCAAAGATAGAATAGCTTTTTATTTTAAAATGAAAAAAAACATTATGTAATTTCTTTCCTTCGTTAAGAAAGAATCGGATGTAATATTCGCTAAAGAAGCTGTAAGCTAAAAGACGTATGGATGTTCTGAGACACCCTATACACGAGCGGCAAACGTACAGGTATATAAGTGTGTGAGTCACCCTGCACTTTCTAACTATCATTTTTTCAGTCACGTTCAAGTGAATGCACATCTAAGGATTCGAGACAAAGGAAGACCCTCGTGAATCAGATTATTATTCGTTTGTGTGTTATCTCATGAATCGTAATTCCGTCGAACAAAAATTCATTTCCGCGATTAATTAATTTTGTTTTGCAACATATTTGTCAATTTTATGCTATATATTCAAATTTATGTGTGTAGTGAAAAATATAAGAAACAAAATAATAAGTTTTGTGTTTTTTATTCTCAAAATTATTACAAAGAGCTATCAAAAGTTATTAATATTTATTTAAAAAGAGCTTAAGAATTATTAATATTGATTAAAAAGGTTCAGTTATTTTGTTATTTTATCAAAATTTAATAAATTAATATTATTTATTATATTGACTTTTATATTAAATTACAAAATAATAATTAATTATAAAAAAGATGTTTAAATTCAGGAAATAAAAACATACAGCTATCGAAACTGACAATTTTGATAAACTTTGCATCATATTTACATTGTAGTTTATATTGCAACTTTATAAATTTTGTTTGTTTAAAAAATTTAGATTTTTTTATAAAATACCGTTCTATTTTATTTTTAATTTAGCATTTTAATAAAAAAGAGACCAAGATTTTTATAAAATGCCTGAATTTATAAAGAGTCTATAATATACGAGACAAGTTGCGTGAGTTACACCGTACGGAACAATGTTTCCTCCGTTATTTGTCTCACACTATTAAAGCAAGGTGTGCCATGTTAGCGGCACAAACTTCGCATCACTTCGTGCATCGCACAGTACGCCTAACTAATTCACTGCGAACTTTTAGCAAAGGCAAAGCTAGGCAGGTATTTGCCATAAATTATTATTTGCTTGTCTAGATTTAAACAAATCTTGTCTACGCAATATTCCGCGGCATATTCCATAAATTTCATAGTTCTTGATTAACTGATTTAATAAATACATTAAATACAATCTCGTAAAAGTATTGAGATATTGTGGTATCTCTTAATTAATTTTTAAAAGTAATCTAAAACAAAAAGGAATGTATTAATCAAAACTTTCTTTATATGTAATTTATATTTAAATTAAACTTCACAGAATTTTAATACGTATTTCAGACTTTTAAATGATGTACGTCTAATATCTAAAATAAAAGAATTGTGCAACAAGTACGATATTAAATCGAATCACCATTAACCATTAAAATCGATTCACGATCTTGTTAAAGGATCCACAAATGAAGTCTGTTGCGCACGTGGCCGCATGATTTTTTGACACACATACATTTAGATTACGAATATATCCACATGTCCGCTACATTTACTCACTTCGCTTTCACCGGTTCCACGATGATTCGTGCTCTTCCTTATGTGAAATCGAAGAGATGCGCGCTTATGCGAGCGAGACCATTTATATCTCTCGTCCGTTTCTCTGCTCACGTACGAGCGTTCGTCACATCCCTGAATACGACGCTTGAACCGATTCGATTTTGTGATCGGATCCAGACTGCACTTTTCTGCACCGATACGTCGTCGCACTTTTCGATGATCGACACACGTGCGAGATGTATGTATATTCACGTCAAATAGAGAACGTATCGCGGCGAGCGTCGCGCGGTCACAATATTTGGGAAACGTCTTTGACTGAACTCTGTGTCACGTGGCTCGACCTTCTAAGCGTGTTATCGTTGTGTTGTGTTGTGTGTCATAAATCGTTTCCCCGCACGTTCCGCTTTCCCCGACGTTGCAATGTGAAAATCTCTTTCGAACGTTGGTGGGAGAGTGATAAATCGAAACCGAGAAGCTCGCTTTGTACCTCTCGTTCCTCCTTTGTTTCTGGTATCGTTGGTTTATTGTGTAATAAGCTGAATATATTCAATGCAGTCTCGACTAAATAATTTCAAAGTGCCTTCCTAGTTTACAGGCTCTTGTAGAATTTGTCTGAGAGAGTACCTTCGAATTTTTTTTCACATCTTTAAAACATCAATTTTATCAAGAGTACAGTTCTGGATCTTCAAAATAGAATTCAATATCTACAAAGTTTTAGATCATTTATTATTTTTAATATAACATTTAATTTAATTTTTAGCAATTTTTTAAATAAATCTAATTATTAAATATTCAAGAAATAATTTTAAATATCTTTTGATTATACTCCACTTGTATTTTTTATAGAAATCAAAGCTTTTTAAAAGTCTTGAAAATATATATTAGCCTAATTGGTCCTCGAGTCTCTTTGGATATAGAATCAAGCTTTTCAAGCATTCACTATATTCCCTTCTTCATTTCGCGTACGATCTTTTTTATACGACTGTTCCCTCGGATTCGACTCGTGTTTTTCGATGCAGCTGGATTTTTTATAGAACCTTTGAGTATTCACTATCATCCCTTTTCTAAATTTCCGTCTTATTCTCGCGTATATTTATTACAATCCCACCTCGAAAATCTTCCACGTGTTTGCACGACTGAGATTCTTCAGGGGATTAAAATTCCTTGAAAAATCTGTTTTTCTGTCGCACCTCTGTAATAGAAATCGATCTGGGGCAAAATCTCATTTACCGAGATCGATTCAATCGGAATCTCACGAGAATTTCTTTCGCTTTCCAATCTTTTTCTTTTCCCCGCCGTTCCTCCTCTCCAGGAATGCACTCGCGACTTCTCCCGCGAGAGAATTCTCCGACAGATTCCCGGATAGACAAGGGGAACGATCAGTCGGCGGATAACGACTGCGTGTCAAGATAGTCTCGGCTCGCTCCCTCGGCGGGGCGATTCGCCTCGTCTACTATCCGGTCGCCGACTTCTTCGTTGTCGACCGACATCGAATCACATACATATATCGATTCGAGCGGGACGACAACGACCGTAGGCGACGGTCGAGAACAAAGACGGCGACGTCGGGACCGCGGCGCGATGCGACGCGACAAACGAGCGTGCCGGAACGTTTGTGGCGGCTGCGTCGTGCTGAGGAAACGTGCGTCGTGTATTATGGGTTGAATGTCGCATTGCAGAGCGGCGGCGACACACACGATGATGCCCGTCGCCGTCGCCCTCGCCGTCGCCGCCGCCGCCATCGCCACCGCGTCGTCTGCATCTGTCATCGTCTGTCCTCGTCGCACCCGCCTCGAGCCCCCGATCGGACTTGGATATCTCTCCGACCCTCGCATTTCTTCGACGGAACTGTTCTGTTCTGTCAGTGTCGATAGGCACGTGAGAGTCTCCTGCGCGACAGACGGCGAGCGAAGTGGATCGCAAACGATGTGAAAGAGAGAGGTTCCCACATTGTTCACTTTTCAATATGTCAATGATGAAATTGAAAAAAAAAGAACTGCAACCACGTGCGGATTGAAACAATTGTGTGAACTCGTTTCACTTCAAGATTGCATTGGAAACGATAATTGTTAATTTTGCTGTACACGTGTTTCGCATCGTTGCCTCGGTATTGAAAATATTGGAGAATACGGTGGCTTGGTTTTTATATCTTCCGTATTTTATATCTTACGTGAATTCGATTGCACATTGATCATTGATGCACACGAGTTGACGTTGTAAATGCATATGCATATGTAAGAAGTCGACCGTAAATCTGATCATTGTGTTTCAATTTTTACTGGATACTCCGTTCAAGATATTTGATAAACTCTGTTTCCCATTTTATATATTTAAATACCTACATAAATGTGCATAGAGATTCAAATGTATACCAATACATGTATCGATGCATTCAACTAAATTAACATATAGCAAACACGTATATATACATATATATACGTGTATATATACATATATATACATATATATACGTATATATACATATATATTGTATATATAATTTGCCAATAGATAGAATATGACGTAAGTTAAAAATTGTATTGCGTATGAAAATTGTGTGTGCGTGAAAAATGAAGAGATAGGTTTATTTAACTTCTAATACACTATCTGTGTTCAGTTATTTAACACAATTGCTTAATATAGCTATACGCGTATATTTGGGGAATGCTAAAGATAAAGGGATGCTAAAGATAATTTCGTAGAGTTTTCTAAAGATAAGCACAAAGAAGAGAAGACGGGATTTGATAAGCAGAATAAAAAAAGACAAAGAATGATATTGTTATAAAATAGAAAGACAAAGAATAGTATTGTCATAAAAGCTTGAATATAAAATTGCATTAGTCTCGTTAATTCTTAAGTACTTATAACCGATTATATTTTTTTCTACAACAAATTTGAAATTAATTAAGCAAATTGAGATTTTATTATCTATTCGCATGTATAATACATTTTATTAATATCTATTATATATTTTTTTAATATCTATTTTGCTAAAAAAAATTTCTCGTACAAATAATTTAATTTCAATCACTTATATATTACTTTCTCAAAAATAATGAAAATACTTTAACACAATTATCACATTCTATCCATCAAGAGAAAGTGCGAGAATTTTTATATAGACATAGAAAGATAGATAGAAAATAATATATTGAAAATATTTAAAAAAATAATCACTACATTTTTTAAGTTTGTACTCTACCTACAAATCAGGAGAAAATACGATAATTTTTATAAAGAGCACTAATAAGATTATGTTGTTTACGCAGCAATAGATTTTGATTAAATAAATTATATTTCATCAATATCATATTCTTTGAAATTTTTATCATGTCAAGATTTATCTTTTTGAATTATTAGTAACTGATTGCAAGTACTTATTAAAAAAAATATATATTTCCACCTAACAAATATTTCTAAATAATACTTTTAAAAAATCTTTTTCTTTTTCGAAATGATTTCAACTTACTAATCAAAATTCCATTCATATCGAAAATAAATCAACTTATCCTCCTGAGAATACTGCAGAAATGAAATTTTGGTATTAGACGTACGTAATCACTAATTCTTACACGTGCTTGCGTAAACCACACTGTATATGCACTAACACAGACAATCTGTTTCACTCCCTACACTGTGGAACACGAGATATCCATCAGCTAAGGAGAGATTATGCGAACAAATACTTTTTAATCTTCGAAACTAAAAGAACATGATTCTTCTCTCACCTCGTTCCTCCCACTTCCATTATTCGCCGGGATACTTAGATCTCCTTATTTTTATTATTGTAGAGATTTATAGGCGAAACTTAGATAACTAAATCTTTTAGATTCGTGATGAAATGCAGGTCGCTCTTTCCGCGTACCTGAACCCACGGCGACCTATCCTTCTGCGCTTCAGTCAGGAGATTGGAGCATCGTTCAAACAGGTTTCCTTCTTGGAGCGGTATCCGTCTGGCTCGCGCAATTCGTCGCTTTAGTGTCCCCGAGACAAACGATCAGAGATCCACTCGATGACTCGACCCACTGACGAACGAGTCACACACTACCAGTGTTTATGACACTGCGCGGATGATGACACGCGAGAGTACCCACCGAAAGGAAGTTCTCTCTCTCTCTCTCTCGCTCTCTTTGTCCCCTTCTCTCCTGCTATTTTCCTTCTCTCGTCTCCCACGCTAGTCTTGCAGAGAGTTACCACGGAATCCGAACCAGACACAGATAGAGAGAAAGAGAGAGGAGGACCTTCGCGATCCACACTCGCGTGTTTATCACTGATCGCGGAATGACACCTGAACGGCCAACTGTAAAAGAGGAAGTGCAGACAATGTACTACCGCTGTGCCCTGCCTCGTGGCGAGTAGCCTGCCTCGACTGCCCTCCAGCACCTGGAACCTATCGCCTGACGCTGGTTTGTTCGCCGAGTACAATGCCTCCTATATCGGGTGTCCTTCTTTAAAACGCCGCCTACCTCCGTCCTCAACTATCCCCTTCAAAACCGACGCGCGAGGCCGCCTCTCTCTTTCTCTCTTTCTTTCTCTTTCTCGCTTTTACGAGGACATTTTCCGCTCTCCTAGCCAGGTAGTAGCCCAGTGACTCTCATCCCGCTCAGGTAAATGATGCCGATCGGTTTCAGGTAATTGCAAAGTTTATCGGAAACTTGGCGAAGTTCTGATTGTAAGATTAACAATGTTTGACTGATTACAGATACTTACTCAAGAAAATATATATTTCTAACGTACCGAAAAACTTTTTCTTTTTCTCTTTCGAAATGAGATTTTAACTGAAAATTGTATTCAATGAAAATAAATCAACTTATCCTCCTGGCAATACTAAAGAATATTTCTTTCAGATATTAATCTTTATACTTTTTTTCAGTTTCTATCTCATTTTCTCTCTCTGTTATTGATCTTTATGCTTCTTTTGGCATTTATTTAATTTTCGTAAACATCAGACTAATGTTCAAGAATTTAATTCATACATACATGTATTAATTATATAATATAAAAATATAAAAACATGAATAATATATTAACATAAACTGAATTATGACATGTCATTTTTCAGAAGATATCGCATATGAGAGCGAATCAACTTTCTCAGACTTCGCATTGTTTTTTATAAAAATCTAGATGAGAAGATTACACCAGTCATCAAGCAGAATTGTGCATAAAAAGAAGAAATCTAAAATTAATTTTTTATGTTCCCAAGATACAATGTCTCCCGAGATGTATGCAAACGTACGATCTGTTATCCTAAAATTAAAAATATAATATATCATACAATCTACAATGCTCTCTACTTGCACGTATAATTTAGATATTATTAATTATATATTGCTTAATTTCTAATTTATCATTTGTATTATCCTTGAAATTATATCCAGTAAATAAAGTTACACGAATCTTTTACGAAGCAATATAAACTTTAAACAAGAGAAAACTTGTGGATAAACATACCAAAGCAACATGCAAAGCATGTTTTGCAATCAATAAAATGTTTAATTGTAAAGTTTCTAAATTATTAACGGAATCAAAAGAACAACAAAAGTTTATCTCGAAAAGTACAAAACGTTGGATGTGAGATTAAAAAGGAAGAACATTGATTGCAAATGTTACGGGCACAAAAAAAATTAACGTGGAATAGTATAAAAAGCTCAGTTAATTCGAAAGCCGGACATTGCAGTCAGCCGACTGCGTATTATTGATCCTGTAAGTTGTGCCCTTTGCATAGCGAAACATCGTTGAAGTCGACAAAGGCGGTTTAGTTAGTGTGTGCGGTTCCTTGATCGATGCAGAATGAATTAATTTTAGACCAAAGGAGTCTGCAGACCTCAGTTGCATCTGTGCACATCGTATCAGTACATGTCATGAATCTCAAACTGATTTAACTTTAGCAATTTCAAACTTTGACTTTGCTTTAGAGATATGAGAATGTGTAGTTTTTAATTCGTATTATATCTACTCAAAATATTATATTCATATATAATTAAATTACAATGCATTATATTTGTATTAATTTGTATTAATTGTTAATTCAACCTAAAAGCGATTCTTAGCATGAAAAATTTGACGAATCAAAATTAAGTTGATGAATAATAGACCTTTATTTGCGTATTTTTCGCAACGGCCTTTCTATTGTAATGATAAATATTAAAATACGACGACCTTGGCGACGGGCTTGCATTTGGCGTATCGAATTTTCACGAGAATGACCTCGAAGCTAGACGCTTATAGATCACGCTCATAATTCAAAAGGCTAGCGGCAGCAGGTCGGCGGTAGGAAGGTGGCATTTTTTATTTAGGAATTTAGTGCGGCATAACGAGATCGTCTTCCCATGAGAGATGGAAAGAAAAACCGAGTGAACCAAGACGAGGGGCAGAACGAATGAACGCGGTAACGAATAGCAAAAAGAAAAGGGTAGAAACGCCAGCGATATATGAAATCATCTCTCCGGCAACGTACGGTTCTGACAGAATAATTTGAGAAAATTTGCAAGAAAGAACATGGCTTGAAACAGTCGTGCACCTGCCTTTTTCAAGCCAGCATTATATTTTATTACGAATTGAAACGACCGTACTCGTGCAGGACTATGAATACCGGATAAAAAACCAACAAGTTCTCCGGAAATAAAATGAACTTTTTAATGGACTAATTAATCCAGTGTCACAATTAACAGGAAATGTTTCCTATATTATCGGTGATTCTGGTTATTACATTTTTTTTATTCAACAATTTTAGATATATAAAGCAAATATAACGTATATATAATCTCTTTTGAAATAAATTATTAAAATGCTAGTAGAAAAAAATTGATAAAAAAGGAATTTAATTTGAATTTAAATTATAAAGGAAAGAGATTTTATTTTTTTTTATTTCTTAAAAATACTGATTTTAAAAATAAAAAATTAAATTTTATATTAAAAATTTAATTTAATTCTACCGTGCGTATAGCACAAAGAATTGAAATAACTATAAAAAGCAATGCATTTATTGTACGATGCTAGTTGGGAAAATGACACATCTTTATTCTCTTTTTTTGTCGATATTTTAATCAATTTTATACTCGTTAAAATTTTTCGATATAAAACTTGGCAGATACAATATGGAATGTAAATTCTCTGTATAAAATATATAAGTGAGATGCTTTCGCAGAGATTAATATTTTATTCATTCCTAATGGATCTTAATGGACAGTGTCAATATTTTATTTCGCGATTTTGAAAACAGCTAATTAGATGCATTAATAATTAATCTAAACAGTTAACTTTACCAGTTTACTTGATGTAATTATATTTTCATTAGATATGATAATTATGAAAAAAGTTAATGGGATTAATATTTTAAATTGTTGTTTGAGATAAAAAAATTTAAGTTAAAAGAATCATTATGAAGAGAGCTTTACATTACCAGACATTGTTTCATGCAGTGAGCAACACACACTCGCCAGAAGCAGATGGTATGAATTTAGTGACATTGAGAAAACAGTCACCCTTCGCTTTGAGTCCAGCTGCATCTCGACTCGGAGGGCTTGAATATAATATTCTGATGCACGGAAGCAAATAGAATTTTCTTTTTTTTTATAATAACTTTCGTAACTAACTTTAAAATTACCGAGAAAAGTAATTTAAATATGTTGAAAAAGAATCTAAATATTCATTTTACATCTCTTATTCTGCTATCTTATAATAGTCTTACATTTTTCTCTTTCTTGTCTCTTCATATGAAAAAATAAATAGTACAAAATGCCGTATATTCTGCATATTAATATATCCGATTTTTGTTTTTTTTTCTCTTTATAAATATAAAATTATCTCTATAATATTTCTCTATAATATAAAATTTTTATATATACATTCTTCACTTGCTTTGCGAGCAAAATGTACAAAGTGACTATTTTAAATATTTACTAAGCTTCTGTTTCTCAGTTCTTATGTATCATCCGTGTTTTTGATAATTCATCTCGTAAACATTGCACAAATTATACAAAGCATCGGCTATTCTAAATATTTAACTTGTATTCTACACACACATTTGTCTCACTTACATCATATTTTCATCATCCTTCGCGACCCTTCGCAAGCTCGTAGAAATTATACAAAGCGTCTGATATTTGCCTTACGTGTTCTTTCCATATCATGTCCGTTAGAACGGATTATCTAAGGTTCTATCTTACATTTCACTCCTTATTTTCATTTCAATTTCCCCCAGTTCTCAAGAACGCAAATTAAAGTGCCAACTACCCTATATTTGTGGCTCGCGGTTCACTCTCCGTACCCCCCGCGTCGCATCCGTATATCCCTTATACTTATGCACATGGCACGCGAATCCGTCGAGGCGCAGACGCGAAACGGCCGTTGCGCGATCAGTAGCACACGGCCGTGCTGAAACCGGCAGGAGCACTCGCGCACCGACCGCGATCACGGCAGCTCTGATCTCTCGTCGCTCCGCTTCGAACGCGCGCGCGTGCAGCATCCGCGCGGCAGGCCGATCACATTTAGAAGTTTTCCCCGAGTGCTCCGAGTGTAATCAGTATGCCTGGGAGGTTTCGACGAGGTCTGTTTTGGAATTGAAACCACTCGGTAAAACTCGGTTACTCTCGATACACTGACGGAATAATGTTTATGTAATTAACGAAATGTACACATTTAGTGTTGTAATCGTTGATCGATTACAATGATACACGAGACGCGATCGAAGCTCGTGAAGAAATTACTCGATGCTGGAGGAAACGTTAGTATTTCATTGAGAATGTCGGTGTTTGTGCTTTTAAGTAGATAACTTTTAAGTAGATATAAATACTCGATAGAGAATGCTTGATGTTGTAGAAAATAATCTATTGATAATCAATTATTATTTTTATTATAGTTTTATTATACTTTGATTATATTATTTTATATAATTATTGCTTTTATTATTTTCATCTTATCATCGTAGTGCTCTTATTTTAAAAATGGGACCAATTGCTTTGAAATTACTTTAAGATTACGTTTTGAGAATGTATATTTTAAAAATATATGTTATTATTCTCTTTTTTAATTAAAGAGAGAGAGAAAAATGTATAGAACTTCTGAATATTGTATAAAATTGATTTCTGATTACATAAAGTTTAATTGCACGAGTTGCATGATTAATATCAAACAATACTAATGTATTTAGGAAATTGTGATTTTGTTGTACTTGTTAAATTAATGGTGTGACTAAGAGTTCGATTGTTTCTCCTAAATATGTGCCATAATATTACATATGTATATATGTGAAATATGTTATATAGAAACGATTATTAATACAAAAGTTAATAATTTGTCCATTAATAATAAATTTTTCGATTAATTAGAAAATTTACTTTTAATACATTTTTGTTTTTGTACGAATATTACATTTATTATCAAAATATAAATAGTTTATTATTCAAAGAACAAATTTTCAAAGATCACTATTGTATGATTATGAAATGCGAAATGTACGCGATTTTATTTATCGTACAAGATTTATATTGATGACTTATTGCAATCCTATTGAAAGAATAAATTATATAAAATGAAAATTTAATCTTGTGATATAATAAACTTGCTTAAAATAATAATTAATTATTAAAATTATTTTATAAAATTATTTATTAAAAATAATTATAGAAATTATGGAAATATTGGAAGCAATTTTGTGCATATTGCAAGGTTTTTCAAAGTTAATTTATATATTTTGTGTCTAAATCATTCTCGTTATATATGATGTATGTCACTTCTAATGGTATTTGTGAAGTACAGTACGTGTAAGTAAATAAAATTCACTTTTATATTCAAGTCCAGGTACACGAGTTACACTATTAATGCTACAATACAATTTTTCCTATCAGAAAACGATCAAAATAATCGAAACAATTCAGTAAGAAAAATGGCATAAAAATGATATAATATGAATAATGGGATTGTATATAACAGTGCCCTTACGTACGAACTCTTTGATACCATTTCTTATGAACGGATATTCAAATGCTTGTTTATAATGCAACAATTGACTTTACTTCGGTAGAACACATAGTAATTGAGAGAAGCCATTTCTATGTGGAAGTACGCGCTCTCTTGTTTGCAAGTTACAAATGCTTCTTCCTAACTTTGGTTTCATAGCTTTCACTGTTCATATGTATGTAAGTTACATAAAGAATGAAAGAGCCTATTCTTCTGTTTGACGTCGATATCTCTTGACTATGCTATTTATAAAATATCGGTTCAAATAATTTTAAACAAGACAATAGAAAATTTCGAAAGAAAGATACAAGTATGTAAAAGATATCTGAATATTAGGACTTTTTTTAGATACAGATATTCTTAATACAATTGTGTAACTAATTATCAATTATTATTAATATTGAAGAAAGTTTCTTATTTTTAGAATTAGATTTTTATTTCTAAATCAAATGAATCAATAAAACTTCTATAAATAGAAAATATTGTATAACATAAATGGTATTGATATTTTACTTGTGTAACATTTTATTATATATATATATTTTATCTGAGTCACACATATTTTTTTTAGAAAGGAAATGAAACACATCTGTCGTTTGCCGTCTTCATCTTTTAATACTTTTGTTAGTACAATTGTAAATATTTACGCATCCTACAGCTGCGTTTAAACTTTAAAAGCAATCATCTTTCTCTTTCTATATTATAATTGTATATTAAAGTATCTTTTTCTTTCACTCTAGAATCTTAAGTTTTTTCTAAAGTTTTTAATTTAAAGCTTATAAGATGTTTTCTACACTTTGCGAAAGTAATATTTTAATTTTGTAAATATATAACATCTTATATATATATTTAAAATTCATAAAGGTAGTATATGTAATCAACCGAGTTTTGTAAAATATAAAATGATTTTAAAATATTATGACAATATTTTCATATAACGTAGAAAAATTCTTCTCTATGTACGAAATAATACACTTAACATTTCGTTCAAATTTGTCCTAATCTTCCCGAATTTGTTTTATTGAAATGCAGTATTCTCGGTGTAATTCAATGCAATCTTGCAATCAAATTTGGTAACCGCTACTCTCGTTCATGCTGTCAAGACAAGTTTGTCAAATCCACATGAACGTAAAATCGGATTTGCATCGGTTGGCGTAAGTAACTACGAAACTTTATTAAGCCGTTTATATTCGGTCTAGTGGCATTGAATAAATAAATTTTCCGCTTTGCGATTTTTTCTTCATTTTGTCTGTTGTACTTACAGCAATAATGCGCGCTTTTATATGCGCTACTTTTTTACAAAGCATGCCTTTACCTTTGAGAATATCTATGCGCGGACAAATAGGTCGGAAGTCGTTCATACAGAATTCAAAGATCATACGTTCCTTTTCCTAACTAGATTTTATCCAATTGATAATGTAATTGAAATCCGTCGCAAGCATTTACGATACGCCATACGATCATTCATCGAAATATGTATATATTTCCAAATAAAAAAAATGTATTGAGATGTATGATTTAACATAAAAATTTTTAGTAGTTTTTAGTGTGTTATAAAAGCAATATTACGTGGTATATTAGATGGATATTAGAATGAAGTATGGATATTAGAATTAAACAATTATGAGAAAACTGCAAAGTTTGGAAATTGACATTTTGAAATTAATAATTTAGTGATAATAATTCAAGAACTTTCATATATTAAATAATATTTTCGTAAGAGTTATATTTAAATTATCATTTATCTTCTATTTCTTGTAGCCCCTCTCTCTCTCTCTCTCTCTCGTTCTTTTCTCTCTCTCAAAGTTTCACTGAAAAATATTCAATATTCTTTAATATTTACTTTGTATTTTTATTTATTTCGTATAATATTCCCTTTACTTACTTTGTATTTTAAATAATTTTAAAAGTCTTTGTTGCATTTTTATATTACATCAAACACTGCAATGTTTTTAAAACACGCAACTATGTTTTTTCTTATTGATAAAACACCTTGGGAAAGCAAACATGATGGATGAATATAGGTGATATATGTCTCGACAAATGTGTATTCCGAACTAACAACACGAACATCAAGATCGAACGAAAATGTCGAAATGTGTACACGAGGAAGATTCATTCGCCTTGTATTTATTCAACAACCTGATGCTATCGGCGATAAGAAAATATTCTATCATCATAGAGGAAGTTTGCCTATCTGTAATGGAAAGCTTCTTTTCGCGCTTCTTTTCACCCGGATATTGTGAGGAAACTTTTTACGAGTTTTCATGAGTGTTCTAAATGTTAATGCGTTTTGTCCTCAAAATAAGAAATTTCTTTCTAGGAACTAATCGTTACTGCTGCATTCAAATTTAACCGAATGCTAACGATTTTTCGATATCCATTAGGCATTATTGTTATCCTACTTTTTCACAATCTAGATTATTTTTTCACGGACATTACAATTCTTGCAAATTGCGAGATTACGGATATAATATAACATACATTTGTAAATGGCTTTTTATCGTAGCTCCCTTTTAAGATCACCAAGAAGCAATTTAATCATTATACTGCTATCACATATATTATTATTCATATCCATTATATCTATTTATATCCATTATATCTAAATAATATTTATTTAACTCGGATCACATTTTTTCTTTCCCTTTCTTCGTTCGCTTTCTTGGCAAGAAAGAACAAATAGTAAATAAATACGATAATGCTTTACGATCTCGAAAAATTATTATGGTTTTATTGCGATTCGTTTATCTTGATGGATTGTGATAAGGAGGTTACTTCACAAGACATAGTATGTGAATGGCTCTGCACGCGGCAAGTAAAGTGACACGCGCTGACACCCACACGCGGCGTCGTACATGACACCTCGAAAAGCGACATGGTGTAGTGATGTGAGACGCATCATATTTCCCGCATATCCGATATCTCTCTGATGATGATAAATTCAATATCGTCACACTAAATTTGACATACTGATTGCAAATATTTGTGTACATATTTTTGCATATAAAACCTTTACAGATTTGGCTTGTTTTTCGCAAAAATATTTGACTGTTTTCTTAACTTGTGTTTGCATATGTACATATATAATATTTTCAACAACTTTTTTGTAAAAAAATTTTATTTTGATTTGTTTAAATCGAGCAGAGAATCTATTTAATATACATCTAAATAGTATGAATTTATATTACAATTTTGCATAAAATCATATTTTCTAAAAATTGTATGATCATTTGTGTCATTCTTTCCGAAGTTCAACGCAAATACAAAGTTTCTTCAAAATTCTATCAACGCGCAATCGATTATAGAGATGCATCGCAATTGCAAATGTTGAAATTCGCATCTGCAGTGAATCGCATTGTTTTTTATTGACCAATATTATCAATTAAAATAATCGTCCATTCAATTAAATCAAAGATTAATGAAACGCATTTCGATGATAATTGAATTAAAAACGAAGACCCATAATTTCGCATATATTCGACTGTAATACAGATACAGCGTACAGACATATTTGCGTGTCTGTTGCACAGAAGCTTCGATCTACAATTCGAGTGGCAGCAACGCATCAGCCGTCGTGTTTGCTGCGTCCGCATTGACTAATCAATGCTATTAATTGATGCTGATGCTGCGCACCTCCGCTCGGCAGCAATGTAGATCGCACATAGAATTCCGCCAAATTAATACAGTGTCATGAGAGTAAGTCCGTTATCTCGTTGATAGAGAGAAACGAGCGATTGTTCCTGTTCAATTAAGCACACTCCAAAATTTATTCATTTGAAAAAGTTCTCTCTCTCTCTCTCTCTCTCTCTCTGTTTATTATTATTCGATGAATTCAGTTTTAACATTTTATAAGGCAAGTCAAAAATATATATGTTGTCGCATATTATTTTTATGTTATGTTTAAAATAATTCACATTTTCAATGCAATCGTGTCTGTATGCAAAAATATGCATGTTTTTCCGTATCTATTTTTAAAATTAACATACAAAATCTCCATCTCGTTTATATCTCAATTTTAATTTTAAGAGCTTAACTAGACAAGAAAATCTCGTTATTAATTTTTAAGTACATTTTGCTGTAATAAAATTTTAAATCCGAGCTAGTAGCTTTTAATAACATATTTAATATGTATTAAAAATTAAAAATTTATAAAAAGTTTATTTAAATTTTACTTATATAACAAACTATTCACTTTTCTATATATTCAGTATTAACAGGCCAAAGTTTTGCTTCCTCAATTTGATGACACGTATCATTCATCGGATACGATCGAATTACCGCTCATTGTATGTACTCCATTGTTTCATCCGAAATCAATTAACATGCAACGAAGTGGTAATCACGAGGGACATACGTTTATTACAGAGATTAATCGTGCCGTTTATGTCATAAGCAAGATTCGCTATGGCGATACGTCACGAGCAAGTTGGTCGTATTGCCGTCCGAAGGATCATCAACGATCATCCGCAATTATTCCGCATGTTAGCGCAATCCCTTAATTAAGTCGCTCATATCAGCGGTGGACCGCTGCTAATTAACGCCATCGCCATCGTCCTTCTCGGGGAAAGAACTTCACGTCATCAACCGGATTTAACGAGAAACCATTTGGCGCACGTGAATATTTCTCTCTCTCTCTTTCTTTCTACCTCTCAAAAAGAAAGGATGATACTTGTTGTTCGATAAAAAAAATTGTGCGACGAGGCGTCGCGGCGCCGTGACAATGTGGAAATATGAGACTTTCTACGTCAGCTATCGGATCCCGGCGTCGTCTTCGTCGTTTTTGTCGATACCGTGTTCGCATCAATGCAGCTTACAACGGTCACCGATGTACAAGTCCAACGTCTATTGAAGAAAAATGGGTGCCAATCAATCGACCCGAAGTGATCCCACCCCCGGAGAAGAAGGTAAGATTATCTGGCTTATAAGAGAAATAACGCATTTTTATTTTTTTCTTGTGAGTCTTGAACACGTTACGTAATTGAAAATATTGCGAATTGATTGATTCTCGACGGTATTGGCTACGAGTTTGATATTTTATAAAGTATTGGAAAGAGAATAGGCCTCTTGATTTTCAGCAAAATCGATAAAAGACGAGATTGACTCATTATTCTTTTAATATCTTAGTAATTTCTCTCATGACTATTTTCTTTTTATTACGTATGTTATAAAGATCTAATAGGCTCTAATTGAATTCTTGTTATATAATAATCACTTTTTATACATGTTATGTGTAATTAATAGTAAGTTTTTTAATATTAAAAAAGGATCTAGTAATAAATCTCAAATCTAAAATAGTTTAGATCAAAAAAATACCGTAAAAAACTTAAAAGAGTTCAACAATTTAAAAATAAAAATTAGAAAAACAAACCAATTGTTTTTATAAATTATCTTTTGTAGATAAGATTTTAAAATTATTATCAAGACATTTACTTATTTTAATTACTGATATGATGTTATGGAAATGAATATATTAATTGAATGTATTATAATATATATATATATATATATATATATATATATATATATATATCGCTAAATTCAATATACATATAATCCACATAACTTGAATTCTCGCTTGAGTAGAATATGATGGATATGCATCGACAATCTTGCATAGTTTCATAAGGGGAATCATCTTATTCTATCGCTGTGTTCATATTTTGCTGTAATTTCTGCAAGGTTTCACAACGTCATATAGAACTTTTAGCCTCCGGTTCGGCTACAGAATAACAAATTGCTACGGGATTATTAATAAATTGTTTCTATCGGTTATATCGGCAATCTTATGACATTCAATTTAACTAAGAAAAATCAGTTTCATTATATATAATTGAATTTCTTTGGAAAAATTTGTTTTCGTTAATTCTTTCTGTGCACAAATTTTCTTTCATTTCTTGTAATATATTAGAAACGGATCTTAGCTATGCTTTGCGTAAAACTTTCACAAAGCTGAAACAACTTTAAAATATGATTATTTTCATTTTCTAATTGTAAATTATAAAAGACGTGTGTCATTTGTATAAAGAATTTGTATAAAGAATCAATTATTTTTTTCGCCCAAGTTATTATTGCGTCCGAAAAAGTTTTATCTTATAAGAATAAAAAGTTAGTTCTATCTTAGTTCTATCTTATAAGAATAAAAAAGAAATTACAAAATTACTATTACAAAGAAAATTGCGGCTAATCTTGTGATTTTTTTTATATTAATGACAAAGATAATTGGCCATTATTAATTTTGTCATTGCAAAAATATGATTCGTACGAGAGTTAAGTTTAGAGAAAATCAAGTTCAAGAAATTTCCGTCTTATTGATGCAACCGTTTATAGTTTGGCTATTTTGGATAGAATTAACTGCGAGCAATAAAATTACATTATATTACGATTGTAGATCTTCCAAGCGATCAAATGCCGCCATGAGAGATTCACAATTTACATCATAGAATATTTAAATGAGGTTTCAGATAAAAAAATCGGTAAAATCTTATATTTGTAAAAAGCTTGATTAATTAAAATACATTTATAAAAAAACCGCAGTTTGAGAAAAGCTTATCTCATTAATTCACGTTAGCGTTAAAGAGTTAATCTTGATTATCAAATTCAACATATGCAAAAACAAACATCGAATATAATTACCATCTATACGGTTCATTTTAATCGCACTTTATCAACGGAGAATCAATGTATTATTCATCTACCATTAAATATGTATATCATTTTGCCTAATAGAATCACGTTTCTGTTACAGTGAACTTCGATCATTTTCAAATTTTACGCGCTATTGGAAAAGGCAGCTTCGGCAAGGTGCGTCGTAAGTTATTTCGCGATTCAATTATGACAGAACGATAGATAAATATTGTTACAAGTCAAGTTATGCGTTTTGAGCAATATCTTGTTTGTGGATTCGACAAGCGCGTAATAGCTACATTGGCAGATTTCAAATTTTTCACTGCAGTTTCTGGGAAGTTGCCACAGCCAATTTCCGAATCAGTTTATTCGATGCTACTTTTATGTTTACATATGGATAACATACAGTTTCCGGTATGATTTTCCGAGAATTTTCTCTAATATATGTATGTATTGAACCATGTCGTAATTTATAGCATGCTCGATGGTTCTCGCTCAGGCGATTGAATAGATTTAATTTCAGGCGAACTGGATTTAATTTCATAAAAATAACTTAAAGGATTTTTATTTATATTAACATATAATATAATAATATTAATAATATCGCTTTTAAATCGTATCAATTGTACAATTATTATTAATCTTAATATATGACATGGTGCAGAAAATGCATAAATATATCACATGAAGAATGATACGACATATCGACATAAATGCGCCGGCTCATAACACAAATACAACATGAATTGCATTTATGTCGCTATAAAATCGTTACTCTTGGTCGTAAAAAGTGCGTTCGTCGACGCTTTTATATTTATGGGTTGCTTTGAAAATTTCAAAACTCATTTCTTTACTTTTATGGGAAGAGCAAATATGCGATATCCCCATTTTTCTTATAAAAACGGGAAAATGTTTATGACAAAATGCTAGTCATTTTACAGCTCGAAAAAATATTTTCAGTTTATGTATTCTAATTTTGTTTAGAAAAACTTATACAAAAAATAATAATAAAATATCTTTTTACGCAAATAAGACATTTTTTCGCTTATCTTTCGTTCCGAAGAAAGAAACAATCTATCCTTTTATATGATATTCTGTAAAAGAATTAAATATTTTATAATATCAAATTTTCGCTAATTTGAAAAATTTATATTGAAACAGTTTTAATGGAAAGAACATTTTTGCACGTGAAACTCAATTTCGATACAATTTCTGTTAACAGGTCTGTATCGTGCAAAAACGTGATACTAGTGGCCATATGTACGCTATGAAGTACGTACATAAAAACGAATGCGCAGAACGGGGTGCCCTAAAGAACGTAGCAAGGGAAGTCGAGATCCTGTCGAAGCTGGAACATCCTTGTCTAGTAAATTTATGGTTCAGCTTCCAAGGTAAAAAAAAATCGTTTTTGAAAACATTAGTCATTCAAATTAACATCCTAAATTTCATGAGAAATTAATATAAAATACACATAAATGTGCCTGAAAATCTTATAAAAAAATTAATTTTTTATAAATGTTTTTTTAACTCTAGCATTTATGAAAAATTTAGCATTAACATACATTCATTCTAGCATTAACATACTTACAATGTTATGTAATTGTAAGTATTTATAAAACAAACAGAAATATTTTTCGGCAAATTTTAAATTGACTTTTATCGAACATTATAATTTCTCTTACCAATGTTCCCTTTTTCTCTGGAATTTAATATTCTTATAATTATATACAAATTAAAATTTTGTTGAAATTCATTCGAGTTTTCGTCACATGTACAAGCTCTATCTTTAAAAGCTTATTTTTTTCCATTATTGGATAGATATGATCATATTCAATACTATTCCTTTTTTAATTTTATTCTTCGATATTATAATTCCTATCAATCTGCTTGCACGTTAATCTTGGCAATAAACTTTTTAAAGAAAAGAATAAATACTATAGAAATACAAAATGTATTATAATCATTATCACAATAAATCATGAATATATTTTTTCGGATTTTAATCAGTCGATAAACGTGCATTAAATGATTACGCTTATCTCGCAAAAACACAAAGTTGTATTGAAAGAAACCAAACTCCTTGTCGACGATATGAACGCAAATATTTATGCAAACACAAATAATGCAGAACTTGCAATTACTACGAAAAGAATTTAATGAAAACGCGTACTGTTTCAACTACAGAATAAAATATTAAATATTTTAGACAAAGCAAAATCGCGATTTATAAAAAACGATACACAATATACACTGATACACAATATTAAATTCTTTTGTTTTGAATATTTGTTGAATAAATGTTAAATATTTTGTCACAATAATTCAAGCAGAAAAGTGCAACGGAAAATATTATCAGAATTCGTTATAAATAACGATTCTATTAATTAAACAAATAGCAGCTATCACAACAATTCAAAAATGTCAAGAGGAAGTATTTGTTTTTCTTTTTTAATTTTTTGGATATTAATTATCTCTTGACATTGCTTGACAATAATTATTTTATTTCCTAATAACTATCATGAAGCATAAGTTATAGGAGCTACATGATTTATTAAGGTCTTTAATATATATAAATGTTAATATAGATATATGGACATATGACAATTAGCAGATTACAATCTATAGTAAATTTATAGTAAATCTATAGTAAATAAAATTTTCTGCTATTTTCTCACGCGCAAATATTATAAATTATTTACTATTTAACAAGAATTAATTTGTGTCAGCTATCGATTAATAACATTATACATAAACGAATAGAATTAATTATTTAATTCGTATTTGTATGTTTATCGTCGTTTAAATATTTGTAGTAAATATCGTATATCGTATGTGGAATTTTACAGCGCATTTATTTATGAAAAGATAGTTGATATGGCATGAACTAATATGTATTCGATCAGTTGATTTGTATTGAATCAATATTGATCAACCACTCAATAATCTTTTATAATCGCTTATTTCGCTTTCATGTCTCGAGTATCTATTGCAAATAGTTGACACCTGACATGCAAAAAATGATTATCAATACCATATGTGTACAAGAAAGAAAGAGAAAAGAGAGAGAGAGAAAATTACATCTAGATGTTACATTGTCATGTTATAGATGAGGAGGATCTCTTTATGGTATCGGATTTACTATTGGGCGGCGATCTGAGATACCATATCCAGCAGGAGATTGTGTTCAGCGAGGAGAGCGTCGTGCTGTTCGTGGCCGAAATAGCATTGGCGCTCGATTATCTGCAGAATCACAAGATTATCCATCGGGACATTAAACCGGACAATATACTGCTGGATGAAGACGGTGAGTCCACGTTTGATGATAATCATGAATCGTGATCTCATGAACTCTTACCTTTCGCGTGCTAGTCGCCCACGCCACATAAAGTAATATAGATAAGGTTATAGATAATTAATCTTGTCCCGAGGAAGTTTATTTCCAAGCACGATTTCTTCAAAACTTCCCTTTTTCTTATGCACTTCGAAAAACAAAGAACTAAGAAAGTCGTAATGCGTAAAATCATTATATATACAATATATATATACTCGTATATATATTTACAATGCATTAACTTAATATAGTCAAATATTTTCTCACTTGTGTAAATTTATATTAATTTAACTAGTAATTTAATCTAATCTATATAAATTGTTTAATTGTTTAATATATTAACACTTTACTTCTGTATTATCATTTGTAGTTATGTAATTAGAGATTATATTTCAGGAATTAAAATTTAATTATTGAAATTAATTATGATTTAATTATAGTATATCTTAAATCAATATATTATAAATTCTATTAAATTAAACTTGAATATACATAACTTCTTACATAATTTTTAGTGATAAAAATAGTGGAAATGTGAAAGAATTAAGAAAACGGCATATTTTTCTCGATAAACAATTCAATTGATATTCTCATTCTATTTCGATTGATAATTGCAGTTATCTGAGTCTGAGTTCCCATTTACCACAGAGATGAGAATCGACTATACATTTAGCGATAAACGTGAATACAGTACATAAAGCTTTAAATCCGATCATGTTAGTCCTGCGCATGTCTGTGTGCGTGCTAATCGAACGAAAGAACAGGAATAAAGTTATCGATATATAAACGGTTTTCCTAGAAAGAAAATTAAAAAAGTTTCTGTAAACATATATCGCGAATGAAATATAAAATGCATTAAAATTGAAGACGGAATTTCTAAAATATTATTATGTAAAATTTAAAAATATTATTTATATTATTATTACTTAACATATCACATTAAAGATATTAAGATAAGAAACGTACTTTCTTTTTTTAATACGCGATATTTTTATAATATATTATATAATATTCAATTAGTACTTTCTATCTAATCTTCTATCTAATATCTGAATAGCTTCCAAAAAATCATTTAGAATCATTCAAACATAAGTTTTTTCGCAATCAGTGATTTTTCTTGAGCCATTCTGTAGATTTAACGAGTTTGCAGCATAAATCGAAACGTCTGGTATTTAAGTCACAATCAAGCTTCCGCACAGAATACCATCATACTTTCGTTTGCATATCAAACGCTGATTCCGTCGTTTCGATATCGGCGCCATCGTGGACAAGCGCATTAATCGTCTGTGATTTAGTTATTCGGAATTGCGAATGCAAGATAGAAACACCGAATTATCGTTTAACAAGTAAATTTCACACAACGTATGAGATTGTTAACTATATGTATTCGCGAATTTGCGAGAGCTGCTGCTAGAAACTATCAGCGGATTTTAGTGGAATTAACTCTTTGTGTATTTACGCTATTCATCCGCATCCCTTTTGCTTCGAATCCCATAGAATTAATATATTCTATTGAATATGGATTTAGCAAATTATGGAAACACAAGGAATCATGATGTATGTAATGCAGAAATTATCTACAAGAAATATAATTAAAGTCTTTACCTAAATTTCAAGCATAATTTAATATATTATGGATAAAGATTTTTTAATTGCAAAATGTGGGGAATTTTAATTGTAAATATAAAATAATACTTTTTAAAAGTATAGCCAAAAAAACTAACATCTAGAAGCAGTCAATCAATTCATAGCGTAAATGTATAATTTGACTTTCGATAATATCCTTTATTAGAAATTATTTTTCAAGATATGAAGATTTATATTATATTATAGACTTTTCAAGATTTTAATGAGGCCTTTATTAGCTAAGTCAATATTTCATAGAATAATCAAGCAGGAAAAAAGATCTATTATTATATATTTATATCATAATTCTCTCTCTCTCTCTCTTTTCCTTTAATATTTTTGTCATATTTCCGATATTTTGCCTATTTCTCCGAAAGCTTCGAAGCAAAACGTAGCGTCTCCTTTTTGCTTATCAATGCAGAGGATGTTGTTTCTTATTTTCCATTCTCGATTCTAGAAATTATTGGTGGTGCTTTTTCCGCTTTACTTCCTTGACAATAAATTGATTTATTGTCGAAATATTAAAGATTGTAACATATAAATTTTGCCGGAGGAAAAGTTGGATAAATCTTGAGAGTGCGTTTCTAAATAATGCATATGCATATCTGGTTTTCGAGATTTTCGACTTCTGGATTTGCATAAAATATGACTACATTTATCAGCCGAACAAAATTGAAGAATAATGCAAGCACCAAACAAACAGAACAAATAATAAAACGGATTATTGTGGATAATCGTTTTTGTACAAATTGGACGTTTTCCAGATTTATGAAAAATCTATCAACATAAATATTAACAAATAATATTTAATTGCATTTTCGTGACGTTGATTTATTGTTTTTTTTATGCGACGATGCCGAATAAAAAAATGCGAGTGCAAGTGCCTTTAACGAAAATGCAAGTGCCTTTAACGTCAATGAAAAAAGGAAAGAGATAAAGATAACTATGAGAATGGCAAAATGAAAATTGAAATGATTTTGCGTGTTCATGTCGAAGACGACGCTCCTGTCGAAGGTCGGCTTTAATAGAAAGATAGACACGGACGAGGGTATTTCATAGGGAGCGTCTCGAGGATGCGGAAAGCGGGTACGTACATTTACAATCTTGAGGGAAATGGGGTAAGCGAGAGAGGGAGGGAAGGAGGCTATCCTAATTTCCTCTTGCACCTGGCCGACGGCTGTTTGAATCCCGAGATTGCCTCTGCATCATTTAAAATTACGCACCGGCATCCTGCTATCATTTCGCTTTCATGTCCCATCTAGCGTGATATAAGATCCATTCTGACGAGATATTGTAGGAAAGTTGACAAAACTAGATGTTCCTTTATAAATTTAAATTGTGTATATACGAGTATATATATATATATACTATTGTCGAGCGGTTGTCATGCATTTTAGTGCGTTGGAATAAGTCTTAATATCGTCTTATCCTATAAGAAGAGAAATTGATTTCGAAAATTGATCAAAAATTTTTGTACAAATTAAAGTTATTTATTTTTTTTTTAAATAAATATCCCAAAAAGCCACCGATGAAATAATTTATTATGTAACTCAGAAAAAAATTCATTTTTTCTATAGTTCTTGAATAATCCTGTAATCATTCTTTTTTTGTAAGCCTTAATATTTAAAAATATCTTATTGTTTTATATATTTTTCAATTGTAATTATTTAAGGCAAAAATTATATTAATAATAATTTTTAACAATAATTGAATATTAATTATTTTTTTATTTTTAACAATAATTGAATATTAATTATTTCTTTAATACATAAAAAATTTATTCTTCTATTATCATGATAACAATAAAAATATCGTTATTTTTGATAAGACTAAAAAATTAATAAAACGAAATAATTTAATATAGTATGATAAAGAATAAAATAGTTAACAATTTCATAGGGCTGGCTAGATCGATCTTTAGTCTAATAACTTGTGTGGAAGGAACTTATGCGGAGGAACTTCCGGAGAAAACGCTTAAAACTACTTTCATTAAAGTCCAAAGCGTGACTACAATAGAAAACGGTGTAAAATTGCGATACAACTATTTCTCTCTTCCAGTAATATTACATTCCAGATCCGCATTGTAGTTGTTGGAATTTCCCTTAATTTTATCTACAATCAAGATTGTGCGAAAATAATTTAACAGACTGAAGCCATCAAATATATTTCGTGAGTAAAAATTAAACATCTCAAAGAAATGCCTAATCTATTTTTAAAAGTCTACAAAGCATAAAATTCCATCAAATATAATGAAAGATGTCTCCCACATTATTCATGGGACTGTTGTACGTGTGCATATATATTATGATAAATAATATAAAAATAAGAACTTATACTTGAGATTGTTTCTCTTTTATTTTTACAAAGTAATTTTATTTCTGCTGTCGATACCTAAATCTGATTCTAATGACCTAATAATTTTCGATTACGTCCATTCGTTAGGAAATTATTGTCGTGAAGAACTGTTTTTAAAAGCGACTCTGAAATGGATATTTAATCTCCTAGAGAGAGTATATATTAATATAATTATTAATTCAAATGAGAGTAATTCCTCTTTTATAAATTGATAGTATATCAAATATATTTTCTAGAATAAAAATCCCATTTGCTTCTTTATAAATCAAATTGCAAAATTCAAGCAAAATCCAGACATATCTATTCTTTTATGAATTCTTTTATCGGATTTAGAACAATAATTAAGTAATAAAAAACTCTTTCGATAGAAACAAACATCTGGGCGTGTTTCCGTATCGAGGTCATCAATTTTTATTTTGCTACAAAAAGCGGGAAACTATATTTCTCTTGATATGCGCAAACTATTCACATGCCTAAAACACAAAACTTGACTACAATAGAGGAATTGTGTGATATTGTGTCAATGTAATGTCGATGTAACTCGGTGTATGTTGGCGTTGATTCTCTTTAGTTTACATCACAGCTCAATCCACATTGCGGTCGCTGCGATGTTTAGAAAATGGCAACGGATAAATATTGCGAGAGTAGCATGGTACACGCGAAAGAGCCCGACCATGTCGCGTCGGAAAACCAATATCGCGTTTCTCTCTGCGTGTATGGTATATATATATATATATGTGTGTATGTATATATGTGTATATATACCCGTCTCTTAATAGTCCTCTGATGACCCATAGGTACAACTGTGTAATATAGTTAAGGTTCATTAGGCGTTTATCCTACAAGAGACGTCTAAAGATCGCAAATGCATTATTATTCGCACACGTGGTATTAATTTCCATTATTATCTGTATCTTTTTATAATCCCCCTAGCGAAGGTTAAACCTTAGAAAATATACTTTGCACAAGTGCTGCTTCTCTATAATTTTAAAAAAATACAATAAACATCTCAGATTGCAATAAACGTATGCAATGTTCAAAAGTTAAATTTTATAAATACTTAATCTTAATATATACGTGCGTTAATTCTGCACTGCATAAAAAATTGCAATTATTTAATAGACATTATATTAGAATATTATATATATATATATATATGTGTCTTTTTGTTATATGCTACTTATATGTAATAAAGAGATTTGTATCATGAATTTAATTACACATATAAAAATTACAATATAATACTAATTAGCATGGTCATTAAGCATAATTGCTATTCTAGAAAAAGTACATAATACATTTGTTTAATCATTAACTTAGTGATTACTTATTGTTTAGATGGGGTGCAATGTACAAAACTTATTTGTTGTTTAGGTCACGCCCATGTAACAGATTTTAACATCGCAACTGTACTTGAAGACGGACAACTGGCGACTTCGATGTCCGGAACAAAGCCGTATATTGGTATATATGAAAGAATGATCTTATATATCTGAGTTTCTTTTCCTTTCTCTTTCTCCTTTAAAGTATTTTAATTATTTAAATCGTATTATTTTTTCTCTTTCTATATATTTAATAAAAATTCGTATCAAACTTATATAGTTTATTATCATATAATCGACATATATATATAATCGATTTTCTACATATATATATATATATATATATATATATATATTATAGATTTTCTAATGTATTCCTACATTATTCTTGTAAAAATAATTTGTACTCGTTAATGACAGTACAAAATTTTATTTTATAAATTAAAGAAGAAGAAACACAAAAAGAAGTCACAGAAAAGAAGCTTCTGTGTAATTAATTTTGCATATAAGTATAACTTTATCGCAATAAAATATTATATAATGATATAATGAGTGATGAAAAAATCAAAGAACGCGCGATAACTAATTAATCTTAATTTATTATTATGCATTAGTTGAAACGCGATCAACACATTTTCTGCGTTTCTTGTTTTTAATGCGGATTTGCATCAGCCCCGGAAATTTACATGTGCTCATGTGAGGAATATGGTGTCCTCGGCTATGGGTTCGCTGTGGATTGGTGGAGTCTGGGAATCCTCGCTTGGGAGACTCTAGCTATGGAAAGACCGTATCCACTTCATTCCACAACGTCTAACAGGGAAGCTTTGAGAATCTTGCAGGTAAGAGAATCGCGCAAACTTGGAGCAAAGAAAAAAATATTTGAATTGCAAAGAAGAAATGAGAAATATATTAAAAGAGAAATAAATGGATATTTGCGCACAATAAAATAAAAAAATAATAAGAACAAATATTTCAAACGAAAACTATATATGTTACGTGATTCTTATATTCCTATCGTTACATTTTTGAAGCTATGCAAGATATTCGAACTCTATTGCATTTCTGGAATAACATGTGGACATTAATTAAGGACGCGTCACGTCCTGGCTATCCTGTTAATTAGGAGGACTTATCATGAATATGGTATTGACACATGCCGTGGCATATTACAGTGCTTGTTAGCTTTAGCGAAGACGTCCTTGACGTTTGCTCGCGTAATATCAATTTATGATATTACGTGAGCAAACATCAAGGCCGTCTTTGGTATCTCTTACTTCAACTTTTCCTTCCTCAAAAATCGATTCCATTTATCCCATCCATGTTTAGGCAACCGATGCGCGCGACAAATTCACGCTAGACAAATATCCTGTTTTTTCAGGAAGAAAGGCCGACACCTTCGCATTGGAACCCATCGACATGCGATCTCCTGGACTGTTTATTAACTCTAGCCCCGAACGCCCGAGTGTCGAGCTTAAAGGAACTGAAGCGGACGAGCGTAATGAGAGAGTTGGATTTTGACAGAGTGCTGAATAAACAGATAAAACCGCTCTTCACCCCGCCAAAGGATCATTTAAATTGCGATCCCACTTTCGAGCTCGAGGAAATGATAATCGAGACGAAGCCCTTGCACAAGAAAAAAAAACGTCTGGCTAAACAAAGGTCAGTTGCCTTCGTGCGAATATTTTCTTAAAAGAAAATTCAAAAAATTTTTACATAATACAGGATCATATGTATTGAATAAAATTACCGTCTCGTCGTTGATTACGATAAGATTCAACTATTAGCAATTCTATTATCACAGAACATTAATACGAAATTCATGTATCCCTCTCCGCATATCTCTGAGATAATTAATATGTCTATTATCAAAGCAATGTACCTCGACATCCCGTTACAGATCGTTAAGGGTCGAGTACTCGGTAGAGGATGCTAGCGGTTTCATCGAGGGCGCTGGATCAAGCTTAGATTCGCGAAGATTAGCTTACATCCCGGAATATCGGGTTTATAATCGCGAACGCGAGATTGAGAGATTAGAGAGAGAAAAGAAGGAGAGACAATGGGAAGAGGAACTGAACACTGCCATGAAAGGTGCCGAAGAAAGACTCAAGTATGTTTGAATAAATCTCGAAATAATTGCGATATCGATGATTCGTTTCCATCGATATTTTTTATCTTTTTCGTCGAAACATTGGTTAATATTGGACAAATATTTATTTTATTTTGGTGAAAAATTAGAAAAATTTCTAATATTCTCTTGACGTTTCGTGTGATTATCTTCCACGGTTTTCTTCGTAATCTCGTGGTAATTCCCGGTAAATTCTGAACGTCACCCTGTACATTAATCCTCGAGTGACGTCTTTTTTAGCGTTTGCGCGATACCTGTGTCGCGAAACCCTTGATTACAGAACAAAGCAGCAACATCTGCCAGCCCAGCGAACCGGAAATCGACTGAGCGTCTTGACGACGAACGTCAAAGCACGTATAAGCGCCTCACCGAGGCAAGGACGCCGAGGGAGCGCCACGACGTCCTCGGACATCGACTTCATCGACGCAAGTCCGGAGCCTAGTACATCTTAGATAACACTGAGAATTCTGTACCTATCTTCTGTAGCCTACCAATGACCAGTAGTCTCTTTTAACTTTGCGCGAATATATATTAATATTTAAGAGACACTAATATTTATCTAGTTTAATAACTTGCTATAAAAGTATTATTTAATTATTTCTTACTCTATGAAACACATATATACGTTAAGAGATTAAGAAATAACAAAATTTGCTAAGTGATTATTTTATTTAATATGTATCAAAAGATTCCATTTTATAAGTGAAAGAAAAATTTTTATACTCTGCCTGAAAAGATATACTTATGACTATATAATATATATATATTCCTCTTATTTTTCTATCTATTGATCGAATATAAGATAATTTATTGCCCTTTATTACACTTTCTATATTAGAGCTTCTTTTACAAGCGCAGTGTTTTTACTTTAAAATAATATTTTTATAATTTTTTATGGAAGATTTAAATATCGATGCCACAGTTGTGTTTCGATTATCTCGAAAAATTTCGAAAACATCTATCTATCTATCTATATATATATATATATATATATATATATATATATATATATATACAATTTTAAGATTGTTATCCTTTTGGTATCATTAATTCTGATTATTTACGAATTTGAAAAGTTTAATTTAAATTGGTAGAAATTTATAGAGACAGATCAATAATGACTGTAAGTCCGCTTATGTTAAGTGGTTTCACGAAATCCTGAAGAAATATAGATAATACCCGGAAATCGCACATCGCGCAAGTTCTATCAGACCTTACCACTGCGACCTTACCACTTAATCATTATAGGAAAATTGTACATTTATAAAATTAAATAGAGGTCTAATCATCTGTACAGTTTCACGGATTTCGACCAATAGCAGTGCAAATTTATTCTTTAAAGTAATAATCAATACATCATTTTTATTTGAGTAGCAGCAAATTTTTTTATTATTCTCTCTCTCTGTTCTAAAAAGATAATTGAGATTTTTACAAAATTAAAATTAGACATTCTCGATGAATAATACGAGTTATAATCTTTTCAGTATAAATCTGATGCCGCGAACATCTATACTAAAGTTTTTTGAAAAAAAGATATTTTCATCTCGCTTTCTCTCTCAAAGTCAATACGTAGTGATAAATCGCACTTTCATTATGTAGAGAGAATATGCAAAGCTCTACAGTGTTAAATAGAATCACAACGATAAACATTTCAGATTATATAAGATGGAAAAATTATAAATAATATAAAGATATTCCAAAATTATAAATAATATAAAGATATTCCAAAAATTGTAACAATTTAAAAGTGTTAAACAAGAATTAAAATATAATATAAAATATAAATGGTAAATTTTTTAACATTTCTATATCTATGGTACTGAAAGGGTTAAGGGACGTACAATATATATATCATTTTTCTTAGTTAATGGAACTGGGAACAATCACTATATATACATATACATATGTTTTATCCAATAAAGATATATGTTGTTTAGAAGCGAGCTATGTACGAATTGAAATAAAAAATATCTTTGACATGTTGCTAATGCATTTTAATTTATAATTCCCTTAAATTCTGCATACATTAAATATTTTATCAATAAAATTTAATTCCTTTAAATTCTGCATACATTAAATATTTTATCAATAAAATTTAATTCACACTCCAATAAAATATTTTTTCAAACAAAAAAATAAAATAATAAAATTTTATTTAATCCTTATATATTTAAAATATTATCGCAATAAATTTTATAAATAATATTTGTAAGATTATATCGTTTAAAAATAATTTGAAAGTCAATAATCTCTTGCGAAAAACGGCAAGACAATTACTATTATATGATTCATATACTGCTATAAGAATTGTAAACGCGGATTTAGTATTAACCAAGCGTCGAAGGAGTGCCGGATAATCGATAACACTGGCGCCGTTTCGCGAGGGTGAAAGGGGTCATTGCATTACTTCACCTTATTCCATACACAATATAGATCCCAGCCATACAATAGATATCTTTGACATAACAAAATATAATGACATAATAGCAGAGTTTTTGAAAAATTTTTGCATTAAATCGGTTAAAAACTTTATAAAAAAAATGCAATAAAGAATATCTTTTATATGATATTATTTTTCTCGGAAAAATATTCGAGCAAATTGTCGTTTGTTTCTAGTGCAGACAATTGGCGCAATTTATGTAACAATTGCATAAACGAGATATCGTTGTGAATCACATCTAAAGAGGAGATGAATATTTCAACGTAATTGCATTTGTAAAAGCTACTTGTAAACCAGTATAATGGATCAATTACCATAGCAATTATTGCATTCACTGTTTCTATGTTGCAAACAGCGAATAATGATTAAATTATTAGCTTGTACTTTTAATGTATTTACGATAATGGATTGTATCGGCATAATAAGTGACTCAAATCATTTTTCTTCTTTGTCCTTTTTCACAATTTGCGCTTATAATCAATCAAGTAACGAAAATACCGCGATCACTTCGTAAAAAAAAAAGTTGTATTTTCGTGATAAAATATTCTTGCATATAATATAAAAATAGAAATAAAAGTTTTTATAACATTTTAATATTTTGAAGAGTCTCTTAAAAAATAAAATTTAGTCAAATATGTTATATATATATATTAGTTTTCTTTTTTGCACATCTACTTATCTATCGAAATAAATTTAAAGAATATAGGTATTAAATTTTATTTAAAAAATTAAGTATTATATAATGTTCCATTCTTTGGAATATTTGTGCCATCATCCTGAAAGAATTTATAATTTTTCACTGAATAATACTGAGGAAATGTCTATACAAATAAATATGATTTTTAGAGAACGGAGAAGGGTAACGAAGCGATAGAGAACGATAATCGTCGGCCTCGCTGTTTTCGATGGAAAAATCCAATAGAAGATAATGCAGTTTAGTTTCTAGAGATCGATGTGAAAGCTCTGGCAATCTTTTGCGCGATAAAAGTGCAGTAAAGTAAGAAATCCAACCTACTAAAGTTCCTCTTTTAATTACCTCTACGCAAATTAATTCTCTGCAACAAAGAATAAGATATCTCGTTCCTAGAACTATAGAAATTGTAATTAAAAGTCTCTAATGTCATAGCAAAAAAGTTTGCACTTATTTTTATGAAAAGATATCCCACAAAAAGATCCAGATTCTTATATATCCTGATTGCATGCATGACAAGTAATTGAAATTTTACTTTGTCGACTTGAATGAGAAAAGTTATAATAAATGGTAAATTCTTGCAAAATGCTTATGGGGAAATTCAATCGAGACTAATGCAATTTCAATCGCAAACTCGATGGAAGACGAGAGATGAGTCTTAATTCTCTCATTTCTCGCTCCTTTCGATAAAAAAGAAGACGAAGCCGCGTTTCTTCGAAGGCAAGTAATTATTACCGTTCGTTAATTACATTTTGCAAGATAGAAAACAACCGCACACAAAAGATTGTAATATCGATGAAAAAGTTACTTATATCTGAGTTGTTTTAGCCTACTTTTGCCAGCTTTAAGATGAAACTATTGCATCTTGCGTAGAAATTGTATATATATTTATAAAGGAAGAACAAGAGCGTATAAAAGAAAAAGAGAAAGATATTTGCATCTTGTTTCCGGGAATTATCGGAAGGCATTATGGCTAATTGGAGGACATAGAACAGAATACAACCATCTTTACGATGCAAAATTATTAAAAAGAAAATTTTTCTTTATATATGCAAAGATTTATGTACATTTTATATAGTTAATATAATCATTATTAGCTCTATATATGATCATCACATCATTATTATATATATTTAAAAATAATAAATCATAATATTTGTTAATATCACAAAGTATTGCCGTTTTTACCGCTTTTCGGCCAGCACGCAAGCACCACTATTATTTCCTGTTCAAATGATAATACATGGAAGACCACAACACGCCTAAAGCGGTTCTAGAACATGTGAAAATATATTGTATTTATCTTCTTTTATGAGAATATGTGTTCAGAAAAATAGAATACTTTTTCTCTCTGTCTAATACGAAGAAATGTTGATAGTTTACCTTCATTTGCTTCGAATATTCTTTATAAATGAGATTTTAAACTATTGTTATCAGTCTATGTTCTAATGTTAAATGATTGCTACCAAATGTTATCGCAGATATGCACTCTACTTACATCGATTAATCTCAATTCATATTTTTGCAAAGAATGGAAAAAATTATCCAGTACAATTAGTAATTTTTACTATTCTTTGAAGAAATAATTTGATATCTATCTATGGCATAAAACTTTTTTTAAGTCCCCAGTCACATCATGTATAATCTAAAATGCATCTTAATTTAAAAATCAATTAAAAAAGATAATTAATAATTTATTAATGTAATTCTGAACTAGAAAATATTAATTGTTAAAAAATCAAAGATATTTTTTTGCGTTTTCAGATTGCATCAATATGCATGTATCGATTTAAGTCTCAAAATATTTTTATCTATTTATCTCTCGATCTATTCAGCAATTTTGTGCTTGCTATGTATTCTCCATAGATCAACTATCTTATATTCTTAGATATCTTTTGATCACAGATTATTTTATACGCAATAAATTTATTAAAAAGTTATTCGATAGTTTCTCGCACATCAAACAGCTTAATATGAAAATAGTATAAATAAAATTATTAGCCAAAAATATGCAATATATCTGTGTTAATCATAACTATTAATATTCGCACTACACCAGGTATATATATCACATCTCGCTTTTTCCAAACTCATCATTATCGACATGCTATCTCAGTGTAATATTTGTAAAAGTACAGCTCCCAGTATATAAAAGCAAAGTAACAATAATATAATGTAAAATAATTGTTAAGAAAATATGTTAATAATGTAAATATATCATTTGTAACTCAAAATATTCAAACTAGTATCTGTAAAAAATTACAATATGTCCTAGAAATCGCACAATTTCTTTCAGTTACGACTTTAATGAATTGAGAAAGCCGATTTTTGTTGGGAAAAAACTTATTATGTCATATTTAATTATGATTCATTTTATTCGCTTAATTTATTAATCAATAAATAAAAATTTTTTAAAATACTAATTTATCTTTACTTGCAATATTAATTCTTCAGAACTCATTAAAAATCGCAACTGTAAACATTAAAATCGTAATGAGAAATGCGCATTATCTATATAGACACTTTATATATATGATGAAATTATTATAGAAAAAAGAATTAACCTTGGGGAAGGTATACATATATATTCAACATAGAAACGATGTAAACGTTTAAGAAACTACATAATACATGTAGTTTCTAATAAATTATTTAAATATTTAAACAGTCGTCACATCAGTGACCTCAATTCTGGAAATCGGTTTCGCGGGCTCCACATGTATAAAACCTTCCTCATTATTCATAAACTCACCGATTCGAAGCTGCTGTAAATTCGCTACGATTGAGTCTACTTGTATTGGTTGATCTGGTAAAGCATTTTCATTTCTGAGTTTGCTAAAGTGAAGATAACAAATGCCGCGATAGCCTTGCCAAGTTATCTCACTCGGCTTAATGCCACGTTCCAACAGAGCATTTTTCAAATCACGAACTCTCACACCAGACGAGATATTTGAAAGCTTTAAAGAGAAGTCTATATGCGCTTTCGTCCTAGCACGAAGATTTTTTCGTCGTCGGGGGGCACTCTTGACGTTTTCCATTTTCATCTGTAACATACATAAGCAAAATTTATTTATAAGATACTGTGAGAGATATATTATAAAAGAAGTATGAATAAATAAATAATAAAACATTATTTTTTAATTAATTTCGAATGTGTATTTTATTTTAACACAACAGATGTTAAATATAAAAACACTTATTATAATAGAGAGCTTCAATTCAAATTCGAAAAATCTATCCTTAATAAAAAAAGATAGTAATTTTATAAAATTCGATATATATCGAAGTATTTACTTCGGCATTAGAAATATTATTCTCTTCTTCAGCTTTCTTATAAGTACGTTTTCGTGGGAAACGTGACTTAAGAATTTTATCTTTGGCACCTTCTACAGTAGATTTTTCCACGTTAGATGCATCTTTTTTTATATTAAAACGTTTTTTGTTTTTCGGATATTTAACACGATTTTTTATATATCGATGTGTCTCAATATCGGAATCAACTTCCTTCAAAATTATCATCTTGCCATTTCTGTGGAAGAATAATCATGTATTTATGCGAAATAGCCCATTTAGTGTGATTCAGGCAACTTAATGCATACTTTTCATCCATCTCTTTGAGTTGCTGTAATACCTGCATGGTTTTGAGTTTTCTCTCACTGAGCATATGCCACAGTATGCCAGATGGTTTTTTTAATCTCGGCTTTACAAATATAGTTTGTGTCGGTGTAACAATTATATCTACTGGTACATCATATTCTTTGAACAATTGTGGCGGTAAATAATCTACAATTTGACAATCGTGTACTGTCGTGATAACGACTGTATTTTCTGTTATTGTACCCATTCTCATCATCATCGCAAATTCGAGATCCGCAAAACCTTCCCCTTTACCAAGCCTGTATCCATCTCGACTAACACATACAGATCCCAGTACAATGAGATCTACCTGAATAAATAGCATATGTTTAGATAATTATATTATAATGAAAGGATGTGAATAATTTAAATAAATCATTGTATTTTTAACAATTATGTATATTGTTTATGATGATTATCAATAATAAATTATTTTTTCTGATTAAACATACTGAATTATCAGGGCTAATAATAATTACCTTGATATTAGAATCAAGTCCAAGTGGTTTACCCGCTTGCTCTAGGCCACGCATAGAAGCCAGTATTTTTAATTGTTCCTTTGTTGCACCAGCAACTGGTATCACATGTAAAAATAAGCCAGATCTTAATCTGGGAATAGGCACAATAATCTCCTTATTGGCCTCCAGAGCTAAAAACCGTACTGGTTCTTGTGGTTTGTCTGGATTTATTTTTATGGTTCGTGACTTTTTAAATTCATCCAATTCAACCAATCGCTGCGCTGCCTCTGCAGCACCCTTGAAGTTTGGGATACGTTTGTATATATTAACAGGAAAGTTTACCAATTCATTCTTTGCCATATAATCCCACATTTTTCGACGAAAACCCAACTTTGTTATCTCCTCGGCTATAAGAAATTATTAACATAAAGAGCAAATAGAACAAATCCAATCTTCAGTACAATTCTCATATTGTGATTTTACACACACACACACACACACATTATATATATATATATATATATATATATATATATATATATATATATTTATGGTCTTTTAATAGCTTATAAAATAATTTGAAAACAGTAGAACAAGATACATATATACCTGTATTTCTAGGATTCAAACAGGTATAAAATACACAGATTTCTCTTTTGACATTTACAATTTAGATAAAAAAACGTTTGTTATGCTAATACAACTACTCACGTAATTTTTCCGTCATTTCGATCGATCCACTGACAAAATTTTATAGAAGAAAAGATCAAGATCTGCAAGAGATCCAGGAAGGATAACTGTATGAAATCCCTTATAAAAATAGATCACACGATTTATCCCATCTATGCGCGGCTCTTTTTCTACAGTCGTATCTATTTCTACACGTTTACATGTTCGCAAACTCCAAGAAGTTGTAATCCTCTAGGGATTAGGTTATTAGTTTCTTTTCATCCATACGAAATATTATTTAAGAAACGATTTCTTGCGCGAAATTGCCTCGCCATCACGACGAAAAATAATTTTAAGTCTCATTGCATACAATTCATAAGAATGACATTGGTCATCAATGAAAATAAACAATGGAAAACGAATCAGCTGATATATAAGATGCTCCATGAGGCAGGGTAATACTAGGGAGTTAAAAGCCAGCAAATCGCTGACGTCAGTCACGTGACAATTATTGGACAATGACGGATGCTGCATAATTGTTAAAAATTAGAATTTCTCTCTATCTCTCTCTTTCTCTCTTTCTCTGCCCCTAAAATATAAAATTTTTAATTTATTTTAGTTTCTTAAAAATAAGAATATTCTTGTAATATAAAATTATACATTTAAATATTATATTATTATATTATTACACTTATATTATACTTTCAAACATTGACAAATTTGCATATTTTTGCATATTTTTATATCCATAATTAAATGTAAATATTTGTTTATGTGATTTAATTTTTTCTTATCAAATATAAATTATATATTAAAATATATATAATATATACACAAAAAAATATACTCTCTTTCTTCTGATATATAAAATATTCAAATAGAAAAATTTTGAAATTTATAAAGAAGATTTATTATTTATAAACAAATAAATATTAAATAGATATGGCAACTCTAAGTGTGATTACACTCCTGCATGCGCGAGTACGAGTGAAATAAATCGGCTCCGTCGTAAAAAATGGCTTTACTCGCGAGAAACATCTGTAAAACATTTTCTCAGGTAATATGATGTTCATTCATATTTTTAAAATTCTACCTCGCTTGTATTTGTGAAATATGAAAAAATATATAATGGGAGTAGAAGTGTTAATGATTATGTTGTGTAAAAATAACACGACATTTTTTGGCGGATAATAGGTGGAAGAAGCGCAAGGGCATTGCATATTCAAGTATTTTTACTCGAAATGCATGCTGATTTTCGATTACCATGTCAGAAATATATTTATTTCGATATATTTTATTCTGTGATGCGTAAATTTATACATATCAACTAGAACAAGCAGTCAGTTCCGAGCAATCAATTCACTTATAGTGTTATTTAATCATTTATATTATCCATTGAAAAAGAGCAATAAGTTAGACATAGCTATTCCTAAATATAAATTACTTATTAATGAAAAATACAACTTATGTGCATATACTTATGCTTAAATCAAATAGCAAAAGGATCATAATGCGGATTAATAATAGCTGTCATTAATTAGGAAGATTTTATATGTATATTCTATCTGATATATTTGTATATTTAGAGAATATATGATTTTTATAATTTGTATGTATTTATATGTAAACTAACTATAAATATGATATATATATATAAATTTTATTATATTTAAACAATATTGTAATTGTATAATTTTGTATGCACAGGCTGCTCAGAAGAGCACTCTTAGAACTCTGCATATAGGAGTGATACGACAGCAAGAATCAGTAAGTATGCTATTCTCTAATTGACAATTAGAATTTATATCTACTGTAATAAACTATTTCTTTCAGGCAGTTGAACAAGAAGGAAAGTTGAAATGTACATTGATACCAGGAGATGGTGTTGGACCAGAACTTGTAGTTGCAGTTCAGAGTGTGTTCAAAGCTGCGGATGTCCCGGTTGAATTTGAACCTTATTTCCTATCAGAAGTAAATCCAACTCTGAGTGCTCCTTTGGATCAAGTCTCAAATAGTATTGCTAGAAATCGAGTCTGTTTAAAGGTCTGATTACATTATAATCTAATGATATAATTTTTTGTGTCTAAAAAAAGCTTATAAAGTATTAAATATATTATGTTTCAAAATTTGTTAAAAAATATGTATAGCTGAAAGAGAGAGATAAGGATTTTAAAACATTATTACATTAAACAATATTATTTTTCATATTATAGGGTATTCTAGCAACTCCAGATCATTCTATGACAGGAGAGTTGCAAACCTTGAACATGAAACTACGTAAAAGCTTGGATTTATATTCAAATGTAGTACATGTTAAATCTCTACCAGGTATCAGATCACGTCATCAGAATGTAGATTGTGTTATTATCAGAGAACAAACAGAAGGAGAATATTCCGCATTAGAACATGAATCTGTCAAAGGAGTGGTAGAATGTCTAAAAATTGTAACTGCTACTAAGAGTCAGAGAATTGCAAAATTTGCCTTTGATTATGCTGTAAAAAATAATCGCAAAAAAGTTACATGTGTTCACAAAGCTAACATAATGAAACTCGGCGATGGGCTTTTCCTCAAATCGTGCCAAGAGATTGCTAAAATGTATCCCAGGTATGTTAATTTTTTATCATCTAACTGTCTTAAAAATTTATTATAAAAAATTATCACAAAATATTTCTATTTTTTAATAAAACAGGATTACGTTCGAGACGATGATTGTCGATAATTGTACCATGCAGATGGTCTCCAATCCACATCAGTTCGACGTCATGGTAATGCCGAATCTATATGGAAATATTGTAGATAATCTCGCATCCGGCTTAGTTGGTGGTGCTGGAGTGGTCGCTGGTGCCAGTTATAGCGCCGAATGTGTCGTTTTTGAACCGGTATATATTTCGTTTTACTTGTGCAATATAAAATTTTTGTCATACAGTTAATATTATGATGAAAAAAGATAATTTCTCGAATTTGTGACTTGTTAATTTCAAAATGTACGATTATTACATTACTAAATTGCATTCTTTTCAATAGGGTGCAAGGCATACATATTCTGAAGCGGTCGGGAAGAATGTTGCGAATCCGACAGCGATGTTACTATGCGCAGTAAAATTGTTGAATCATGTGAATCTCAAACGTTATGGCGAGCAAATCCGGGAAGCATTGAACCGCGTGTTGAATGACGGAAAAGTGCTCACAAAGGATCTAGGCGGGCAAAGCTCGACATCGGAATTTGTCACTGCCGTAATAAGTAGCCTGCGTTAACGATAATGCTTATGTAATATAAAACACAGATATATAGATCCTCTGTCAAACTCATCTTCTTGAAATTATCTATGATATCTGGAACAACTATGTAAAGTGTAGTGCATCCCTTATAGGATATAGCTATAACTATATATATAACTCTAACACTATATAAATACATACATATATATATAGAATATTATAGAATTTGTAAAATTCTATAATTGCATAGGGGGAAATATATTTATATTCCTGTCTAATAATAGTAATGCATTGTACGTTCTATGAACAAAAAGGATTTTAAAATTCTTTGCAGATTACTGATTCATGTATGAAAATCAAACTGTGATGTTCAAATGCATAATTAATTTTATAATAGTACAATATACCAATTGTATTATATCTGTAATAAATTATGTTATCTTATACATTCTATTCTAAAAGTACAATTTGCTGTCATGCAGTTTAATCAAATATATAAACATGTGTATACTATATACATACATATATATATATATATATATATATATATATATATATATACATACATTTAATAAATTTATTTTTTTTTAATTTATTAATTTATTATTTCTTTAATTTATTAATTATTTGTATTTTTAATTTTGAATAAAACTTCTAATCATAATTTTTATAGAATTACGGAGTAAGTTTCTCTTTCTCATTTAATAATTATTTGTTCATAATTCTTTCTATACTCATTGATAAAGTATTTTTGTCAATGATTTTATTTAAACTGTAAATAGTAAAATCATATATGAAAGTATATGAATATATATCGGAATTTTTTAAATCGCTGTATCTATCTGCTCTGCAGACTGCAACTAATCAACAGCTGATCGGAACTTGTGGCTATTCATGCTTCACATGTCATATGTAGCTATACATACATATATGTAAAATAACGTAAAACTGAATAATTTAAATCAATGGATAATTATTCGGTAGATTTAATATGTCAAGATATTGTTAAATATCATCTTCAAGTTAATGCTTTAATACAAGTAAATATATATCAATAGCAGTACACGAGATATAACCTAATTTTAGCATTCTATCAATTTATCGTAAAAGAATTATATTGATAACAATATGGAAAATTATTACAAAAATTATATATATATATATATATATATATATAAATAATATATTTTTATATTATGCAGGATATACAAGAATGTAGCGGACCACTAGAGATGCTCGATGAACTCAATGCAAAAGGCAGAAACAAGATAGCAGTTTTGAAATCTTCCATTGAACGATTAGCATCTATTGTTGAAACTGAATTAAATGAGAGGAAAAAAACTGAACTGTTACTTGCAGTAGATAGCTATAAGGAACAGCTAAACACTTCTTTGGCAGCCTTCCGCAGGGCCAATGTTGTTAGCGCATGTGTCATTGACAAATTGGCAAGGGAAAATTTATTCTCTATGTCAGAAGAACAACAGAATGCTCTCCGTAAACGACATAACAAACAAAGCTTGACGAATGCATCTAATCAAGTAACAGATAAGTTATTGAGCATTTCAAGACACTTAGCTGAAACAACTCAGAGGAGCGCTGATACCTTGGACACACTATGTATGTGTGTTTGTGTGTATATCCTGTTATATTATTCAATACAATAAATATCATGATTCTATGGATTATCATTATTTCAGTAACATCTTCAGACAAAGTTGGTAGCACCAAGGATGAGTTAGAACATCAACAACAAGCAATAGTACAATCGGGTAAGCTCTTAGGAAAATATGGAAGACGAGAAGTCACCGATAAAGTTTTGCTCGCATTAGCATTTATCTTTTTCCTCGCCTGTGTATTTTACATTCTACAAAAAAGATTATTCTGAATATATATTAAGTACTTGTAACATGATACTTTCATATTATGATACTATCATGTAACTATCTGCATAGCATAGAAATTCTTAATATATTTTTAATATAATATAAAAATAATTAATAGTAATAATTCTTAATAGTATAAATAATAATATGATAAATAATATGATAAAAAAAGAGGATCACGAAAGAGTAATGTGCAATATCCATTATATATATATATATATATATATATATATATATATATATATATATATATATATTGAGTATTATCAAAAAGTTTTATACTAAAGTTTATTTGTATGTATTTCAAGAATGAATCAGATATAATGTTATGTTATATATTATTAATATTTATTACACCAGAAAGAGTGAGAGAGATAGCGATTTAGTATGTAAAAATTTTAAGTATTATATATGTATGAAGGAAAATGAATCTTATTTTAGTACATGATATAGTAAAGAGGATATATGACTTGTGTATAATCATTGAATCACAGGAAATTACCTGGAGTAGAAATTTTTTAGGTTTATTTAAAGATTTAGATAAAAATAAAATTTTCACAAAACCTGTCCATGATACTTATTGTTATACAAGAGCAAACTTTATTTATTAAATAGTGAATAAAAAGTTTTCAAAACAAAATGAAAATATGTTAACGAAAAAAGTAATATAAATACATATTTCACTTACACTTGTATTATACATATATAGTTTTATAATATAAAAAATTTGTCTCTACATTTTTTATTCATATTTAATCCATAAAAAGAAAGAATTAGAAACTATAATTTTTACATAAAGATAAGATTACTATAGCTTTTAGAGATATATTACTTGTTATCTTCTAATTAAATCAGAAATTCACATAATTCATATAATAGATTTGATCCAAAGAAAAGGTAGTCTAGATCATATCAAAAGAATCAAAATAAACTCACCTATATTATTGATGTGACAATTAACAATATGTGATGTATATATGTAGAAATCCCCAAGTCATCCATGGTTTCTTCACAATAATTATCTGCACATACATGCATTAAATTAATTTTTTTAAATTAAGCATTAAATTAAGTTTTTAAATTAAAAATTATTTCTTTCAAAAAAATTAATTTTTTTACAGAACTAGCATTATTGAGTGATAGTGTACACACACACACAAACACACACATACATATATATATATATATATATATATATATATATATATATATATATATAATGATATATAAGTTGAGGATAAATTAAAATAATTTTATGTGTTTTGCTTATCATAACAGAAAATTATTTAGATTACACATTTAAAGTTTAGATAAAAACTGTCAAGAACACGTGGAAAGTAAAAAAAAAAGATAGAGCTTACCCAAGCGTTATTGAAAAAACTATATTTGTATGGTCATTTTAATGAAATAGTCAATCAAAGGAAGTTTTTTAAAAACAAATATCTATCAAATTTATCAAAGCCTATAAAGTCTATAACAAAATTCAATCACTCAATTTTTAATTCTAATAAAATTCAATTATATACTCTACAAGATACGTTATTTATACAGAATATAACCGATTATTCGATGCGAAAAATTGCTCGATATTTATCTTTGGAATTCCGATCTATATATATATATATATATATATATATATATATATATATATATATATGTATATATCATATATCATAAATTATTAAATAACGTCATAAATTATTCATAAAACAATGCTATTGCGAATAATCGCGTCTATTTTGCCGATTATCTCTTTGACAACTTACTTGTGCAAATATTATCGGAGCTCAAAGTCTCTGCTTCTTTACGATACGACAATTCCGCGCGAAAGAACAACATGAAGTTGCTACAAAAACACGCATAAGGCTAATATTACATTTATCGTACGACAAATTTTTTAAGCACACTGATTGGCTGCAGAATAGAAAATTTTTAAAGATTCAAAAAATTATTATCCCGCAACCAATCAATGTGCTTAAAATATTTATCGTACGACAAATGTAATATTAGCCTAATAAGAGGATTGCGCATCGATTCTTACGCTTTTTAAATAAAATTTTTAAAATGGCACGTAGTAGATTCTTTATACTCTGTACTATAAATGTATTATAAATCTAGTTTGGGTAAGTTCTATTTTTTTATTTCTTACATATTCTTGACAGCTTTTACTTAAACTTTAAATGTGTAATCTAAATAATTTTCTATGACAAGCAAAATATGTATAAAATTATTTTAATTTATCCTTAACTTATGTACATACCATTATATACTTAATAAACATTATATACTTAAACACTGCTCTGTAAAAAAATTAATTTTTTTGAAAGAAATAATTTTTAATTTAAAAATTGCTTATATAATCCATTAAAAATTCTAGTATTATATATTATAAAACTTTAAATAAACTTCACATTTATTGAAAAAATAATGTGAATAATCGCTAATTTATTTTTGTAGACTTTCTTCTATGATTTTTTTTACATACGATCACTAATATATCACTATTTTTTCATTAAATAAAAAAGACAGACGAATTAATAGAAATTTAATGAAATTTAATGAAATTTAATGAAATAGAATAGATGTATTGAGAGAGAAATATGTTTTACATAAAATTTTATCATTCAATTTCACACCTTTTTTATGTTATAAATCATAAATCTTAAAAGAAATTAATCACAATTGATTAATTCAAATTACCCATATAAGTCAAGTCATTATGTAATGTTAAATCAGATAAATATTTTTATTAGACTACCATAAATTTTTATAAATATATTGCGTTAATAAGGGTCTGATAACTATGAATACTAAAGTGGAAATGACTTTCACTTTGTCATGGACTTATGTAACTTAACTTATGCAAATATATTATAAATATATTATAAAGGAGCAAATCTCTTAATTTTTTGAATACAGGACATCATTTTATAAAAAAAAAAAACAATTATTCTCTTCATATAACAATCTTTATGTAAACTCAATACAATTTCTCTATATGACAATTAAAATAGCGCATACCAGAAATTAGATTTATGAAATTACATTATCAGTATAGTTACATGATAAATAATTAAATTATGATTATTCATGGCATCATTAAATGGGCTAAAAGAACTAATCATTTAATCCTTTGCATTTTTGTATCATATTCAGTGCAAAAGTTTTGCTGTGATATTACATAAAATATATTTTACAGAAATTATTTGTTTAAATATTAGCATTTGCTTAGATTTGCATTACAAGATTCAACATAATCAGTTGCTACTGTTATAGAGAGAATAATTCCAAATGCAAAGGATTAAAACATCCTTATTCCAAGATCTAGCTTTGGTATGACGTATGTGGATACTTAATATATTATAAATTATATTTAATATATTAATATATAAAATTAAGCATCATTGATGAATTTTATAAAATAATATTTGATGGAACTATATTTTCTGCGTATTTCATAAGTTAATTATAATATTGTCGTTTTTAATTTATTAATCGCGTGTGTATGTTTACATTGCAAGACAAAAAAAATATATATATTATCTATTCATATCTCTCTCCACCAAAATATTATTAAAATTAAATACAATTAAATATCTCCACTGACCATTCACTGACTGCATTTTCATATAAATAGAATTAATATATGTTTAATATCCAGTAATAGAGTTTTGCTGCAACATGACATGTTTTAATATTATTTGCTATAATAATTTTTTGCTATAATAATTACTCAATATTTTATTAATTAAAAATTTTCAGGATTAAATAAATTAATAAGATTAATATCTTTTTTTAAATAAGGCTGACAAAAATACACTTATGTACATATATTATAAGACTGATTAATTATTAATCAATATATTCTAAAGACACAAAAAAATTTCACAGCCACAGTGATTCATAAAATAATATTGAGATTCAACATATTCTCATTTTTCAAACTTATTTTGTATCTATCTGTAATAGCTGCGGAAAAAGAATATTGTATGAAGATAATATTTCAAATTATTAATAAGAATCTCATAATCACAATCATATCTAAAAATAATGACAGTTTTTATTCAGCGCGTATACATGTCATTGCCTCAAATCAATTATTTAATTATTCAATCCTTCAATTATTAATTATGTAATTTATAGATCATAATATTAGATTACCGTGATGAGTTTAATTTTGCCTTTAAACTTTATCTCTTAAATTTATATTTTGCATAGATTTCAAGCTTAAAACCTCAACTTATTTCGCTCACGAATGCAAATAAAATTGATTTATCTGCAGTGTGGAATTTTTTTCTCTTAAGCAACTCGTCTCTTTTGGTACAGCCTTACTTTAATATAGTTACAAAAAATAACGCTCTGTTATATCTTTAAAGGAACTCCCTGCTTGATATAGTTAATTTTGTCTTTGAATGAATAATTCGCTGAGATTAAGCTTTTGAACCTGTCTTATCTTGAAATCTTTGCACGTGAAGCCTCTTATAATCCTTTCTATATTTTTCAATCGTCAATTCGGCATCACTAGTATTTGACAGGCTCAATGCTACCGGATCCAAGCTCGCGGCCAGTTTCAAATATGTTTCTTCCATCTCCTTCGTGATTTTCACCTCATAATCTAAATTCTTTTTGTGACATTCCTTCGATGGTCGCTCATCCAGTACATCAAAACTTATAAGATTTTCGCTTTTGTCTTGTTCTATATGCTTTGATAAGATATTAATATTATTAGATTTGTTTTCTATAACCTTCTTGTTACAATCTTCGATATTTATCAAAGGCTTTTTCGATGCGTCTCGAAGCTTGCAAACTAAGGTTTCGTCCTGCTTTGAAGACTTGCACTTCTTCAGGGAATTGTTCGAATAGACATTGCTCGCAGTATTCTCTTCGCACTTAATTTTATTGCTATCGTATGATGCAGCATTTTCCATGCATGTGGATTGACGACTGACGTCAATGGACGACTGGACCCACTCGGCTACTCGTTGCAACTGATTGTCCTGCAGTAGCACTGGTGGTGAATTGTCCTCGCTATTAGTAGACATTGAGTGCTCGGAACCGGCTCGAGATGCCTTTTTTGCATGTACTAAGGCAGTACTCGCCTTGCCGCTGCCATTGCTGTATAATACAGTCTTGAAATGACCGGCATTATCCAGTAAAATGTTTTTAGAACCGGGCGTGACGCGCACTAGACAATTCCGCGGGCCTATTATGCGATTTGAGTTGGTCTTGGTGGTTGAGTTAAAGGCGCCACCAGTTAACGATTGTGCAACATCGCTGCAGCTACTAGACGGATCGGAACTGGAAATTACCATACTGTCACTACTGAAGCTCGGGCTAGTCGCTATTTCCATCTGACTGCCATCATTCTGATTCGCCGCGCTATTATCCGGGCTTTTAACTTCGATCAAAGTAAATTGTGCTAGTGTATTTCGCGCCTCCGCTGACCTATCATTCTTCCAATCGCGATCATTAATAATATCAAGCTCGATACCGCAGTTTGCCTTGCATTTATTCTCCATCAAAGCATTTACTTCAGAATTCTTCAATTTTACCCATTCGTTCTTCCACAACCTGTCATTAATGATGTCGATATGCGTTTGTTCTTTATCGAAGAAGCGATTGTCGGCACATGTCGGTCCAGTATCGAGGAGAAGATCAACAGAGTTTCCCTCGTCCTTATTCCAACACTTTGCGATGGATCTAGTATCGATTGGGAAATCGCATTTCCTATTGTTGCTTCTAAGTGGTTTGGACACCTTGTCAATGTTTATTCTATTGAGATCATTTAATTTGGGAAATAACGAGTATTTATTTTCGTGGTTCTGGGACAAAGTCTTTTTATTTGAATTTATTTTTGTAGTGGCATAATTTTCCTCCGCCGTACAATTTTGCATGGTCCTGCTGATAAACTTGTCTTTAATATTCGGAGCTTGAGAAATAAGTATAGCGTAATCGCCGTTCGAGTGATGGCAGATCTTATCATTACTCTGATTAATTTCGTGGAAGACCGCATGCGACGCGAGGTTCGATTGAATTTTACCTTTGTTTTGATGTTTCTCACCATTCGTTGTACTTTCTGATGCTTGCTTTTCGACGCTGCGCGTGTATTCGTCGCAGAACGGAAACATATCAGGCACGCAAGTTTGCGTCTCAGCATCCACCATGAGGATGCTCCTGTGACACGTGCATGTGTCGCAATGTTTGGCAAAAATTCTTTCCTTTTCGCGGTCTTCCAGCACCTTCGCCATAATAGTTGCTGATACGATATCCATCGGTGGTTTAATTTCATCACTATCGTCATCACTGTGTTTTTCTACTGCAGGCTTCGTGATATTATACACCATAGCTGTCGGCGGAAATGTGGATATCGGTACAGTGATACTCTTCACATCCGGCTGTGTTACATCTTGCGTGGAGCATCGTTTTTGCGCGACATATGTTCGCACTTTAGCCTGTACTTCGGAAGGCAGCTGTAATAATAAAAAAAACGATAAGTTAAAATGTCTTATCTATATTTTTACTGCCAATAACAAAAGCGTATTTTGTATCTTTAAATACTTCCTATGTCAAAAGAAAGATATTTTTAAACAAAGTCCAAAATAAATGTGTGCTTCTTTGATAAATGTATAAGTTATATATGCACACTCTATATATTTTTTTTCCTATCTAGCAAAAATATTAATATACTATAATCATTAATATAGAATTAAAGAAAATCTCACTTTATATTATTATATCTTTAAAAATGTTTCTATAGTTTCTATATTTTTTGAAATTCTCTGTCTCATTTTACTTGTAAAAGACTGTGTAAATATTTAAATATAAATAGAATACATGAGAGTTTGAAATAAAGTTTATTTGTGCGCGCGCGTAACACGTACGTGTAACATTGTTGATGCATAAAATAAAAACGAGATGTTATATATAAATACAAATAAAATGTCATTGTAATGTTTAAGTATATAATAATGTAAGTATAATATATAAAGCATTGAAAACTAAAGTATAATATTTGAGAGATAAATGATATAAATATGAAATAAAGATGAAATAAATATTGATATATAGACATATCATAATATAACTCATTATTGTCATATAACAAGTTGATAAAATTTTTTAAACAAGAATATTAAGTTTATTTTATATATGATGATATCTTACCGAATCGTATTTCTGACCTACAAAATTGGAAGGTTTACATTGTAGTAATTGGATAGCCAAATTAACATCGTTTCTATATTTTTCCTGAAAAAAAAGGAAAAAATGTCTATTAAAAAAATAAACAGATATAAATTAATATTGCATATGATTATATGTAAGATTCTTTTATATTTAATAACTTTAATTTATATTTATGCACTAAAACTTTACAAGTGATATAAAACATTTAAGAAATGTAAAAAAAAAAAATACACACACACACACACACACACACACTATACAAGAGTACAATACTTACATTATCTTGAGTTAATTGATGAATTGTATAATTTGCATCTGCTAATCTATGAGACAGAGTCGCTATGTCCTTTGTGAAGGCACCTTTTTCTGTCTCACATTTGTCTACAATTCGCAGCAATTTATCTTCCAAATTTTGATTAACCTTTTGAACTCTCTTGTGCGCTTCGTATAGACGTGAGTATTTTTCTTGCCATATTAACAATTCCTCTTTCATGGACGCCAGTTCTCCATTTGGAAATTTATCAGCCTCGTTTAAAAATTGTGTCTCCATTGTTACAATATGATTATCTCTCTCAAGCAAACGCTGGCGCAAATTTTCTATCTCCACATGCAAATGCATGTCACAGTGTTGCTGATTATCTTGGCTGCAAGTGCCACACTTACAACCACATTCCTATATGACATTAAATGGGTCTATAAGTATTTATAATATTTTATAGTAATTTTGTTAATTGTAATAAACATAATATATAAATAGACAATAAAAGATTAATATTTATTGTATCATATATAATATGTATATATGTATACAACAAACAAATAGTTACAATATTTAATAAGAATAATATGTGTCCTATTTGCAAATATTGATATTGTCAGAAGAAACAGTCATATTACAAAAAAAATTAAATTAAATTATATTATAACATATATCAAATTATTATAAATTGTTATATTAAATGATCATTATAACAATATGCTTATATAATGTTATAAGTCATATCCTTTTTTCTATTTAAATAATGCAAATAAAGAGACACTAAATTAAAGTAGAGCAGCAGGATATATATACACAAAAATCCAAATACAATTTGCATTCGGATGCAGATAAAAAAAAGCATATATTGCAGTAAAAAATCAACATGGACAATGTTGAATCATTAAAAATTAATTAAAAACCGATACGAGGAAATTCCCATATCGTTTGTTGAAAAAATATCTACATCATCACGCTGTCTACCTGTATCAGCTGTCTGTCGCCACGTTGGCAATTCTTTCGCGATTAACTTATTGTATGGAATTCCCTGGCTAAATTACTCACATACCTTGCACTTCTCCGCCATAGTGATCCACGTCGCTGGAAATATCGGAAATAATGCAAAAATATCGTCTAACAACGCGACTACTGCGATGTCGTGGGAGCCTCATAACCCTTTCCTTTCTCGGCGTCTTTGACGTACTGTGGGATGTATGTGCCAGACGTTCGACGTCGCGATTAATCACGTGCGCAAATGAAACTCACGGCATAAACAATATGCATATACTGTACATTTTTAACGCGACAACTGACAGCTCACAGGAAATCCCATTCACATCACCTGTCTGTCGTCTCTTCGTCGTGTCTATTGCACGAACCAGCACGAACGTCTCGAAACAGTGACGTACCCATCGAATATCGGACCCTTATCATCAGGAATATTCAAAATATTTAATCGATAATAAAAATGCACAAACATACATATCAATGTACAATTAATGTATATTACAATGTAAATTAAATATTAAAATATATATTGCAAAAATCATATTATATATTATTAATTTAGTACTTATAGCGTAAAGAAAGATGAATAATTAAACATAAGAAGGAATTAAATATCTTGCAAAATTTTTATATTTCAATGTTGTATATAACCATTTTTATTATAATTTTTATAATAATTTGTATAAATATTTTTTATCTGGTGGATCGAATTGAAATAAGGATAATGTAGGAACGAAGATTGATTTGCAAAAGTATTTATTAAATGTGTGTTACATCCCCATACATTATTTATGTAATTATAAATCGTTAATGGCGTTAATACAATCATAATAACGTTAAATGTCCACGATATTGTGTCAAATAGAATACTTGAAAAATTGTCGAATCGTAATATTTATGTGTGTGTGTATGTATATGTGTGTGTGTATGTATGTATGTTTTTATATTCGTATCTTCCTCTTTTGTATGTTTTATTTTTAAGAAAAATGCTACATTTTGAAGTCAAGACCGTAAGTACATCGGTCACAGTTTAAATAATGCAGAAGTTAATTTTGCCTAAATGTATAAGATATTTGATCAAAAGCTAAAATTTTTGTTGTTCTTATACTGAACATTAACGTTGACCAATGTTGCTTTTTCCAATTTTATAAATACACACGGAATGTCCAGAAAAAGTGCAGCACACAATTATGAATATCTTAAAAATAAATTTATATCTTCTACTTAAGCGAACACTTCAATATCTTCAAACTAAAATATAACATATGTAATTCTATTTCTTGTGTAAGTATATATATATATATTTGTTTTTAATTTAAAATAGAGAATTAACATTGATCATTGTAAAATTTTAACCTTGAAATTTATTTTTTCTTTTAAAGCTTTTGCATATGTTTTATAAGTTATTTATTTTAAGTCAAGTGTAATAAGAGGTCAAATTTTAAAATAATTAATTTAAATACGTCCAATATATGTCATGTGTGTCATGAAAATCTCGGTCCAATACCAAAGTCAAATAATTAAAACAAGAGTCAAGTTGCCGAAGATGAAAACGGAAAAAAAAGAAAATTGAATTATGACTTATATACGTGAATTAATTACTTATAAAAACACATTTTTCTTGAACAATCCTGTGTAACCATGTGTACGTAATATTCATCTAATATTGATGTATATGTACAAAATGCGACAATGGTCGAGCGGTTGTTTTGATCAGACAATAGTCACTACCAACAACAATCTTAAAATTCTGTTGCAGACTGCAAAAATAAAGGCACCACAAACACTGCCTTCAAACAATATATATATGTAGCTTTTTCTTTATATAAATTAGATTATTTTGTTCGCTATATAAAATTTTTATAATGTATAAACAAATGTATATATATTTATATATTCATGATAGACTTAAAATATAAAAAAATAAGTATCCAATGATCATTAGACTACGATAGTGAGACTGATGCCATACTACGATGTTTTTCAATGATAGGATTAACAAGTTGTAAAATAAAACTAATAACAATGCTTAAAAATGAAAATTTTTAAATTATTTTAGTTATATTTTTGTTATAATTATTAAATAAATTATTAAATAAATCGTTATCGATTTTTTTAAATAATTTTGAAGCTTTTATTCTACGTTGAAAAATATCGCAGTATTATATTCATATGTAATTAATATCTTAAAAAAGAAATTCGGAAATTTCTTTTTCTAATTACCAAGAAATTCAATCGTCGTTTGTAACGCCTTCAATTTCGCAGACCGCATTTGCAGTTTACGCTATCATAAAACTACACACGACAGAAAAAACTCTTATCTAATTTGCTATGCAAGTGTCGAGTGCAGTTGAAGTCTTATGCAACTTCGTCAATGATCATCACTTCGTGATTACATCGAATTAAAGCGTCGGCATGCCCTAATCGAAAAATTCTAAAGCGCTATCTTTTTATCGGGTCATATGAACGAATGCGGTCGGGGAAAATTTGATTAACAAGCACGACGAAATCGTAAATTCTTGTTTAGTATTCATTGCACTATGCAAAAATATTATCGATGATCTGAAAATGTGTGTTAATCTAACATGTATGATATTTTTATCAATAGATAACATGAAACAATGTATCGAAAAAAACAGCTATATTATGTTTGAACTTGCCGAAAAATGCAAAGAGAAATTGCTAATCATACAAAAGAACGTAAAAAGCAACGGTTTTTTCCTTCTTTTAATCATCATTCTAATCATATTAATTCTTATGAATATCGTGTATTTTTTTTGTTAATTATTGATCTAAAGCATTTATCTTGACTAGTGAAATCTCTTAGATATAATTCAATTTTATTTAAATGCAAATAAATATATATCTTTTACTTGTTCATATTTAGAGAATGAAATTATATAAAGTTATGTGTGTATAACTTTTTAATTTATTATATACAAATTTAATAATTAATAGAATTTCTTATTTTGTATTTTTAAAATTATTGTAGATTATTATTTATAAAATTTTTGTAGATTAGAATAAAAACCTTTTTTCCAAATTAAAATAATAAACAATCAAAAATATTCCTTATAGCTTATCATAAAATAGTAATTTATCATAATAAATTTATTTGTGTGAAGGAAATCGAACCGTTTCTTTCAACATTCGTCCAGGGTCACAATGGCATTATACAATTATGCAAGAAGAAATATATATCCCTACAACATATGATACACAAGTAGTAAGATTTATATACGTTTATATAATGCTTATATATTGTACTCTACAATCGAAATGATCCAAACATTAATACGTTCTTCAATATGCGGTAATTCGGAAAAGTATCGATTATTTTTGTTTTATCTCATATAGAAAAATTCGAGGTGTCATGGAAAATGTGAAATACGATTTTGCATCCGTGAAAGAACGCTGAATGATATCGTGATAGAAATTAATAAGTCGATCAGATGAAGAAAAGGCACCAATATTCAAAATATGTTTTAACACTTTGAATCCACCAGTCTATATTTTTTAATTTATATTTTGTGAATGAGATAATCTTATGCCTATTATTTATTTTATTGACTTTCGTTTTATTTCTATTTTTAATACCATATGGTATATGTATATTCTATAATTTTATTTATGCAAATACTTAATTTTATATATGATAATTTGCTATAAACTGTGATAAAACGATATCATCAATCGGATTCAAAGTGTTAAAATATTGTTCTAATAAAAATGAGATAAGTACAAAATGTTTTGTGCTAATTGCAAGTGCCATTATTTCTTATTATATTAATATTCGTTCTAGTTGCCTCGCGCACATCGCATTCCAAATTTTCTATATATAAAAGTATTGTTTCACCCCTTTAAATCCCTGTTCGCTGTATATTACTGTTGTTATACAAGACACTCTGCCGCATATGGTTTTCGTATAGAGTAATTGACTAACTACTTATTATTAAGAAAAGGTACGTTGTCATCGCATTCAATTTTTCCTACATTTGAACACAGTTACAAAGTTTGGAACATTTCAAATGTTGAGCGTTTTCTTCCTTTTTTTATATTATATATACACATGTATATATATATATATATATATATATATATATGTATATATATATTATACATGTATATGTTATGTAAGAATATTAATAAAAGAATATGTCCGAATGCAATATTGCTTAATTCTACATATATATATACTGTTATATATTTATATATATATATATATATGCGCATGTGTTTGTATATATATATATATAATATTTATAAACTTTTTATATTCCTATATAACAACAACATAACGCCTTTGAATAAAATTTAACAAATTGAACACAAAGTTCTATACTAGGGCAGATTACGTTTAACGAACGATACTAATCGTGAGATGTGAAAGTTTGTAGAATTATGCTAAATAGGACGATCTATTTCACACCAAATTCTTTCATCATAACGGAGGTACAACAATCTCGTTTCGCTGTAAATTGTTATTAATTTTATTGTAATAGAAACTAAATTTTCTCGAGATCCAATAATATATATTATTTACTATAAATATAGTTCGAATATTTGTTTCTATTTTTCATTTAATTCTTTTTAATAATCAATGTTATTTAAATAAAGGAAAAAACAATAGCTATATTATATAATCTATTTATCAAAAAATATACATGTATAATGTTTTATATTTTGCTTAAAATCAATAATCAGTCTTAAGATGCAAGTATAACATTTGTCGAAACGAAGTTGCAGCATCTCGAAATTATTGCGCGAAACAAGGCCACAAAAGGATATTACAATAATATCATCCTATACTTTTAAAAAATCGTTATCTTGTAATTTACTAAGGATTTTTTTATAATATACATCTAGATTAATCATTCATGTTAAAGACTATTGTGTGTACGTATGTATCAGCAACAGTAATATATATAAAGAATGCAGCTACAGCAATCCTATCATGCGATATTGAAAATATAATATATTTTCCGATTCTACCGTATTATATATTAGAAGTGATTGTTTAAAAAAGTATTTTGCTTATGCTATCTGTGATTAATATAAAAATGCATCTCATGCTTTTTGTTAAAATTTTGTTGGAATTATACATAATATTTGCAATTTTATTTGTTCACGTAACAAAAATTGTTCCTTCGAGAAAAGTTATGTTTTATTCATTACACAAATTGCACAATATTAAATTAATTGCACAATTTAGACTATATACTCTATCCGATTTTTAGCATTTTAAATCGAATACCAAAATAAAAAAATAACGTTCTTAATAGTAAGGCAATTTTAGAAAGTAATTTATAGATTATGTTAAATAAAAAAATTCTTTTGCGATTTGGATTACTATTTTATATTATATGAAAAATTAAGTTTATTAATTTAAAAATTTAAGTAAATTTTGCTTAGATTACTTTCTCATAAATTTAAGTTTTTTCTAATATGTATGACATAGATATATGTACATAAAGATAACTAAACAAAACATATTAAGTTACGTAATTATACTCTCTGTAGCTGTATTAGTATATTATTGTATTAGATATTATTATAACTGTATTAATTATAATTTGATATATATATATATATATATATATATATATATATATTTCAAATATATAATCTTATTCTTATTTTATTACATAAAAATATCTTGAAAATAGGAGCATTAACTCTGTATCGATATCTAAAAGTAGCTAACAAATATTAGATATTAAGAAAAATATTTAATTCGAAATTAATATGCAAATATTTCGAAGGAACAACTAATCTTACAGAGTGAATCACAAATAAGAATTGCACTTTTTCGGCATTAATTCATTAATATATTTACGCACAGCGTATATTATATACATATAAAGAGATAATACCATAAAAACAAGAAATACGAACGCTTATTATCGATAAAGCCAACATATGTATAAATAAATATATATATTATTGATGTCTCATATATAAATTCTCTATAATATACATATAAGGCCAAATGTACATTGACATGACATTAGTATTACCACTGCGTTTGAACGTGTTAACTTTAAGAAACTGATATGCGAGCAATGTAGGTAAAGTTAAAGATAGTGTATAATTTATAAGAATGAATTTATCACGCTTATCTTCACGTCGAATATGACAAAAAATAATGCTTATTTAACTGCATGTGGTAACGCAATTAATTTTAATGTCGTCGAGTCGTTAATCTAACAACAAGCATTGATCATTGATAAAATCTCAATGACGGCAGTATCTTTAAATAACGTATCGTGGATGTCTGTTTTTTTCCAAGTACGAAAATGAATAAAATGCATTCGCGTTGCTATTCTCCGATACATGGAAAAATAGAACGAATTTGTTCTCATATTTTGTTAGACGATATAATAACATATAACGATATAGTATATATATATATAAAACATCGGATTGATAAATCAGAATATGTCAAGATCTTACCGAAATCAAACATTTATCACTAATAACAATTATTTATAATATATATATACACGAAATATAAGGTAACTTAACATTTTCCGCGTTATTTATGTATTATTGATGTGCATATAAAATCTACTACAGCAAATATTAGTCATATCGGAACGAAATTGGTGTTATTTATAGTCCAATTCAAATTAGACTATAAATAACAGAATTAATTTCAAAATTCTTGAAACTTGATACAGATATTTTTAAATGAAAAATAAAGCCCTAAAATCCACCTGCTTTCGACGTGCATTAAAAAAACTGTTTTTTTTTTCATATAAAATATACTTTAATTAATCATATCACATATGCAATCTTTATGTTATATAGTCATAATGTTGTCTGATCTTATCAGACGAGAGTCTTCGAAAAATCCTTATATCACTTAGTCATACAAAGTGATATATAAATAAAGTATATTTTATTTAGTATGCATTCCCCTCTCTCTCAAGAAAATTATATGTATCAAGTTTCAAAATTTTCAAAATTATTTTCGGTATTTACTCTTATTATTGGACTATTAATGCATAAAGAAATAATTTCACATTGTCAATTTGATTATACAATTTCAAGAACTAGATTGACAATATATACAACTAGAAAAATTTTAATTTGTGTAACTAGAAGAATGTATAATTTACCGATTTATAACAATTAGAGAAGCCAAGTAGATTCTCTCAATTCCTTGATGTATTTTCCGAATAGTATTATTGAAGAAATAACCGTCATATGATATGACATCTATTTTCATATCGCACATTTCGCTAATGCGTCGATTCATACGTTATTTGAATTGCTACTAGTCTACCTTACAAGCAACCTTGCATCCGGAGTTAAACATCTATTACTCCAATTTATCATTATATATACGTAACATGTAATAATGCAATATCTCTCGTCATAAAAAATCGTAAGCCTTAGTCATACTTCGAACAAGGTCATTTGTAATTACAGGATGGATAATTTTCGTCACTGTTAAAACGCGTTAACAAACCTGTTTCCAATATATATAAAAATTTATATTTATAATTCATATATTTATTCTCTACACACACATATATTCTATCTGCGTATACATATATTTTCGAATATATTTTAACTAAAATTTTCTTAATCGTGAACATAAATCACAGCATGATATTTTATTTCAAAATGTAACAATATAAGCATTTTCCATAAAATCAACTTACACTCTGTTATATTTTTCCTTTCGAATTTTTTCGTAAAAAGAAACAGGTTTTCTAACTGTTTTCTTTGAAAGAGATTTTCTTTATACCTTAAGAGTAGCTTTGGGAGACCAGTGGTGGAAACGGGAGGGTCCTGTCGGATAAGAGGACGGGTGTACCCATTTATTCCCCCGATGTCCCATAAAGGGCGGTGGAGAAGGGCCACCGAGGAAATGCGGAGGCATTATATTGTACCAAGGCTGATTGATTGGATGAGGACCGTAACCCATGCTAAAGGAGTGACCGAACCACGAACGATTTCTGTTCAGATGCAGTCTAGGACTATTCAAATTACGTCTCCTACCTGTACCGTTATTGCTATGTTGTTGGTTTTGATTAGCAGTGCTTAATAGTTTTGATTTCGGCTGTTGTTGTTCTGTACTAGCGGTTAAAGGGGATTTCTGCAACAGAAATATATAAAAATTTATTTCCAAGTTATCATGTAGTTATGATTGAATATATATAGGAAATATATAAACAAAATATTACATGTAAGTAAGATATTGATAGCTTATATCTGCAAATTAATAATTTTAGAGATAATCAATTTTTTGACCTTTAAATTAATTGTTTTTTATATACTAATACATATTTCATATCTAATCGATATATTCAGAATATTGTAAATTGTTCATTGTATAAATGTTTTGTATGATCTGAGAAAGATATAATAAAAAAACAAATTAATTCATAAATTGAGAAATTGAATTTATACTTGTACTTATATATTCTATATGTTATAGGAAGTATTAATTTGTTTTAATCCATTTAATAAGATATTAATTGAATTAATAAAACAATCACAACAAAAATGCTTGCCTGTATCTTGATGGACCCCACATGGACTTCCTTGTTCTCTTTTTCCATGTTCTTTTTATGTTCGCTTTGAAAAATGGGTACAGTATTCTCCTTATCCTCAAACGATGCCAGCGTGCAATATGATCCCTTACTCTCACCGAATCGACAGCAGACCTCATTGGGATCAACCCACAAAGTTAACTCCACCGGCAGGGCCAGGTCTTCATATTTGACTCCGGCAGCACTCGCGGCGCTCTCTAGGGTTGCATCTCGACGATTGTGGCCATTGACGCGTATACAACGATATCCCTGGCCCTTGAACGGCTTGTCGGGAAACCAGTGGTTTTTAAAGCGTTCCGTCAACAGTTCGACCAAGTGTCGCTTGAAGCATTCTAATTGATCGGGACTAAATTTTTCGCTTTTTTCGATCAGCTTTACTAAGAACAGTACCGCCGCCCTGATCTCGTTGAGCATCTTGTCGCTGTCGTATGTCCCAGTTACAGGTCGATCGGATGCACTTCTCGCGATACCACAGTAGTAAGCTCTTGGAAACTAAAGTACCATTTGCCCAAGTCACGGTGGAGCACATAGAGCCCTTCTGCACCGTTGCAACGCTTAAATTCTTCAAGATCTATGTTTCTAGCGTGTATTGCTGGCGTCTTGCTTGCCAAACTTTGAGTAATGTTGTAGTTTTGGCCGTACAATTTATATATCCTACTAGAGTGCTGCTACAATCTGTATATAAACAGAAAAAAATATCATTATTATCAAATTCACTATTATCAATTACCTCGATATTTCGCTTCGAAATTCCGAACCGTTTCGAATCCAGGTCAAGAGTAGAATCGAATGAAAAAAAGCGTAAAAAACCCGTGTTATAAAGTGAAGAAAATGCATATTCAAGTAGATTGCCTCCCGCTAATGGAGATCCACGATGATAAACATAAACGCGTGAGTCACGAAATGAGCCTTTAAATTAAAAATCTAATTCACGCCTCGATCTCGGTAGCATTAAAGTACCTCTTGAGGTACGCCTGAGGTGGGGAAAAAAATTAGAACGCAAAGTGCGTTCCACTTTTCAAGTTCGAGTTGCTCGAAAACACTGTGCTCCGCACGAAACACGAAGCGTTTGTTTGTTTTCCCTCGGTACTTCAACGAAACCACGTGTCTCGTCCGACGCGCGTTCAGCGCGAGCGATGTCGCGCGATCGGGATATCCGCGGGCTCGAGAAGCGAGACGAGTCCCGAGTACAATATGTTATGCAGCTTGATGCTCGGAAGGCAGGTTAGGTCGAGAGGAAGTCGCTTATCCGAGCGTCGCTGATAATCGAGCGACGTTCGATCCTCGGGCGACAATCGCGCGCATCACGTCACCCCCGCGGGACGAACGTCAACGTCAACGTCGACGCCGACGTCGACACGCGACGATGATTTTATGCCAGCTCATCGCCGCCGTCCCGCGCACTGCCAGATCCGTGGCCCGATTTTCCCCGTTCGCGATCGCGACCCGTTTCGCGGACGCGTTTAATATCGGGCGTCCAACGCGAGGCCGCGGCGACACGGAGCCCGATATCGCGCGATAATAACATGAAATGATTCTTACGAGTCAGTGACGAAAATTCCGTGTCCCTCTACTGCGCGAAGCTCTAAAAAAAACTACGTCTTCGTTCTCTTTAAATAAACGTACCCGACCTAACACGTGTTACGTTGCACTCCACGATCATGGAGCAGCGTACGATGTAGATGCGCGTGCTGTGCGATGATTAGTTTTCAATTGGATTAAAATGGCCCCGCCAATCAGCGTACACTCCACGCAACGATTCGTCCCTCTCGCGGGGCAAGGGGAACGTAGCCTCTAACCAATCAGCCACTGCCACGCTGCCAGCTGATTGGTCACTTCTACGCTCCCCTTGCTCCGCGAGAGAGGGGCCAAGGAAAGAATCGTTGTCGCTCAGTGCATATTGCAATGTCGCCTTGAGAAAGTCGCAGGTCAGCAGGTCTGTTCGTTTTCTTCGCATTCCCTAGAATTTCCATTTAAAATAAAACAATCAAGAATTTTTTGAAGTCTCTAGTGAAGCCAAATGAAACATATATATATATATGCACATGGTTGAAATTTAATTTGCATTTTATTTGGATCTGTTTGTATCTTTTAGAAAATGTTGAATATGCATAGGAACGCGCCTAACATTCTGATAACAGGTATTTAATAACGTAATATGATTGTAGTATGAATTATTTAGCAAGTTGCATTAAGAATGGTTTATATTTTTCAGGCACGCCTGGTGTCGGCAAGAGTCTAATGTCGCGTATGTTATCGGAGAAAACCGGACTAAAATGGCTCGATGTTAGTAAACTAGCTATAGAGAATGAATGTCTAGATGAATACGATGAGGTGTACCAGTGCAGTGTATTAGATGAGGACAAAGTAATAATTTTTTGTTATTGTGTTGATATATCTTACATATTAAAATTTTTAGGATTTTAAGAAAATAGGATTTATAAAATATATTAATTGTAAATTTTATATATTATTTAAATTTTTTTAGTCGTATATAAATTGAAATTTTTGCACAATGTTTTGTTTCTAGTTATTGGATGGAATGGAAAGTCTTATGAACGAAGGAGGAAAGATTGTAGATTATCATAGTGCCGAGTTCTTTCCTGAGAGATGGTTCGATATTGTATTTGTACTCAGAACAGACAATACCATCTTGTACGATCGTCTTAAGGAAAGAGGATATTGTGGAAAGAAACTAGAAGATAACATAGATTGCGAAATTTTTCAAACTATTCTCGAAGAGGCAAGGTCATCCTACAGGAAAGAAATAGTACACGAACTGATGAGCAATACCGTAGATCAGTTGACAGATAATGTAAATAGGATATGTCAGTGGCTGGAACAGTGGAAAATAGACAATCCGCAAACTTGAAAATATGTATAATTAATTTCCTTTCAATCTCTTTTGTTTTATTTACATTAATTAAAGTAATGAAGTATCTAGATTTTAATAACTTGTTGCAAATAAAATTATTTACATAATTCTGTATATAAGTCACAATATATATAGAAACATATTTTTACAGTCTAGATAATATAATATATATACATTAAAGAAAAATGATATGATAAGAAACAAATTGTTTTTTTGGAAAAGTTGCAATATATTTATTCTACTATACCTAAGTCATACTTTAATCTTTTTAATCTATTATCTATAGAATCGTAATATTTCATTTTTATCAAGATTTTTGTTGCTGTTTCAATATCTTTCTTTTTGAATGCTTCTGCCGCTTGGCTAAAGAAAAATTGAGAAAAATATTAGATATGTTGAAAACGATTTTTGCAGCTTATTAAAGCTAAAGAAAGTGAAGATTACTTTGATAATGTTTCAAGCATTTCTTTGGATTCTTTAGCCAATTTGAAGACTTTGTCTTTGTCCTCCATTGCATTTTCTATTTCTTCATTACGCTCCATAATCTCCATAAGAAATTCTGGATTCAAGTTGGTAGTTTCTTCCGATATCGATATACCTTCTAATTGCAACATATACAATCCTCTTTTTAATGGATGCATCAATGTACTATAAGCTTTATTTATTAGAGAGGATAAATTCTCTGAGATTTGTCTTTCTTTCTAGACAGTTAAAATAGATTTTATTTACAGATAAAAAGAATATTTCACCATAAATTACAAAACTTGTGATTAAGAGGAAACTATGCGCTTAAGAACAAATACTTGCCTCAGATTTGTTACCAAATTTATCAGGATGTAACATCTTTTGCAGCTCTCTATATTTTTTATGTAATTCTTCATTAATCACGTTATAATTTTTTTTAATTCCCATGATGTCAAAATAGTTCAAGTTCTGTGGTAGCTCCTGCAACACTTTGCACTTTGAGCAGAACAGCTCGGATTTGTACATATAATTACAATTCCAACATTTAAGTGGACTGTCACTGCAGAAACGTAGTGTTCCCAATAACGTGATCGAAGGATGAGTGTTTCTCGACGATGCCTGATACGAATACAGCTTGCATTGCTGCTTGATCGGGCTTACTGCCATCGTAGATTTTTTAATGATTCTCGCCAAAAACATTTTCCCAAGTGTAATCTCATCTAATGAAACAAATAAATCTGTGCCAATGTACAATTATCATTACATACACGAGCAATTGTCGAGGTACTTGAATTTTGCGACTTCCGCCTCTCTCCGATAAAGCGCTATCAGACCGTGTCGAGATGCGATAACAATAATCCTCTAGGTTAGTCTCTCTCCATGCAGCAGAACAGATGGTTCGGTATAATAATTCACATTATATCTGATTTATAATATTGTATCTTGATTCAAGGAGGGACAAGTGGGATTATGAACTCAACCAAGAGTCGCGGTCACGAGAACAACACGTGTCGCAGAATTTGACGAAAACTAGAGTCGTGTGAGTGTCTCCGAGCTTTTTTCAAGCTCGCTAATCCCCGGGAAAACACAGCGAAATGGGGGACCATCGACAACAGTTGAACAATTTAATCAAATGGTTGGGTACGTTTGATCTTCAAGCGCCGCATAGCTCTGCGGAGGATATAAGCGATGGGGTTGCCCTGGCGGAAGCCTTGGCCCAGATTGCACCAGAGTGGTTCACAGCAGTATGGAAGGCGAAGATCAAGACTGACGTGGGTGCTAACTGGCGTCTTAGAGTAAGCAACATGAAGAAGATTGTGGAGGCTGTGATGGAATATTACATGGAGTGTTTGAACCAGCCATTGTCAGGCTACGTCAAGCCGGATGCGATCAAGATAGGTGAGCATTATGACAGCGATGAGCTGCGTCATTTGTTACAGCTGATTCTTGGTTGCGCTGTCAACTGCGATCAGAAGCAGCAGTACATCACTAAAATAATGGGTATGGAGGAGACTGTGCAGCAGGCAATAATGCAGAGTATCCAGGAGCTTGAGAGCAGTGTGCATGGGCCCAAATTGAGTAGCAATTTCAACTTTGAATCCTTTGATACAGCTGATGGTACTCAACAGAGACTCTATGCGGAGCTCCAAGTGGCAATAGATATGAAGGACCAACTAGCGCAGAAGTGTCACGAACTTGATCAACAGCTTTCTCTGTTGCAGGAGGAAAAGGCTGCATTGATTGCGGAGAATAAAAAATTCCAGGAGCGGTTGGACGAGTTTGAGAATCCAGAGGAGTCTGGTTCTATAATGAAATATTCTGGATTGCGGAAACAAGTGGATGCATTAAAGGATGAATTATTTAAAATGGAAACATCTAGGGATGATTATAGATTAAAGGCGGAATTGTTGGAAAAAGAAGTATTGGAGTTACAATCGAGACAAGAGGATTTACAAAAAGCAGCTGATGAAGCAAACCACCTGAAAGACGAAATCGATGCTTTGAGAGAAACTGCAGATAAAGTAGCAAAGTATGAAATCATGATAGAATCATACAAGAAGAAGATGGAGGATTTAAGCGATCTTAAGAGGCAGCTCAAGATATCAGAAGATAAAAATGTTGAATATTTACAAGCCAAATTAGACTATGAAGAAGAAGTGAAGCGCACGATGATGTTGCGCAATCATTTGGAGGCATGCAAACAGCAGCTCACAGAAGTTCATCATAGACTGGATGAGCAGAGTAACAAATACGATCGATTGGAATTCGAGGGCAAGAAGATGGAAGCCAAATTAGGTGCTTTGCAGAGGGAGAGAGATCGGCTAGTTATCGAAAGAGACGCCCTGAAGGAGACGAATGAAGAACTGAAGTGCAACACGCAATTGCAAACTGCTGAGAACATGGCAAAACCCAGTGCCGATAGTTCCGGCGTTGCTGGAACGGAGATGGTTCCACTTGAGATTAAAGAGAAATTACTCCGCTTACAGTTGGAGAACAAGATGCTGAAGATGAAGCAGACGGGTAACGAGGACAAGCTACCTAGTGTGCAAGCGTTGCTGGACGATTCCGAGGAACGTTTAAATACATTGCGAGGACAAAATCGCAAAGCGAATCAAAGGATAATGGAATTAGAAACCAAATTGGAGGAGGTCATGGGTACTCAAACCAGTGACGATAATAAGAACGACGCGGGTTTGAATCAGAAAATGTCACAGCTGCAGGATGAACTACGAAAAATGCAGGCCGAAAGGGAACGGTTGACATTGCAGCTCGAGGAACGCGAGAGTGCTTTGCAAGCACAAAAACAGAAAGCCTTTGCTATTCAGGAGAAACTGACGCGGAAGGAATACGAAAACGCCGCACTCGAGGAACGTTATAAGAAGTACATTGAAAAAGCCAAGAGTGTTATAAAGAGCCTAGACCCGAAACAGAATAATTCTTCACCGAGTGAGGTCGTTGTTCTGCGTAATCAATTGCTAGAACAGCGCAAAATGATTGAGGACATGGAGCGTTCCATGAAAGAGTCCAGGTTGTTGCGAGAGATGGAAGAGAAGTTAATGGTGACCGCTTTTCATAGATTAGGCTTGAATTGTCACAGAGAGGTGATAGATCAACGGCTCGCGGCGCTCAGTTCAGGACAGGGTCAATCTTTCTTAGCCAGACAAAGACAACCTTCAGCAAGACGCCATCCACCTTATAACTCAAAATGAAAAGAGCGAATCGACTTCATGCTTAAGTATTATAAAAAAGTAATAAAGTAATATTTAATTATTTGAGATAGTTAGGTATAATTATTGTTAATTATAATAGGGCGATAAAGTGATACACGCATATATATATATATATATATATATATATATATATATATATATATATATTGTATTTTAATATGAATTCAACAATCAAACTTATTAAATAACAATGTGGAACATTCAACATAATTAATATCTTGTTATACACAATATTATGGTATCACATTTATTTCGCTATTATAATTATCACAAATGATTCTATTTTTTCCGATATAGATATGCAATTAAATAATTCAAAGGAAAGCAAAAAAACAAAAATCAGACATACATTTACTTTTTAATTAAAAAAAAACAATTTATAGAAAATCTCATAAAGAGATAAATTATAAACATCTAATATAATCTACAATATATAATGTTACAAATAAATTAGACTCAGTTCCTCCATTTATTGCAATCATTCATAGATGTGTATCCAGCCAATTTTTCTGTCTTCCTATAAAATTATCATAGATATTTAACACTTTTTAACACTTTTAATTCTACAATTCCAATTCTCAGCCAAACATTTATGGTGATTTTCTGGCTATTAGATGTGCCAATACATATGTTCCTGTATCTTTAATAAATAAAGAAATAATTGCACAAATATCTCCATCAGCTAGAAAAACGAATTAAACGATACATTCAAATTGTATTGTAATCTATATCGGAAATGTTTATCATTGTATTTATTTTAATCGAGCTCAAAACAAAAAGATATGTTAAATAAACGAATTGTAAATAAGATGATTATATATATATTGTATATGAAATATATATTGCTTTTTAGCATGCTGACAATGGATATTGCGCAACACATTGTATATTATAATGTGGACAAATTTTATCCCATTTAGTGATATTTTAATTTATGCTGATGATGAACAATTACTGATTTGAAAATATTGTATATACTTCATAGTAACGCTTATTTTGATAAAATGTGATTGATGCAAAGTGTATATTCATGAAAAGTGTTAATTGTCTGTTATTGCCTTGTGCAATAATATATGACAAGACAAATTATTGTAAATAGTATATATCGATATACACATATTTCTTAGAATTAGGAAAATAAATATATAAATATTTATGAATACAATACAATTTATTCATACATTTTTATAGTCGCGCGTTAATGTTACAACTAACATTATTTATTTGATACATGATTTCTGTTATTGCTATTATATATATATATATATCTGTTTTACAATTCTATTTTATAATCCCCCTGCACATGATGATGAAGTAATTGGAAAACTATTTTACGGAATGTGTACATACAAACATGAATAAATATATAAATGCGCTACATAATATACAATGCATACTGAAACCAAATTTCAATATCTATGTATATAATTATATTTATAATCTTTCAGGAAAACAAATATTCCATTCTAAAGATTTTAATAATATAAATATTGATCATTAAAATGTATTAAATTATAAAGATTTGATAATTATTTAGTTTATACATCTTTAAAAAAAGCTCTTTTAATTATCTAATTTATAATTATTTTTTCATAAGATTTATAATATATATGTTTATATACAAGAGATATATAAAAAAGAAACTTTGCAAAAGTAAAGATTTTATTGTGCAATTTTGTTGTAATTATTCGCATGTTTCAATCTTGGATCTCGCTCAGATATTTTAAAGATTTATTTTTGCTTTCTTTTATATACATGCATTTATTTTCTAATATATTTTACATATAACTGGAAGAATTATTTGTAGTTATCTCCCTGAGTTACATAAATTTTTTAATATTATAATTTTTCAACAATTTATATCTAATTGCCACTGATACTTTACACTTTATCCTGATTTAGAATGATTTAAAACAAAATATGAGTGGCAGGTTTTCAGCATATTTGTATTTGCTGAAATATAAGCGCTCAGTGGACATTTATTTAATATCTATGATTGAACTGTTGACAAATATATATTTTCAATCATAACTTGACGTTCATGATGCAACTTATTAATATACATAGATGTTCTATCATTGTGCTCTATAATTGGCTTCAACTGTTGTACTTTTGCAATTCTTTGTAAATCAGAATAACATTTCTGATAGTAAAAAATAGCGCTAAGTAAATTCCATATACCAAATTCAGGCCACAATACATTGGTAAAGTAGACACAAGAATTGGAGATCTAAAAAAAAAGATTTAAGATTATTTTAATAGTGGATCTGTGCTTTAATAAATAAAAAAAAATTTATCAAAACAAACTGTCTTCTTACTTGCCACAAGAGGAAGTCACTAAGTCGTACTTCTCCAGAAGTACGAATCAATAAATCTGGATTCAAGGATTTATAAGTATATAAACACTGAGAAATTAGATTTTCATTAACATCTTCTGGTAAGATATCAGCATGTTTTACACCAACTGCTATATCCTTGATTGCATGAGTAATTTCATCTCTTGCTGAAAAGATAAAATATTGTTAAAAATACTATAACTTTAGTAAAATAATTTAAATTCTTATTCATGTTTAACAAAAAGTACAATACAATAATGTATATAAATATATATTATATTGTTATATATAGTTATCTTACATGTATAAGAAAAAGCAATATTTAAAGTTGCTTTATCATTATTTTCAGTGATGATCATAGCTTCGGCAAATAATTTACGCATATCCTCTGAAAGTAAAGATAAATTGCCAATTACACGAATACATATTCCTTGCTCTGCCAATTTATCCCTGGAAATATACATTGCATTTTAATTATTAGATCCATCAGATTTTATGTTATAATATATATTTAATTTAAAATTTTATACACACTTCTCTTCTAAGAGACGCATAAACTTGCACCTAGCAAGTTCCATAAGTCCGCTAACTTCTTCTTCACTGCGATTAAAGTTCTCTATACTAAAAGCGTACACTGTGACTTCTATAATACCCAGATCCCTGCACCACTTTAATGTCTCTGCCAATTTATCAAATCTGTAAGTAAAATATAAGACACATACATGATAAAAAATAATATATAATAAACTAATAAATAGTTACAAACTTTTCCCTCAAAGATACATACCCTTCCACATGTCCCTCTATTCCAGCCTTTTTCTGTTTCTCTGCATAACGTCGATTACCATCCATTATAAATGCTACATGTTTAGGTACATGACCAGTCTTTATAATCTTTAAAGCCAATGATTGAAATAAATTCAAAGTGTTTTCCCTTATCCATGACATTGTATTTTACAAATTCAGAGAATGTATGCAGGAATGTATGAAAATATACTATTTACGATTCTATCTGCGATTTATTTCTCTCAAACACACTTTTGCCAAATTTTCCACTATCGAGCAAGCAACAATTTATTGACAAACATAAATGCCGTGCGGTATACAATATACAGTATTTTAAAACGAACAATGACGAATGATGCTAATCAGCTGTTAGTCATCCTCTAACCTTCAGAGCTAAAGTCATTTTTGCCGTGGCGCGTTAATTTCACAAGTATCTTAATTATCAGTCTTATCTATGTTGCTGTTATTTATGCAGGTACATTCGGGAAGCGACGACATACATTGAATTATCATCGAACGAAATTTTTATCTCGCGCAATTCTTGCTGATGAGTCGGTTTATTTATCATACATATATATGTATACATGTATATACATATCTCTCATATATATGTCGCTCGATCAATTCCTGTAAATGCGTACAATGATATATTTTTTATTATGTTTTTTCCTACTTTCTTAAATTAACGAGTAAAATGAATGAAGGAACTATCCTCAATACACGGCACAAATTCATGCACGAGTTTGTTCCAATCGTTTCATGATAACGTACGATCGCTCGTGATAAAAAATCGTTATGATCATGCATGTCGAACGATATGCACTTCGCGGTTCGACGCAAGTGTCAACGAAATCGTCGATCTGCATTGCAAATATTAATTAGTTATGCGGCGACAGTTCGCACATATTGAAAACGTCTGTTACAAATGACGAGTGTTTAATGATAGTTTTCTGTCGGGTCTAACTTTAATACATAATTTTTCAATCGTTTTTACATGGAATTCTTATAGAGACGATCGCGCGAACAGATGTTATCGAACATTTTTCTTTTATAAACTTTAACTCGCTCTCGCGCAACGAGAGGACATTAGAATATTACTAGTGGATTGTACAGTATTCGCGTATTTACTCGCATATTATATCTTCACCGTCAAATCCACCTGCAAAATTCTCTACAAAATAATACAATTCTCCTCTTAATTGGATTCACAAATCGAGCCATAATCGCGAGACGCTTTCAAGAATGGCGCGTTCAATGGCGGATTCATCTCTTCGCCGATAGGTTCCCGGATGACGCAATCCATAGGTGGTGATTTCATGTCGATCCGATCGAATGTAACAATATTTTTCGCGCAAGTTTATGAGTCCATTCGAGTCGCGATTATTGAAACGATATTTTTACATTTGCGGAAAGATTACGGGCTTTTGACGCGACGCGAAGTGGAAAAATTCCGGGCCATCGCGAATAGAAGGGACGGGCCCCTCGCGGTGCCATCTACGCGCCTGTTGGCAGGAGCCCCGTCATTGGGGGACTACTTTGCGTCGGTTTAGGCGAGCGTGTGCGTGCGCGTTGCGGTCGCACAGCCAAGCTTCGGGGAAAGAAAATGAACTCCGCGGTGGTTATCGCGGCGCTATGAGCCGTAAATCCAAATGTTTTGTCGTCGCTCGTGAGTGAATAGAAATCGATTGGATCGGTCGGGATGGAGGTCAGCGCGTCCAGGAACGAGTCCGGGATCGCATCAGGTAACATAGAAGGCCGTATACGAGCGTGTAAACTCGCTGTACGTGCCTTCGTGCCGCCGTACATGCCGCCGTGTCTAAAGCCCCCCCGTGTGTTTCTCCCTTTACAGAGCTGTACTTCCTGATCGCGAAATTTTTGGCGGCGGGACCCTGCGCGGAAGCCGCGGCGGTAAGTGGCCAAGGGCCGGGATGCCGAATGAAGGCGCGTCGTAATTCGAGGTGGAGCCCTAACGCGCTTTGTTTCAGGTGCTGAAGCGGGAATTGGAGCATGCCAAGGTAAGCCGATCGACGGGACTGACACTGTACACAACTAGTCTCGCGGGCCACATGGCTCGCGCACGTGGTTTCTGCTTGTCAAAACATTAGAATCTCAAGGTCGCTGACCTTGGTGAGGTATCGCGGCCGCTCGCCGTACGCGATCGGCCCTTGCCGATCGTCATCGATCGGATCGCTGCCGATCGATCGGATCGATTTTTTTTTTTCTCCACCCCCATTAATCGTTCCCCCCGTATAGATTTTAGATCGTGTTTCTGTTCGCAGACTTTGCCGTCGCGACTCGACTGGGAGGGCCACGTGCATAATCAAACGTTCGAGGAGTTGGTGAGTATGGATATACGTGCTGACATGGCGATCGGCACGAGGCGGACATGTCGACTCGACTCGTCTCGCGAGCGAGATGCACGGGGTCGGCCCGCCGTTGCGCCATAACGCAAGGTGGTTCGATGAAATAATGCGCCGGGCGCATCGTATGTCGTGGATCCGCGGGGGGTGCTCTACCCCCCGTTTAATCCCCCCGTAACCGCCCTCCGCCGCGATTCCTCTCGCGTCTCATGGTCTCTCTTTCTCTCGCATGGAACGTTCGTCGTGGCCTCCCCCCACTACCGCCGTCCGTTGGCCAATCGAATGGCGCGTTTCCGGCCATTTCGCGTGAGCTGATCAATGAATATATGTAGAGGTCCACGGCTTATTTATAGAAAGTGGCTCGCGCGTGATGAGCGGACTACGCTGATTGGTCGACCGCGGGAACTACTTGACCATTCGAATTTTGCGCGCGAACGATGAATGCGATGATGATTCAACTTTCTAATTTCAATGTTTATTGCTAGTGCAATTAGGAAATATTAATTTTCAACTCTATAATGTTTCTTTTCTCGTATTATACGCAAATAATTTCTGAGTTTCACGTGTTTGTATGAAGATTTAATGCTGTATAATGTCTAAAAAAAAATACTTGACATATTAATATTTATAGCCTTTCTAGGTATTATATAATTCTAAAACTTATATGAGACATAAAAAAGCTCTTAAACGCTTGCAATTTCATCTCTCTGGATTATTTTACACAATAGCTTATTATTATAATTTTTTTTAGGAAAAAAAATATTCTCACATTGGATCCGATCATTTGTTGCAAATATGTGCCAGAATTGGACCAGTGTTAGAGAGAGAAGTGCCGCCATGTGTCCCTGGAGCGATATCGCTTTTGGGTGCAGGCAAACAATCTTTGCTGCGTACCCACGAAGGTATACGAAATAATATCAATGCCTTTTATTAATTATATTCTTTATTGCAATAATAGAATTTTATATTTTATTAATATACATAAAGTACATGAACATTGTATGTATAAAATATGTATAAGATTTTACATATAAATTTTACGTATGTATAAAATTTTTTTTATAGATATCACACGTTGCGTATACAACATTGTCGATTTTTCCACAAGATTTGGTGGAAAACCCCTTTTGGAATTATCTGGTAGCTTATCAGTGCCTAATATAGGTAAGACATTGAGAATTGACAATTGAATGTAAAATGTACTTGCATTTTATTGGCATTTCTTTGCATACTTTTTTTTTCCTCTCATGTAAAACTCATATAATTTTGTTATGCATATGTTTTTGTCCACTAGTACGTGTACTTCAGGGACGTGAAAACTCTGGTCCTCTAAGTCGAAGACAGGCAATACCGACAAAGTTTTACAGCAAGATGAATTTATATCGGCGTACACTGGGTCATTTATCCGCAGTGTATTGTGTACTGTTTGATCGCAGTGGTAAATATATTATAACTGGAGCGGACGATTTGCTCGTCAAAGTCTGGAGTTCTGTTGATGGACGTTTACTTGCCACTTTTCGAGGCCCGTCCGCCGAAATTATGGACATTGCTGTAAATTTTGATAATACTTTATTGGCGGCGGGAAGTTTAGATCGAGTATTACGAGTTTGGTGTTTCCAGACGATGTCGCCTGTGAGTAGAAACTAAATTATTTCTATTTTATAATTATTTTTATAGAGAATAATTATATTTTTCTTTTAATTTATATATATCTTCTTCTTCAAGGTGGCAGTTTTAATGGGGCATACAGGCATGATTACATCCGTGAATTTTTGTCCAATAGAATGTAATGGTGTCTACTATTTAGTTTCTACTAGTACTGATGGATCAGTGGCTTTCTGGTCTTACACAAAGAAATTGAACGAAAGGGCAGTATTTCAGTAAGTTCAATTTGGACATAAAATAATTCTTTTTAGAAGCATCTTTCTGTCTATTATCTTTTTGTATTATTTTCAATATCTTACATAAATATTTTTGCGAACGATTGTGTGTGATATGTAATTTATTACAGGACGAAACCTATTCAATATCATGAGAAAATGAGACCCGGCCAAGCACAAATGATATGTGCCTCTTTTAGTCCTGGAGGTGCATTTATGGCAGCTGGATCTGCAGATCATCATGTAAGAGTTTATACAATGTTAGGAGACGAAGGACCACGCCGAGTTCTCGAAGTAGAATCGCATTCCGATACTGTAGACAGTATTCAGTGGGCGCACAGTGGTTTAAAATTCATTTCTGGATCTAAAGACGGTACTGCGAATGTATGGCATTTTGAGCAACAGCAATGGGTACATAAACAGCTACTCATGACGACAAAGCTTTCTGGGTATGTTTTCAATAATTTTTTTTTCTTTTATAAAAATTTTATGCTTGTTAGCCTGTAATATAGCATGTTAAAATTGTTTTTCTCTTTTTTCTTTTACAGGGAACCAGAAACAGATGACGACACAAGCAAAAAAGCAAAAGTGACTATGGTTTGTTGGGATGTAAGCGATGAATATGTTATAACAGCAGTGAACGATTACACATTGAAAGTATGGAATGCTAAATCTGGTGAACTAATGAAAGTTTTGCGCGGACATAAAGATGAAGTATTTGTGTTGGAATCGCATCCAATAGATTCTCGCTTGATACTCAGTGCTGGTCATGATGGACAGCTTATCATTTGGGATGTATTAAACATAGAATCGATAGCGTGTTTTCAAAATTCTGTTGAAGGTCAAGGAAATTGCGCTATTTTCGATGCAAAATGGTCGCCTGATGGTACAATGCTCGCTGCAACAGATTCTAATGGACATCTTTTGATGTTCGGATTTGGATCTGGCGCTGGGAAATTAAAAATTGTAAGTTAGCTTGCAATATCATTTATATATATCATTTTGTCTTACGCGGGTATATTTAATTTCCTAAATTATTTTCAGATACCAACAGAATTATTCTTTCATACGGATTATCGGCCCTTGATAAGAGATGCAAATAATTATGTTCTTGACGAACAAACACAAACTGCGCCACATTTAATGCCGCCACCGTTTTTAGTTGATGTAGACGGAAACCCTTATCCACCGGCACTACAGAGATTAGTACCTGGAAGAGAAAACTGTAGGGGCGAACAATTGGTACCAAATATTGCGGTTGGTGCTGGCGGTAAGATTTATATACATGATATTTCAAAACAACATTTCTTGAGAGAAATATCTTAATAATTGAAGAGAAATGTTATACAGAATGATCTTCAATAACAAAACAATATCATATTTAGGTTTTTTAATTTTTTGATTATTCAAGATTTTTCATATAACTTTTTTATTAGAAGACTATATAAATTTGTATTAAACAGGGATGCAAGAAGTTATAGAAGGTCTTCCAGAGCAAGAACCAAGATCGAACATTGATCGATTGATTGAGGCTCTTGCTCAGAGACAAAATATCAATGCAGATGGAGAAGCCGTTGGCGCTGGTGATGATAGAGAAAATAACATCGCAGAACAACCGATTCGTCAAATAGCGAGTCCCCGTGGTAGTAGAGCTGGTTTGAGAAGAGAAGGCAATGTTGAAGGTGTCCGACAAAGTAGCGGTAATTGGCAGAGGGATAACACCACGCCGTGGAACAAACCTATTCTCGCGCGTCCCATGAAGTTAGCCATTAAAGACACTCAAATTAAGGCGGTGTAAGTAATTAAATCATAGTTCTCTGGTATTGAGTATATATTGTAAATAACATAATTATACTTCAATGAGAATTTATAGAAAACAATTATAAATAAACTTAATAAACGTTAATAATTTGTTTGTGGTAACAGACGAAAATTAATGTTCTAAATAAATTATAGATTATATTAAATAATTTGCTAATATTAATATTAAAAGAGAATTATTGATAAATATTAATTCATATTTTTACATTATCTGTAAAGTCACTCAATGGCAGAGATGGAATTAGAAAACTGGCGGCGAGAAATGCGACGGCGACCGCAGCCTACATCGAGCACTGCCGTTAATCAAGGCAATATAGGAAGTAGACTCGTAAATCGCAAACGTAATAGAACTACTAGACACGGTTATAGAACCAGAGCAACACGTGGTGAAGAACAGGAGGAGGAAGAATATGAGGTACCTCATGATAGAAGCAATATTTAATTCTGATAAGTATTAACTCGTAGATAATCCTATTTGCTTGTGTGTAATAATGGATAGGAAATTTCAGAATTTTACAATTAATTAAACGTCATAATATTGTGCATTTTTACAGAATCCTGATAATACTGGCACGTCAGCGAGTTCAGCCAGCACTAATAGCAATGATTCTACTGCTCATGAGGAAGATTTGTGTTCCGATAGTACTACTACAGACTCGAGCACTGAATATTCAGATTGGATGGCAGATCATGGACTGAACTTAGAACCTCCTAAACGTAGCAAACGTAAACCTGTGAAAAAGCGATCTGTTACACCACCGAGTGATGTAGATAGAAGACGCAGTAAACGTCCTAAGAAAAAGGTAAATTTGTAATTCTTATGTCATTTTAAATCTACAAAAAATTTTAATTAAACTATCATTTTATTATCTAATAGGGAGTACAAATAGCTAATGGTAATTGCGAAGTTACTGATATTTACCGTCCTTCGGAATGGCTTACCGAAGTAATTCCAAGGAAAGCCCCTTATTATCCACAGATGGGCGATGAAATAGTATATTTCAGACAAGGTCAAAAATTCTATTTAGATGCAGTTAAGAATAAAAAGATTTATGAGCTTAGTCCACGTTGCGAGCCATGGACCAAAATGAATATTAGAGTATGTATACTTTATTCTAAGGAATGAAAAAGAGGTTTTTAATATGGGATGGAACATTTAAAAAAATCTTAAATAAAATAAAGATGTACATGTATTAATTGGAAAATGTTTATATTTGTAGGCACAAGAGTTTGTAAAAGTAGTGGGTATTAAATATGAAATTAAACCGCCTCGTTTATGTTGTTTGAAATTAGCGTTGATGGATGAAGGTGGTCGACTTACTGGGCAGAATTTCACCATCAAATATCATGATATGGCCGATGTATTAGATTTCTTGGTGTTACGTCAAACTTTTGATACGGCGTTGGCACGAAGTTGGTCTGAAGGCGATAAGTTTCGTTGCATGATCGAGGATGGTTGGTGGATGGGACAAATTGTTGGGGTGGAGCCGCTAGATGAAGAATTTCCGGAATCATTTTTTTTATGTTTTCGCGTCAGATGGGACAATGGGGAATATGAACGTATGAGTCCTTGGGATCTCGAGCCCGTTGATGAAGATAGTAAGCTGGTCATTCAATTCACGATTATCAAAATTATAATATTTAATTATAAATATTTAATTTTGAATTAGTCAAAAAAGCGAGTATAAAGATGTAAAAATTTATAAAGATATAATACTTTAAACTAATATTTTATTCTCGCTTTTTTCTCTAGACTCTTTAATTTCGTACTATATGCGTTAATTATACTCGTTTAGGAATCCCGCCGGTAATCGGTGACGCGGTTCCCGTTTTGCCAGAAGAAAGACAAGCGATATTGTATCAACCCCATGCGGAAGAGTGGCCCATGGGTGATAGAGAAGCGACTTGTCGTCGAATTATACGAGGTTTGGATCAGGTGATGAGCCTCGCAATTGCGGAACCATTTGTGGTGCCAGTAGATCTCAGTCTTTATCCGACTTATGCGTATATTGTTGAATATCCAATCGATTTATCGACTATAAAAGCTCGTTTTGAGAATCATTTCTACAGAAGAATCACATCAGCGCAATTTGATGTCAGATATTTGGCAACAAATGCTGAGCAATTCAATGAACCTCACAGTCATATAGTGAAAAAGGCGAGAATAGTCACTGACATATGTTTGCGCATAATAAAGTAAGCAAATATATATTTCTTCTAGACTTTTTTACAAAAGTTAACATTTATGCAATCTTTACATTCTATATTACTGGTTATATAAATAAGTGTTATATAAGTAATATTTCTCTTATGCAGATCACCTATTGATTTGGATGTTCCGGCAGTATATCATCAATTGAATGATACATATCGTTCCTCTGAATCAGAGACAGAGATAGAAACCAACAAACCTTCAACGAGTAAACAGAGATCTACATCAAGTAGAAATTTACGTTCTCAGCAAATCTCACTAGACTGGAAATTAGCTTGTCGTCAATTATTGGAAAGTTTATGGCAATGTGAAGATTCAATTCCTTTTAGGTAAAATGTGATACGATTAAATTGTCGTTTTCTCTTTTTTATCTTTAAAAATATATAGTTATATTGAAAATATAATCATATGAAAAATCGTTTTGCAGAGAACCGGTTGATAGATTAGAACATCCAGAATATTATCAAATAATAGACACACCGATGGATTTGCGCACTGTTAAAGAGGATTTATTAGGTGGCAATTACGAAACACCAGCGGAATTTGCCAAAGACATGAAATTAATATTTACAAATAGTAGAAATTTTAATACAAACAAACGTTCGAGAGTAAGTTAATATAATTTTTGTTTTATTTATGTAGTTACTCCATAGTTTTTTCTGCGCATTTTAAATATTTTATTATTTATTTAGATATATTCGATGACAGTAAGATTATCGGCCATGTTCGAAGAGCATATGCGTAGGATATTATTAAATTGGAAATCAGCGCGTAGACGTAACGATAATGCGAAAGTAAAAGTAAAAGGAAAAGGAAAGCAAAAACGGAAAAGGAAAACGGAACGGAAGCACAATTTAAGCAATGGTACCGGTAAGCATTTGTATATCTTATTGGTTTGTATAAGTGCAATACATAATTAAATGCTATTTTATTTGCAGGATCTAAGTCAAAATCCGTTCCTATTCCAAGCGACGATGAGGATGAAGATGAGGATGATGTAAATAGTGATAACGATGATGAAGAATCGGGTAAAGATCAGAAAAAGAAAAATTTTGATATATCCGCACCTGGTACGCATTTTCTAACTTATTATTCTATATGTGTACCGTTCAAGAAATTTGTTAGATTTTGTATATAAATGTTTCGAGTAAAAACATATTTTGTAAGAATAAGTCGAATTCGAAATGAGAAAGAGAAAGAGAGAGAGAGAGAGACTATACTTGGATAAGATTGAAGGAATTATAAAGCCATATTAACTCTTTATTTTTTTATTAATCATATTTGTATTGCGTTCATATAAGTCCAAGTTTGACAGATTTTTTACTAGAGATATTTATAGCAATTTAATCTTTTATAATAGTTTTTGAAATTGGGATAGACATTAAATTAAAATTGTTATCATTATTTGTAATCGATTACATCTTTATTATTTGGATTGAAGTCACTTTTTTATATAAAATAAATTAATTATTAAATTATTAATTTCAATTTTATTTTGACTTTTTTAGGACCATCACGGATGACAAACGGTCATACGAAACGATCTTGCTCGTCTCGACCGACGTTGAAATTACGGATATGCCGATCGACTGTGTCCAAAAAGTCAAAGAACAGTGATAGTGATGTTAGTGAATCAGAAGCAACGACAGATACTGAAAGTAGTGATAGTGCTCCTGTCCGACGAACTAGAGCAAGGACAGCGATGCCCAATGTTAGTGCTGATACCGATTCCGGGGACGATTATACGCTCAACGGTCGCGGTAAGCAAGTTCGCAAAAATCGCGGCAGGAACATTAAGAATGGTAAACAATCTAAATCCAAAGTGAAATCGAACGTTATCGTGGACGATGACGATGACGACGATGAATACATTGCGAAGAACAAAGCCAATGATATTGAAGAGAATAAGGAAGATGAGGAACAATTTGTCGAACCGGACTCCACGGAAGAAGAAAGCGAAGAGGAAAAATTTATCAGAAGAGATACTAGATCACGAAAATTAGTAATCGAGAACAAGGAAAACCAAAAATATACCGCTAATAATAGAAAGAACGAAAATAGCGCGAGCGAAAGCGAAGAGGATGATGAAGAAGAACAAGATGAAGAGGAAGAGGAAGAAGAAGAGGAAGAGGAGGAGGAAGAGAAACCATTACAACAGGAGGCCAATAATCAAGATTCTGAGGACAGTGATTATTCATATAAAGTACAATTTAGATCGTCGCGCTCCAGCCGTCGAAGACAGCGCGGTTCCATAGACTCGGAGGATACGAGGCAACAGTACAGTGGTAGTAGACGATCGGGTCGAAAGCGTCCTCATTATAAGGAGGACAGTGACGATAGTAATGGAATGCCAGTAAGAAATCGACGCAAGATTAAGCGCCGCTCTTATGCTGAGGAGAGCGACGAAGATAGCATACAAGAGCCAGGCATTAGTATAAGTAGTAGAGGTCGTATACGTAAAATGACACCGCGCGCCCGTGCTTACCTTTTAGAATCACCCTAACGACATCTTCTATGTTAGTAGAAGTCGTGTGTATATTAAAGAACTTATTTCAGAAAAATTCTGATGAAGATCGTATCATCTCGCGCATTCTTAGATTAATATGTTACATTGCAATCGAAAAAAAAAAAATGTAAGATACACTAACGCGTATAAATACTTCGAAATGTTTGATTGACTAATTAGGATAAAAATTTTTGTAGTTTTTTCCTGATTCGTTTCGAAGTGTTTATCAACAAGTTAAATGGAATGGACCTCGAAGACGAATAAAGTTTTCAATCTATTTTTTCCACCTCTATTTGTTTTTTCATTGTTATACATTGTTCAAAGTATGTAATTGCAATACGAATTTCCGACAGCGTAGTACGGTGGCAAGAACTAAAGTTTCAAACAAGATAATACCTATTAATTTCATATTCTTGTTTAGCTTACTTACATAATAGATGGAGATTATCGTACTATAATGTCGTATCGGATGCTTTTGCTACAAAGAACTTCTATTTTTACAAAGTAGTTCTTTGAAGCAGCTGTTCTTTTCTTTTTATATTTGTCTATATTCGAACGATATACATACTAGTGTAATGGTACAAGCGAAAATAGTTTTATAAGCAAACACATGATATTTTCGATATCTTGATAATCATCCTGTATATGACATGTTCAATCGAATTCACATTAGACAGATTACTGTATATAAAGTTTCACTCACTCTAAAGAAAATTATATAGAGAATTCCATATAATCGCGTTATTGTACAGATACAATGATTATGATCTTGTTACTTGTAAATGGAAAAACAAGCTTGCTTATGCAAAGACATGAATTCTCATTTAATTGTGACGATTGCTTCCATGATTTCGAAAATTTCAAGATTCACATAAATATATTTTTATGTTATGACAATAGAAAGAGAATTGATATAAAATTATTTTATAAAATAGTTTTCAGTTTCATAAAAATAATAGTTAGTTAAATAGCAAGTTAAATTATACAATGCTCTTGTGAAATTTATCAAGTTATCATTTTTACAGGTCTTCGTAATATCATTGTGACAATTGTTCGTTGAGAATTTATTTAGAGAAAAATGTTATGCGATTTTTCTACATATTCTGAGTTATTAAAAACATATATGTGAATCAGTATTTTATCCATAAAAGATTCTTAATACGAAATTGTAATAATTATAATTCAATTTCCACATATTGCCAGAGTAAAATTTATGGGATTTGTTACATATGCAATAATTATTTCCTTGGACATCGATTTATAATTAACATTTTTCAAGTTATATAAAACGTGACACTTGCAATAGCAATAGCGCAGTTTGTTGTTAGCATATAAATTAAATTTTACTTTGATTGTGATGAAAAGTCAGGGAAAGTACAAGAAAATATCCTTTATTTTCTTCTCTTCTTTTTTTTTCTCCGATATTAAAAATTTGTCGTTATTTTCACTTATCACAATTTTATTTAAATTTAGGACACATCGTGTGTAAGAAAAACACGAATCCGTGTGAATCTGTGTGTAAATATACATTATATTAACTCGCGTATCATAGTCTCTTTTCTTTCTTTTTAATATTCTATGTTACATAAAAGATAACATAAATTTTATATATGGTCCATAGTGCTGTGTGTGAAATAACGATTTTTTATATAGTTTGTATATCTGTTATGGATCTAATATAATAAAAGGAGCCCAATGGTCACAATTTTAGAATTTTTCACGAAGGCAGATAGACGTTTTCCAGATTTATATAATGCGAATTTAAATCTATTATGCATTACATAGTTGTGTAAATGATTATTGCTACCAGCAGCTAACATCGTTGATCAAGACGTGCACAAAAGATCAAAAGTCTTGACTGTCTCGAGCCATTGTGATATTAGTTTAAGAATATCAAATATAATAAAATATAAATAATATAAATTGGATAATGTAAATTATCGATATAATTAGAATTATAATCGATATTTTTTTAATGACTTAAATAATAGAGTCATATCACATATAGACTCGATGATGTATCCAGCCTTTGATTAATATTAATTTAACGATGTTAACTTTGGTCTCACTCATATAATTGATATACTTCGCACGATAATTATCCAGAAATAATATAATTTTGTGTATATAAACTCTGCCGAGAACACACGTAGGACTTAATACAAAGACAGTTACATTTTATGTACAGTTTGACTTATTCTGTTGTGAAATCTCAGCGTGCTTTGTTATATATAATACGGTTCTTTGAAACCCACCGTCACACCAATAAAAAAAATTAAATTGTTTTACATATGTGTCTACCTGTGTATAATTATTTGCCATTAATTTTGAAAATTTCGTAGACAAAATATCAATTTTTCTCAATGTTATTAAAAATTCTATATATAATTAATGTATATTTTTAATTTCCATGTAAGTTTTTGTTTTAAAACTTGACTTGTATCATTTTCGAAATTATTTTATCAAATTACTTATGTTAAATAGTTAATTATCTGATTATTTGCATTATACAAGATATTTCATATGTTTTATTAAGCTTTTCAAAAGATTTCTTAATGCGTGTGCGTGCGTGTGAGTGTGTGTGTGTCTGATGTATGTATGTATGTATGTATATATGTATATATATATATATATAAATGTTTTCCATACATACATATGAGACAAAGATATATTTACAGATTTATTAATAGAATAAATTAAGTTTTATAGAGGTACACAATTAACGAGGAGATTTTATTTTTGTTTTGAGGATATTTACAAAAATCTAGGAACAATCTAAAAAGTAAAAAAAGATATCTTTTGATTTATATTTTTAAGGTATGAAATATTTTATTCTAATTCGTTTATTCATACATCTCTAAATGGATAATACGAATATGATACGAAGATCCAGTTTCATGTGAAGCTAGCTAATAATGCTTATTTAGTTTGAATGGTAATTTATAATTTTATAAAATGGCAGCCACATATTTGTTATGATTATGTATGATGAGAGTATAATAGGATAAAATGCATAAAAGAGATTGTGATTTCTTCAATCACGTATGATTCCATTCTTGCAATTTCAAATCTACATTGTTTCCATACAACTTTTTCATACCCTTATTTATATTTTCCATTAATATATTTTAATATAAAAACGTAAAGTTTGCGCATTATTTTCTATTCTGCAAGAAATTGTTAGAATATTTGTGGAATCCCAGTATATGTATATCATGAAAATTGGATTATAAATTCTCCTAAGAGTCAACATCGTATAATTATATCTCATCCTATTTTCGACATAAATAAAATAATAACAAAAAATGTTTTAATAATTAAAGTGTGCTAAGTTTGAAATGCACTGCATAACTATATCTCAGAATCTATTTCAATATTCCAACTTTAAAAGAGTTTTTTTATTTAAACAAAACAAACGTTACTCATTTGGAGGCCTTCAATGGAATCACTTATTTAGTTTATGCTTGGATTCATTTATGATCGATTCTCAAGCTTATCCAACAGAATGCCATAATCTGCTGAGTGGTACTCAGGCGGACGATGAATATTGTTCTTTAAGCCTATGAAACTCTATCTCTTTTTGCAAATATTCTTTGACAAAAGGATGCTCCAAATGGGAATCTTTCAACTGACTTAAATAACGATTAGCCACTTCTGGTGGTTTGCCCATATGCTGGGAGACAACAATCATATTGATCAATGTATCTGGATTATTACTATCTTTATCAAGAGACTCTTGCAAAGCTGTCTCTGCCTCTTCATATTTAGCTTGTCCAATAAAACAAGTAGCTTGTCCATTCAATAACATACTGGTACTGGAATGCTTGTCAATCATCTCCTAAAATAGTTTTTAATTACATTAGTGAGGTAACAAACTTTTAATAAAGTAAATCAAAATATATCAGCATAACATACTCGCTTACTTTTTATATAAAATAAACAATTAATCCTTTCTCACCTGAAAAATGTAATAAGCATCTTGTAGTTTATCACCACCGCTGGTAATGTTAACCCATGCTTGAGCGAGTTGAGTCAAAGTAGCATCATCATCCTTCTCCTGCATCATCTTGAGCTCCTTACGAGCTAAATCTGGACGATCCATTTTTAAATATATCTGTAGTGTCAATGCCATGCATTCCAAATGATCGACATCATGTAATATTCGGAGAGCGGCTTCCAGATTCTTTTCATGATAATAAATAGTTGCAGCTACGATCAGGAAATTATGATTATCAAAATTTGGATGATTGGCTTCCTTGTCAAGTTCAGCTATTATGGCCTCCCGACGATGTGGATTAGCGAAATAATCGGCTAAAGTTTTCAGTGGTTGCAATTCTGGTGGAGACAAATTGTTGATTTCATCTAATACCACACGAAACTTTCTTTGCGCTATATAGGCACGATAGAGAAGCACATCGCGTTCCATAACCACTTCTGGAGAGGATGACTGTGGAAAAAAAAAAGAGTTTAATAAAATAATTTGCATTTCTAATTTTGAAACAAAACTCACAATATCAATATATTAATAAATAATTACAACAATGTACATATACACACAATAGATCTTAAAATTACTGTATTTTTTTTTACACAGATTTATACTAGAAAGGGATAGTTTTTTATCGAGCAAAAACTAATTATTTATATTTATTAACTTGTCTCCAAATGTCTAGTTTCGATTTATTAATTATTGATTATTAACATCAATTAAATTTTCGTTAAAATTATTGAAAGTTTATTGAAAATTATAAAATCTTAGAGAATTTTTAATCTGGAATAATCTTATATATGTATATATATATTTTTTTAAATTTAAATATTGTAATCAATCTCTTCAACTTCTGTTTTCGAAATAAGGATAAAATTTTGTAAATATATCATAATAGCGGGTGATTAATTTTAAAAATAAAAGTAATTCGAGAGAAAGAGATCGGTATATTGCGGGAAAGCGTCTGCTAACAGAGGACCAGTAACTGTCGTTCGTGTCAAAAATCTAAACACGAAATTAACGCATAACAATAATACGTTTATGAGAGAAACATAATCAGAAAGAACTTTGCCTTGATTTTTTGCGCCTCGTTGATGCATTGCTGATAATTGCCGATATAAAAATGATTTCTAACGTCAAAAAGCTCGTCGACGTCTTGCTGCTGACGTGCCATCTTGTCACTTATGCCAGAGAGAAATCTGACAGAGACGTTTTTCACAAAATACTTTCCACGCTTTGCACAGTAGCGCTACCACCTACTTTGAGGTAGAGACACTTTGAGGAATTGGAAACATATATCCACTGTTGGTTAAATTGACATTCGGTGCATATCTGTACTACATCTACTCATAGAAGATATACAAAATAATAGAAAGGAAACTCACATATATATTTAGATACAGCGACATCGAGACGATGATAAATTCATGATTATTTTCAATTTAAAAAAATATTAATATCAGAGAAAGAGAAAGAGAGAGAGATGTATATATGTATATATATATATGCAGTTTTTTTTCTGTCAATATATTTACATGTTCAAACACATTTAGTAATTAATCAAGAAATTATTATTAATTAAAAATTTAGAGCTTTGTGAAACACAATGGATTTTATCGAATTAAAAGATCAGCAACGTTATGGACGCGGATATTTTGATAAATATAATAATGAAGGTTTTATCTCTTATTATTTATCAGTTTCTTTTATTTTCTTTAATTGTATAGTTTACAGTCAATTTTCATATGTCAGCTTATCGTTTCTTTTCATTGAAATATCTGATTATATTCTATTTAATTTCGTTAAAGAGGATCGCAAAAGTGAAGAAAGTCAGAAGGTGAGAATTTTGCACAATTATATATAAATATCTATAAATGATTAAGTTTTCAAAATAAAGTTTACTATTGATTTGATAGCTGTATTATTGTCATAATCATAATTATGAGAATTGTGAAACTATAATGTTATTTAAACATTAGTTATAAAGATTCATGCCCTTTTTTTTGTTAAAGCATTATCTTTTCATCTTATCTTTCTTCTTATAAACAGAATGCAGATGTACTACGAGATATGGAGTTGCAAAAACGACATGAAATACGCATTCCTGAAAACTTACAGGGTCTCTTTACTGCACGATTTTCTAAAACTGGTAAATTTATAGCTACAGGCTTTGGGAATGGTGCTATCCAGGTGATAATTTATATGTATGAAATATGACTAAATTAAAAGTATGACATTCTTCTTATTACATGATATTTTGTAGATCAGGAATGGTAAAACTGGTGAATTAACAGCATCACTTAAATCTGGTCTGGAAATTTCAATGCCAATCATGTGCTGTAGATTTAACCCAGTGCATAAAGACATCTTTTATGCTTCCAGTGCCTGTGGAAATATTTTTATGTGCAATACACATACTAAAGAATTTTCTAGATTTATCTTTGGTAGATGAATTATATTTAAAATTACATTACATATATGTACTATTATTTTTCAATTTGAATTCATCTATACAGAGCTTAAAAATGAGGTAAATACGATAGATGTTAGTATCACAGGAGATTACTTAGTCTCTGGTGGTAAAGATGCAACTGTTCGTCTTTATGATACACGGAACACTAAAGTTAATATTATGAAATATTGTTATCAGTCATAATTGTTGAAATTCAATTATTTGCATATTTCTATAAAATTTTTATTAAAATATATATGAAAATATTTTTATATCAATATAAATTCATTTTAGTTGATATTAGAGTATAAAAAGAATGAAGAAGATTTGATAGAAAGTAAAGCTACAAATTTTCATCGAATGAGGATATTTGCTTCAAGATTTCACAATGAATATTCTGATTTAATTATTACTGGTGGATGGGATGATACTGTTAGAGTAAATTTTTATAAAAGTGTTTTTTTAAATTATTGAAATATTAAAAAATATTTTTCTATAACATTTTTTCATTTAAATAAATAATATTGCAGATGAATGAAGAGTTTTTAAATTAAATTAAAAGATCTTTTTTAAACTAATAATAGAGAGAGAATTAAAAGAAATTTTATTTTTAGATTTGGGATATCAGAGTTTCGACTGGTTCAATAAGGGTCATCAAGGGTCCTCATATATGTGGTGATGCCATTGATATATGTGTAAGAATTTTTTTTTTCATTTGTTGATAAATTGATATTCATATCAATAAAATATATAGATGCATTTTTTCATATATCTCGTTTATTAGGAAACGCGCATCCTTACAGGCTCTTGGATAGTGCGTGATAGTCTACAAATATGGGATCTGATGAGCGCGAAACTCATCGAAACGATAAATCCACAAAACAGATTGTCGACTTTAAACGGTGAATTTCTTTATGCTGTGCAATATTTGGATGGGGATCCTTATGGTGATCTTATCCTGACTGGAGGTTCTGGTATTAGCGCTCTTGAAGTGATTAGTTTAAGAGAAAAGAAGGTTTGTGTGATTCGTCATATATTATATCAAATAGATAATCATGATATATCATATATTATATCAAATAGATTTAGATTATTGAAGGAAACAAACAGGAAAGACAATTATTTGTATATTACTACATACAATAAATATCTATAATTAATATTTTTAAAAAGTGCCTCCAATAGTGAATTTTTAGTTCATTAATCATTTTTAATAAATTAGGTAATGGAAAGTATCAGTGTAAACAAACCGATTTTCACTATAGACAGTCATCAGAATATAATAATATTTGGTGGTATAGAATCTGTATTAAGACTCGGAGATTATTACTAATCTAATATTGTATCGATCAAACTGTTAAAAAAAATCTTGTATTAAATAATATAATTCAAAGTTTATTATTTCTTTCTCGATTATTCCTTTAAAATAAAATTATGAAAGCATGATGCATTTATAACTTTTATTAATATAAATATGATTTAAAAGATATTATTTTGAAATTAAATAATTCCAAGATCATATAAATTTTACAAAACTTATGTGGAATTGCATGCAACTGTTAATTTGAAATTTCGCGCCTTTAAAGGGTACATTTTACAAGTGACAAAAGTATTAGATTCTTATAACCGATTGGGATTGGCTGCATTTGTATCTGTAAAGGTGCAATTTCATTGACGCTAGAAACCAGCGGCAAATTAAAATCACTAGACTTTCTCTAGATATGGCGTCAATAAAATAAAGTTCAAACAGTTTCAACTTTTTCAGTGTGTAAAGGTGCAATTTCATTGACGCTAAAAATTAGCGTCAACCATTGGTTGAACAAAGAATTAAGTAGTTGCTTCTTTGTTCAACCAATGGTTGACGCTACTTTTTAGCGTCAATGAAATTGCACCTTTAAGATGCGGCCTCATTGACGCTAAAAAGTAGCGTCAACCATTGGTTGAACAATGAAGCAACTATACTTACCTCCTTGTTCAACCAATGGTTGACGCTACTTTTTAGCGTCAATGAGGCCGCACCTTAAAGCGGCCTTTTCATTGACGCTACTTTTTAGCATCAATGAAATTGCACCTTAACAGTTGGCAGCCCTAGGAGATAGGCTGTGCAGCACTGCGCGTATATAAAATAAATTTGAAATCGCTTCTAGCCTAACCATCTTCACGCGATCGACTTTATTTGAATTGCACGGCATCGCATCGAATTATGATGCGGCGCCGATTTGTTCGAACGTAATTCGGGACATCGCGATGCTGTATAAGCGTCGAATGAGCACGAATTGTCACGCAAATATGATAAATCACATCTACTCACCGTTCATCGGCTGTTCCACAGGCCGCTCCACTCGCTCGCCTCGGGACGTCCCATTCCGATCTTGATGCACAAACTCACACGATATCATCAACGCGAACGCGCGACACTTTATTCGGCACTCCCGATATTCGCTCGCATCCGATAATCATCATCAAGGGCGCAAATAACGCGACGCGACTTCGGTCCATCTTCGCGATCGCGCTATCACTGAACTGTGAAAAATAGCTGTCGCGCACTTTCACCGACATATTATAAAAGTCGCGCGATCATCCTTGGACACTTTCGACACTCTTTCACTCGCGATATTCGTTTAAAAACGGTTAAAAGACGCGAAAAATGCGGACGTACGACGATCCGTGTAACTGCGTATGACTCCGATTCACGTATGACGCGTATGACGTAGCAGTCACGCGCTAACATGGCGGCCGAACCAGTGCGCATTCGTTTCTGCGCACTGGTTCGGCCGCCATGTTAGCGCGTGACTGCTACGTCATACGCGTCATTGCTACGTCATACGCGTCATACGTGACTCGGAGTCATACGCAGTTACACGGATCGTCGTACGTCCGCATTTTTCGCGTCTTTTAACCGTTTTTAAACGAATATCGCGAGTGAAAGAGCGTCGAAAGTGTCCAAGGATGATCGCGCGACTTTCATAATATGTCGGTGAAAGTGCGCGACAGCTATTTTTCACAGTTCAGTGATAGCGCGATCGCGAAGATGGACCGAAGTCGCGTCGCGTTATTTGCGCCCTTGATGATGATTATCGGATGCGAGCGAATATCGGGAGTGCCGAATAAAGTGTCGCGCGTTTGCGTTGATGATATCGTGTGAGTTTGTGTGCATCAAGATCGGAATGGGACGTCCCGAGGCGAGCGAGTGGAGCGACCTGTGGAACAGCCGATGAACGGTGAGTAGATGTGATTTATCATATTTGTGTGACAATTCGTGCTCATTCGACGCTTATACAGCATCGCGATGTCCTGAATTACGTTCGAACAAATCGGCGCCGCATCATAATTCGATGCGATGCCGTGCAATTCAAATAAAGTCGATCGCGTGAAGATGGTTAGGCTAGAAGCGATTTCAAATTTATTTTATATACGCGCAGTGCTGCACAGCCTATCTCCTAGGGCTGCCAACTGTTAAGGTGCAATTTCATTGACGCTAAAAAGTAGCGTCAATGAAAAGGCCGCTTAAGATCTGAAAAATCGCGAAAGATGGACGCTGAGAGTGAACACATTAGTTTTGTCTAAACTTTATCTTATTATTAGCAGCAAAATGGGTAATCAATTAGTGGGCATCGCGCCCAGCCAAATATTTCCAGTAGAACACTATTTGACGGATCATAGCGATTTATTGTTCGACGTAAAGTAAGTACATTTGATCAAATTATTTCACTTTACGTACGCATTTTACTGGTAGAGTACAATGTGCAAAATTATTATGAAGTGGTTGATTATATTAAAGTGTTCTGTGTAATAAAGATGGCTCATTATGTTATTATAATTACGTACAAATAATTCATGTTGTTAATAATAATACAAACAATATTCAAACATGCATGACATCTTACTATCTGTTGACAATCTTTCATTGAATCTTTCATATGGTTCTTGCATGATTCACATTATGTACAATAATAAATTATGAATAATATATCAAGATGTTGCAATATATAGAAAAATATTTTTAAAATTTAAATTAAATATAATATTTTTAATTTTTAAAAATATTTACAAGATAAAATAACAAGATAAAATTATGAGATAATATTAAATAATATAATAAGCTTTAGTTATTGTTATATAAAATTCTTTGTCATTCATAGTTTAGGAAGTACTAGATTTTTCAAAGTGGCTCGAGCTCGCAGCCAGGAAGGCCTGATAGTTGTAAAAGTGTTTGCAATTCATGATCCAACATTGCCATTATCTACCTATAAGGACAAGTTAGAGGAGATTAGATCAAAACTAGCCTCAGCTGTCAACTGCCTACCATTTCAACGAATGATTGTGAGTATCATAAACATACAGTAACATTAAATAAGTATAGCTTCCATAGGAATTAGAATTAATTATATGTTTGAATTAGCTTACAGAAAAAGCAGGCTCAATAATGCGAGAATATGTCAAATATTCTCTTTATGACAGAATCAGCACTAGACCATTTTTAACAAGCATTGAAAAAAAGTGGATTACTTTCCAAGTATTATATGCTCTTCATCAAGCTCACAAGGTACAATTAAACATTTAAAAAAGAGTAACTATTTATAATAGTATATAAAAAATCAAGAAAATTCCTTAAATTTTTTATTGTTTTAGTCCTTATCTGAGTCACTTATTTATTCTAATAAACAATCTTTTATTTATAAGTTTTAAAAATTAAAAAAATAATTTTTTTTCTTATATATATATATATAGTTTGGAGTATGCCATGGTGATATAAAACTGGAAAATATTATGATAACCAGCTGGAACTGGGTATTACTTACAGATTTTGCCAGTTTTAAACCAACATATTTACCAGAAGATAATCCTGCAGACTTTTCATATTTCTTTGACACTTCCAGAAGAAGGTAAAATTTTTTCTAAAGCTTTTATTAAACTTTATTATAGAAAATTTCTTTCTTGTATTGTAATTAATATAATCTTTACTTATTAATATTTTCAGAACTTGTTATATAGCTCCTGAACGATTTGTGAAAACATTATCCTCAGAATTAAGTAATACATTATTATTGCCAGAACAAGAAGTAAAGACAGGCGATCTACATCCTATGATGGATATCTTCTCTGCAGGTTGTGCTTTAACAGAATTGTATAATGAAGGACATCCACCATTTGATTTTTCACAGCTCTTAGGTATATATTAGTTTAATTGCTATTGATAGGACTGGTTTTAGAAATAATATTTTACTTTAATATTTAAATTGTAAGAACTTTATTTTTCTTAATATATCTTAATATTAATTACAAATATTGGTATATTTTACTGTTTTTAAATCTTTTTTCTTCTTTTTCTCTTCTTATTTCTTAAATTACGAATTTTAAAAAGTATCTTGATATAAGTCTTAATATAAAAAACTTCTATGGAGTTAATTATTAAAATTGTATTGAAATGTTAAGCATACAGGAATAATGAATATTCAGTGAACAAACACTTGGACAGCATAGATGACTCAGGAATACGAGAATTGCTTGGTTCAATGCTTGAGCGAAATCCGATAAACAGGAAAAGTGCTGAAATTTATCTAGCTCAAGCTCGCGGTATTATTTTTCCGGAATATTTTTATTCTTTTCTGCAGTCTTATATGCTCATTTTTTCTGCCGCTCCGATTTTATCACCGGACGAAAAAATAACTAGATTAAAAAAAGATATTGGCAATATTATAAGTATATTAAGGGCAGAAGAAAATGAACGAATGAAAATGAAATCTGCAGAAACAAAATCTGGCCAATGCGAAAGTAATATGGAATCGATTAAAGATGATTCTGCTCACAGTGAAGAAAACACTATGGTAGAAGTTGACAGCGACCAAAGCTCCGATAAGACCGATTTGAATCAAATTGATATGAAAAGTACAACTCAAGATATTGGCACTGAAAGTCAAATAGAAATGGAATCAGAACTTAAGACATCTGCGAATTATAAACATATGTGTGATGAAGATTCCCAGAAACCACTTTTGGCCTCGACTGACATTCTGGAAGGGCTCGTTATTGTAACTCAACTTGTTACATCTTGCATAAGAGGATTGCATCATTCGCAATCTAAATTATATAGTTTAGAAATATTATTGGAGCTAGCTGAAAATGTTTCTGATGAGACAATTCTTGATAGAATATTACCTTACATTGTAAGTATCTCATTGTACTAATATATTTTGAAATTTTTTCGAATCATGGTATATTAAAATAAATATTGTTTGCCAATTTATTTATTAATTAAGAAATGTTTGGAAATTAGATATTAATACTTATATTAATTAATTATTATACGTATTCTTTTGTATTGTTAATTGG